GTCGATTTGAAAAAAAGTGCTTAAATATAAATGCTTTAACAGCCAAATAAAAAAACACACACACACACCAACTGATATAACATTGAATGAATGATTTCATAATTATCGCTATATACCATAGATTGTCTTGCCTTCTATATATATTTTTTATACTGAAAATTTCTGTTTTATGTAAAAATAAAAATAAAAATAACAATAAAAACACAATTATCCAAAATTGTTTTCACACACACACACACACACACACATAACCCTATTGGATGTTTAAGCCTATGAAAATGAAAATGAAAATTCATTCTTTCTCTCTCTCTCTCTCTATTTCTATTTCTATGTGCATGATCACATCATCATCATCATCATAATCAATGACAGCAGCGATTGTATTTCAGGCAAACATACAATATTGCAATAATAATAATAATGATGATGATGATGATGAAAAAAACAACGAAATAGGAACAACACTAGAATCAAGAATCGAGAGATGGAAAATGCCATTTTTTTTCTTCTTCTGATGATGATGATAATAAATTTAATAATAATAATAGTAGTAGTAGTAATAGTAAACGTACACAGACATATGTATAAACCAAAGAGCAAAAGAGAAAAATGAAAAATAACAATAACAAACAAAGATGCAATGATGATGATGGAGATGAAGAAAAAAAAATTAGCGAACAAAAAAAATGAAATGAAAAAGAAATCTTTTGTAGTCAGAGTATAATTTAATATATTTTATAGATTATTATTCTTACTATCACCGATACACATACATATATTAATAATAGGATTACATTGCTTGGAATGCCTTTCCTTTTCCTTTTACCTCTCTCTCTCTCTCTCTCTCTATCTATCTATCTATCTATCTATCTATTCGAATTCCGCCCATGTTCATTCATTGATTGGATTCGAATAAAAAAAACTGAAAACTAAAATCAAAAGTAAGTTGACTCCATCTAAATCTAAACTGATGAATGAAATTTTAGTGGATATCAATTTTTTTTTTGATGGTATCATTTTTTTCTGGACTATTGCTGCTGCTGAAAATTTGGTGATGAAATATAATATGTATTGTCCTATAGGTGGTTTATTACAACGATAACAACCAAACATCAAATGCTCATGGATGGCAACAGAACAACGACGAATAAAAAAAAATTGAATGAATTGCTTTAGCAATTAAGTATAAAAAAAAGACGAATGACGATGGATTGACATGAATCGTGTATATAGTTTATATATTAGTTGGCAGTTGTTAGCCACTAATAACTATTTTTCTTCTTTACAAAGATATAATAAAAGCTTTTCTCATCCCATTTTGTTCATTCTGGAACTTTTTTTTCTCGTTTCATATAAATGTGTATTGCGAGAAAAAAGAGAAAAAAAGAGAGAGAGAATTGGCCAGATATTACAATTCAATTAAGGTAAAGTGAATGGTCGAGATGGTCGATATTACAATTCAATTAAGGTAAAGTGAATGGTCGAGAATCAAATGGAGAAAAACGATAAAAAGAATCGACAAACGACAACTAAGGCCTGCCGACCAATAAGGCATCAAACAAGCATCATCGATTCCATTCCATAAATCCCCCATCCATTGCCATCTTATACCATCATTGATATGTTCAATTAGTGTGTGTGTGTGTGTAACAGAGAAAAAGAGAAAGAGTGAGCAATAATGGTAATAGTGATGGCCATTAAGATTGTCAAGATTGGAATCCGAAATCGAAAATGGAATGTGTCCAAAAAAGTAGATACGTTTTTTTTTTTCTCTTGTCAATAACATAATTGTCAAATATAGATATATATCCAGACAAACAATATCATTTAAACATATCATTATTATTTGAAATGAAAGAAAAGAAAAAAAAATGTTGCTTAGATTTTATATATTAGTATATAGTTTATTAGTTACTAGGCCAAGTTACATATGTTGTAAATGTCAATTTTATTAATAGTTGCCATTTCCGGCCAACAAATTCCAGTTTTTTTTTGCAAACACTAAACACTAAATACAAATAATCAATGACAATTTAAATTGTTTTGAATATATCTCGACGATATTCAATATATTCAACACTTTTTTTTCTACATAAAGGAATTTTTTTTATTCCTGTCAAAAAAAAAAAAATAGCCAACATCTCCACTGCGTTTATTTATCATCATCATTGACAATATATAACAAATAAGAATTTATTTTGTATAGCAAGGATTAAGTTTTCAACTTTAAAAAAAAAATTATTATTGTCTTTTTTCAAAACTAATAAAACTACCAATATTTCATCATTCGACCAAAAAAAAAAAAAAAAAAAAAAAAAGTTACATTCGATTCTTTTTTTTTTATTCTGGTACGTTCATTTGGATCGATCGAATCGATTCATATATACACTACTGTATCCATGTAGGAATTTTTTTTTCTCAATTTTTACTATAATTGCCTAGTTTTATAATTGTCTACTACTGTATCCATGTAGGAATTTTTTTTCTCAATTTTACTATAATTGCCTAGTTTTATAATTGTCTACTATAATATAATACACAATATCACATTTATTGGAAAAATCTTTTTCTTTTTTTTTTTTCTTTTGCTCGGTTGAATCGTTAAAACAAGAATAATCTTGAAAAGCAAACACAGTGAAATAAATTAGTCTGCTGTACAAATGTAGATAACAGAAACATAGCATATAAAAACAAGCCAACAACGACACACACACACAAAATACAGACATACATACATTGAATTATTAATGTATAGATTCTAAACAACGATGCAAATGTTACAATCAATGCATTATTATACAGTCATTGAATAAAGTTTGAGACAAGCGCAATTCTATGGCTGTAGATGTTCGGTAATCGTTAACTAATTTGAATGGAAAAAATCAAAAAAAAACAATGACACTCATACAATAGTATAAAAGGTAGGGGTTGGGATGGCCACATGTTTGTAATTGTGATATATGGACAATATCTACAATGATGATATGGTAAATGGCGCACGACAATTAATGCTCAATTTCAACTACCAAAAAAAAAAAAAATTATTTAAAACGTTTATGTTCAAAAAATGGATGAATGAATGAATGAGAAAAACTTTATGTTCAATTATGTGAAAAAAAAGAAAGATAGATAGATAGATATAGTTAGTAAGGCATTTAATATCATTTTTGCTTCACTCATTTTCATTCCTTTTTTTTCACTCTATTAAATAGAGTCTACTATTTGATAACTGTTTTGTGATTGCCATCAATTACCGAACCGAGCGGGAGATAAAAATTGAAGCAGAATTCTGGTAAAGCTTCATTTCATTCAACTTGCAATTTTTATCTTCTCGAAAATTGCTGTTGTTGTTAAGAATGGAGCAAAATGTATCCATTTATGTTATATAGAATCTTGACGGCATTGACATATTAGTAGTGTGTGTGTGTGTGTGTGTGTGTTGGAGATAATAGAGTCATAACACACACACACACACACACAGACAGTGAAATGGGCCACTTGTGATCCAAGGCGTGGAACTTTTTTTTTTTAGTAATAATAATAGTCATAGTCATTCATCCAGGACTAACAAGCCTGTCTGTGCTTTCATATATTGGATAATAATTACTTTACTTTCGTCATTTTGTTCTACAGGAATAGCATTTCGACAAAAAAAAAAAAAATCTAATGAAATAAAAAAAAAGGAATCCAAAATCAAAAATGAAAAAAAAGATGAAAATCTAGATCCAAATGATAGAAAAAAAATTGGATTCATCAATTCCTATCAACTACATCATACACATGATGGAATTCAATTTGATCACGACAAACAATATACTAACACTGATTCTACTGTTTAGAATTGTCAGAATTGTGGCGACATCATCATCTATTGCTTCTGCTTTTTTTTAGTTTAGTTATTATTATTATTATTATTATTAAATGGAATTATGATTTAACTAAACGTTATGCATGCATATTTTGATTTACAGTATAAATTGAACGAATGAATGAATGAATGGTTTAACTGTAATGGCAAATTGGTCTATTTTTTGTGATTATTATTTAGTGAATGTTATAAGTGTGTGTATGTTACATACATAGATAGTCGTATAATGGATGTATATTGATAATGATGCTACCACCAGCGGACCACCACCACCACCACCACCATCATCATCATCATTTAGCAATTTTGCCTTGGCCAATATACGATCCATTGCCATTTTAATATATAAAATGGTGGCATTCAATGGTGTTATATGGCAAGATTCGATTTGTTTCATTTCTGGTTTCGGATCCATTCCATTCAATTCCACCATCACCATCACACTATCAACATCGTTTCATTGGTTGTCTGGCCATTTTCGGGTTCAGATCAGGCAGATTTTTTTTCGCTTTGCCTATTATTATTATTCAATCGGCCTATCACAGCCTCATACATTCATATAGACATTGATTCTGTTTGTATAAGTAATCGTTATTGTTGCAGATGTCGTGTTGATGATGTCGTTTAATGTTGATAATGTTATTGATGCATTACAGCTGCTACATTTGGTGTTTGTTCCCTATTGTCGTTGTCGTTGTTGTTGTTGTTGTTGTTATTACTCTACTAACTGGAACTATTAAATACTTAAATAGGCAATCGCAAATGTGTGTTCAAGTGTCTATGCTACACCAATCAATTTGATTCTGTGTTGGCGCTTAGCTAAAATTATGACTGAATCATTGAATAAAATAAATTGAATGACTAAATGACATACACACACACATACAATACATACACACATACACACACACACACACACACACACACACAGACATTTCATTCGAATTTTGCTTCTTCTTCGCAACATATATCCCGGTGATTCTAGTGAAAGCAAAAATTAGATAGTCAAATTAATCTGGACATTGTCAAATGATTCGACTAATGAAATTGAAAAAAAACAACTAATGCACAACGAATGAAATTCATCAACTGAATCTTCTTCTTTTTTTGTAATAAAACGAGAGAAACAACAACAACAAGTTATTTTCATTACATCATGGATCTCAAAGTAAGTTTATTTTGTTCAAATTCAATGATGACCAAACTTGACTACTACTACTACAACTCACAACTAATCTATGAAATTTTGTCAAAAGTTTTCAATCAAGAATATAATGAGTGATAAGATTGGCACGAATGATACGAATGAACGTGCGACCAGATTATCGCAACTTGGCGATGTATTGATGCATCATCAAAATGCCGCCCATCAAGTGATGCATGATAAGAATATTATTGAAGCACTCAAACCTAACCTATTGGGTTTGATCACCAACAACAATAATAATAATCATAATCATAATAATGGCAATGATGATGGTTTATATTCATTGATTGGACCAAATAATAGCAGTAGCAATAGTCAACAACAACAACAACAACAACAAATGGCCGCTTTGGATATATTTGCCTATTGTCAATACATTTCATCAATGATGTTATTCAAGGCAATGTCGCAGAATGATAGCTCATTACACAACATTCCATCTAATGGTGATAAATGTTCTCCAATATCGCCTACAACGAACAAATCTGCTGATATCCATGTTTACAATTATTCTACCAACAATAAGAAACATACAAAATTGGCGAATATCGCGGGCGAAACATTGAAATCAACGTCTTTCGAAACGATTGCATCGCCATCTGTGGCAAACAGATCAAACGATAGTAATAGTAGTAATAATAAAAAAGCGACGATCGATATGAAATCGATATCATCAACAAATAATAATAAAAATGACAACAACAATTCTGCGAATGGACGAAAATTCGTTATGAATGAACGTCGTCCACGACAGGCGTACAATACTAAACAATTGGAACGTCTTGAATCCGAATTTCAAGTAAGTTAAGAATTAATAATAATAATAACATTATGTTATGATTTGAATTGAAAAAAATAATAAATGATTTTATCAAAATTAAAGAATGATAAATACCTGACTGTAAGTAAACGAATCGAGCTTTCTTGTGCACTTAATCTGTCTGAAGTCCAAATCAAAACTTGGTTTCAAAATCGAAGGTAAGATGATATAATGTGAACATGATTGATGATTGTTATTCAATTGTTTTTTTTTTATTCACAGAACCAAATGGAAGAAACAACTTATGGAATGGAGACGTAGTAGTTCCGGTGGTTCACGTAAGAATAATAACATTATCAGAAACGGTACACAACCGATGGATAGTTGTGGTGCAATCAGTTTGGCTGGTAGTGATGAATCAAATATAACGATATCACTGCATAATAGTAATCATAACAATAATAATAATATTGATGATCAAATCAAATCATTCGAAACTTTTGGTGAAAATTCGTCGGACCAAGGAGGACATAGCCAACAGGATTTCGGTATCGAAATGGATAATATTGATAGCATCGATGATGACGATGATGATGATGATGATGATCTCGATGATAATAACAGTGAAAAGTAATCATCAAGCAATAACAAAAAAAGGAAGAATTCATTGATGCTGCCCCTTACGCCAAACCAATATTTCTCATCAGGGTTAATTTGCTAATTGAACAAAAAAATTCTTGTTATCATTCTTGTACATATTCCATAAAAACGAATGTAACATTATAATCAATGATGATTGGAGTTTTTATTTTTATTTTTTATTCAATTTTTTTCTCTTGTTGTTTGTTTCGGAAATGAAATTCATTCATAGAATCCATTCATTCACTTGTTGACTTTGTCGGACCAATTGAATGACCATTATCATAATCATCATATCTCGTTATCACCATTCTTCCATGTGTCCATTGATATATTTCTTCAACATGCTAGTCAATCAAATCAAAGCCATATATATTGAATTATGAACAATCTTTTGTAAAATAAAATCAGAATTTTCAAACAAAAAAAAAAAAAAAAAAAAAAATTCGAATCCTTAAAAAAAAGTCTATTTCGACAGAACCGGTGACAATTATCGTAAATTCGCGCTTTTCTACTGTTATGTTTGCTTAGTGGTCTGGTTTTGTTCGACCAATATATTTTTTTGTGCATATAGCCGAAAATCAGTGATATGAAAGCGAGAAAATACGGTCAATTTGAGCACTGGTTTGACAGGTTTATCGTTTTATTTTTTTTTTTTTGATGCCTGTTGTCTTTTTGATTTTATATTTCATTGCTGATTAATAATAGTTTTGGGATTTTTTTTTGTCTTTTGATTGCAACACACAAATCAAAACCGTTGACAAATATAAATCTTTTTTTTTCTCAATTAAAGCCATTTCGATTTGTAACTTGGCAACTATGGTTTGTATAGAAGAAAAAATGATTCTTCCACGTCCATAATTCCTATTCGTTTTTTTTCGTTTATCTACAGGTCAACTTTACGGAAGATCAAATTCTTGGTATGTTTTTTTTCTGTGAAAAAAATTGTGAATTATTAAATTGATACCATTTGATTCATAGAATTTCAAGAGGCATTCTATTTGTTTGATAATAAAGGTGATGGTAAAATAAACGTTTCACAATTAGGCGATGTATTGAGAGCATTGGGACAGAATCCCACCGAAAATGATGTAAAAAAATGTTCCAGTCAATTGAAACCCGGTATGATGATGATGATGATTAATGTTGTTTTGATTTATGAAATTTATCCAAATTCATTGTTACAGATGAACGAATTGGATTCGAAGTTTTTCTGCCCATACTACAGACAATATCAAAATCAAGATCAACGGATACGGCCGAAGATTTTATTGAAGGATTACGACATTTTGATAAAGATGGAAGTGGTTACATTTCATCAGCTGAACTTCGACATTTACTCACAACATTGGGCGAAAAACTGACCGACGATGAAGTTGAACAGCTATTGGCCGGCCAAGAAGATAATCATGGTAATATTCATTATGAAGAATTTGTACGGCATATTATGAGTGGTTGATTAAAAATCATTTTATCCTTCTTCATTCACATTATAAAAATTTAGACATATATTTATTATTAAATTTCAAAGTCTTATTTTTTTTCTCAAGTATAACAATGACAATTATATTGGAAAATAGAATGTGAAACTATTGTTGTTTTTTCTTATTCTCCATACCATAACTAGATGATGATTTATTCACTTTGGTCGAATCGATCATCATCTTGAATGAGAACAGACCAAATACGATAATGGCAGCAATGATGCTGATAACAAGCCAACTACTGTTGATTACAATTTTAGCCAATAGATATGGCAACAGTATGGATGTAACGCCAGTCCATGCCATCAGATTCAACAATGATGCCTTTCGACGATGAACGACCGTTTTGACGCCAGGAAAGCAATCATTTTTTTCATGATAATCAGCCAATTCATCCTGTTTTTTTTTAATTTTATTATTACAAATTAATGATATATATTCATTTATTATTTGTGTCAAGGTTATATACTCACTTGATTTTGATAAATCTTGTACAGACAATCAGTGGTTTCTTTTTCACTATCGGTTGGAATGTCGCTCAACGGAAATATGCGTACATACATATCGGCTTTTAATTTATCGCCACGTAATAATGTTGTAAATGATGGTTCAGGTTGATTTTTGGGAAATCTCAATTGAATTTGAGCGACTAGAACATCTTTTTCTTCATAGAATAATAATAACAATCAATGAATAAATCGAGAAAAAAAATCTTTCATACATACTTTCTTCTTTGAATGTTCGAACGGCCAAGTTAAAACCTCTGGGCCGTGGTAATAGATGATATTTGAGTTCCGGTAGGCCACGTTCTTTAGCAAATTGGATACTGTTTTCATGTTTTTGTTCCGTAAATCTGGTACCTTCGGCAAAGAATAACAACGATGTAGGATGTTCGAATTGTAGGAAATTTTTCAATGCTTTCACAATGTTTGCCGAATCTTTTTCCAGATTTCGTTCGAGAAAGGCGAATTCGCCAAATATCCAGCTCCAACCAATTATTGGTATGAAACGTAATGATCTTTTCACAAACGATTTGGCATTCTAAATATATTCAAAAATGATTAAAACAAACAAACAGAATAAAAATGATTATGATAATAAACATACACCAAGTTTTTGATAATGATCAACGGCCAGCCATGACATGACCCAATCGATTTCAAATGTATGATTCATCAGGCATAGCATATGATTTGGAGCGGAAAGTTTTAAAGAATTTTCATCCGGATAATAAATGGTCAATTCGGTATCGGCCCACCAATGTCCTAACGCAACAACTTGTGACCACATTGAATAGTTTAAATAAAAATTGATTCGCCTGAAACGTTGTATATCGATCCATGCCAACGTGTTGTATAGAATGAATTGAATCACATTGATAAACAAGCCTGAAATAAAAAAGGCCAAACCGAAAAACATGTGGATGAAAATATTATTTTTCACATTCATATTGTAATGATGGAAATTTGAATGTTTTTTTTTCTATGTTCAAAGAAAACAAAATGCCAATCTTTTGATGTGCACTATAATCATATAGGAATATATGATCGAATGTTGGCTTCTTTATAGCTAAAATATCGTTACAAGGGTACAATTGTAAACACATTCGATTTAATCATCAAATCATTTTTTTTTGGGTTTGGTCATATCTTCGATGACATGTTCACTTCACTCAAGTATTAATTCAACAAGAAAATGAAAAAAAAAATTTATAATGATGATGATGATGATGCATTGTATATTATTAACCATAACCAATTAATCGTTTGTTAATAAATGACTTTCAACGTACAAACTGGGTTTCATTTCAAAAACAACAGCATCAGCATTGTCATGTTTTTTTTGATTATAACGTCAATGAAAAAATTAAAAAAAATAAAAAATGAATCATTTTGGTTTCAAAAATAATCCATTGAATAATTTACTTCATGATATAAAATCTTTAATCTTTCAACAAGATGGTAATGAGCTTGCCACTATTTTGTCTTTGGAAAAATTTTCATTAACAAATGATTTACGAAACACGTTGGTGAATAATCAGAATTTGGAAAATTCGGTGGCCAAAATATTAGACTCACCATGGGATGATGTTGTCATGAATCATTTTTTGTCATTGCAAGTATTGATTAGTGGCCGAAATTATGCACTGGCATTTGGCCATCAATGTTCAATGATTCAAGCATTGGTCAAAGTTTTGACTCAATCTAAAGAAGAAAATTGGATGCTTCCAGCCGTTTATATGGCTTCAATCGAACTTCGTAAATTGGCCATCTGTGCAGATACAACGGCCTCGGCGAATACGAATAAAAAATCTGCTCAACCAGACGCCAACATTGAAGAAGCGGCATCACATCTGATGAATCTGTTCCGTGTATGTGCCAATGATTCTCGAACTTCGATCGAGGTTAGCAAACGTAAAGGAATGATGAACATTATCAATCAATTGTTTAAAATTTATTTCAAAATCAACAAATTAAATCTATACAAACCATTGGTACGTGCACTGGAAAACGCTAATATCGATGAACATTTCACATTGGCTGAACGTGTTACATATTCATATTTCACCGGGATGAAATCATTGTATGATTCGGACTATAGAAAAGCTGATCGTTTGTTGAGTTTTGCGTTCGAAAAATGTCTACCTAAAATGGAAAAAAATCGCCGTATCATATTGATATTTTTGATACCAGTCAAAATGCTTTATTCTGGTTGTTTGCCTACCAAAACCATTTTACAACAATACAACCTATTGCAATTCGAAGATTTATGTGCCTCAATCAAAGAAGGTAATTTATATGAATTTGATCAGGCCATCGAAAAGAATTCAGAATTTTTCTATTATTATGGTATCTATTTTACATTGGAAAAATTAAAAGTATTAGTATATCGAAATATATTCAAAAAAGTGGCCAAAATCGTTCAAAATCATCAGATACCTTTGAATCATTTTGTGGATGCCATCAATTATTATCAATCAAATCGTAACCGAATCGAACTGGCCGATGATGACAAAATGACAATGGAAGAAGTACATTGTCTTTTGGCCAATCTGATTGCCGATAATAAATTAAAAGGCTACATTTCATTACAACACCAGAAATTGGTCATATCGAAACAGAACCCGTTTCCAAAATTATCACCAGATGTTTGATGATTGAGCAAAACAGTCGGCCATTTCTTTGTTTATTTCTTTTTTTTTCTCATATAAAAGTTGTGTTTTTGTGGAATATGTAAATATTGATTTTCAACAAAAAAAAAATTTGAAACAATTAAAAAAAATAAAATAAAACATTTTTTTTTCTCCAAACGATCTCTTTGCATTTATGTACAACACAAACACGTATAATAATAATAATAGAATAGAATGATAGAATGATGATGATGGATGGATATGTGATCACTAGAACAGTTAATCATCAGAAAAATTATTTGACTTTAGTCATGTTTGCAAACGATACATTAATGAGGTATTTGCAGCAATGTGTTAGCAATTGCTTATCAATGTTGTACATTTCATTCGAATGTTGTTCACGTGTATAAATATCTAGACCATATTGGCCTTCATCAGGAAAAGTGATTCGAAATGAAACTAGATCATCATTATCATCGATCAATACGGTTACGAAACGAGCTAGTTTACGTTCATCTGAACCATTTCTATGTAATGATGACATAAAATCAGTCAATGGTCGTGACATACGGAATTGAATTTCAAGATCACGTGGCGAAAAAATCAACGCTTCTTCATGTGTCAATGGGACCAGATCGAACAAACGTGTGGCTTTCAATGGGCCCCATTCACCACTAGCACAATCTGGTAACGGAATCATCACTGTATGCAGTTCGTGGCATAGAATTTTGAATTTACAAACACTTTTGAATTTCATCGGTTCACCGGTAACATATTCTTTTGGCGTTGTTGAATTGGCAAATATATCCATGATATATGAACCGGAACCGGGTAAATGGACACGAAATGAGACAATATTGCTGCTTACCGTTTGCATGACGAATCGTTTCAATACTACACCATCATATGTATCGGTACCATTATCATTGCGTATGCCAGTGGCATAATTTTCAATCAATTTGAGATTATAATGAAATATAAGGCTAGGTGTCATATAGCTTGGCATTCCTATTCGAACGGTAACAGCACCGGAACTGTCTGTTCTCAATATGGCCTGTATATCTTCGTCCACAAAATAAAGACCATATCGAAAGAATAGTGATCGCACAAATGGTAGCTCTTCAAATTCACGTAAACTAATCGGACATCGTAATAGTTGCCATTCCGGTTGTAAGGGAAAAAATTCGTAAATAAATTCTTTAGGATCAGTAAGAAAATAATGATCATCATATTCATAACGTAGACTATCGGTTGTACATTTTGCACTATTGTTCGATGACAATTGATGATGATTGGCCATCGATGATGATGATGATGATAATGATGTTGATGATGATGCGGATGATGATGAGCTTGATCGGTTGCCCACTTCTTTAGCATTGACCAGATGTCTTGCACCCCAATTACATTGGACGAAACGCCAACTTCCGGCCACATATACAGCATTCCATGAATTACGAAAACGACTATCTTCAAAATGTACACCCGGTTGATAGCCGGCACTTTTCGAATATCCCTTAATGACCACACAATGAAGGCCAACATAACTGTAAATGAAAACAACGAAAACAACGAAAAAAGGTCAAAACAACAACAAGGTTTTTTTCATATCATTTCAATTGTCATAATTGGAAAGATCTTTTTTTTTGTTTTTGTTCACTAGACATGAAATCATTTTAAGGATTGTTATGCTTGCATGGTTATCATATGAAATTAGTCAAAATAAAATAAGTCGAAAGCTAGAAAGACATACATAAGATGCATGTTATAATTATCAAATAAATAAATCCCTATTCATTTATTAATGGTCAATTTTGTTATTGGGTCAAGCGTTAAATATGTTCGAGTGTTGGAAGGGATTAAAGCCAATATCATATATTAATTACCTGCATAGACGTTTAAATAGGACATGGTAACTTTCAGTACCATGTTTAATACCACGTAATATTCCCATTGGTGTATCGGCCGAAACATTGTCATCAAATTTAATTGTATTCAAATTTTTGACAGTTATCCATCGAAATATTGCACGAGATTTTTCCACATCGGTCACACAATTTGCTGTCAATTGTCTGACCAAATCGGTAAATGTTTTCTGATCTTCGCGTGCCACCTATGATTGTAGATGAAATAGATAATATTGATTGATGAAAATGGTTGTTCAAAATAAAAAAAAAGAATACCCACATTGATGGCCACTTGATCTAATTCAGCAAAAACACTAGGATCATTATAAATGTCCAATTTGGAAATCGATGTTATGCTTGGTGCTGGTGGCTGTGATGGATATGAATGATCCATTGTAATGGCCGATGCAATCGATGAGGGCTTCTCTTCATTCGGCAATTCGATTGGTTCATTTGACCGCTAAACAACAATTGAATGGCGATTAGTTTATTAACAACAACAACAACAAAAGCAACAAACTTACATTACGGTTTCGACTATCTTTATTTTTCAAACCATTTTCATTTGAAGAGGATTTATTTACGGAAAACTCTTGCAATTTGGCCGTTATCAGATTCATCATTTCTTTACTTTGTTTTTCCACTAATTCGGCCGTTGCATGTCGCTCTTGTTCTAATAATTTTTTCGCTAATGATTCTTTTTTCTTATCAAATTTGATTGTCATATTTTTTTCCAGATCATCTTTCTCTTTTTGATGTCTAATGGTCAATGCTTTTTCTTCATCAGTAGATATTCTCTTTTTACGGCTATTCATTTCGCAAATAAATTTTGATGTCAATTTTTCCAGTTCTTTTTCCCATTCTTCTTTGATTTCGGTATTTATATACGATACTTCTTCAGCTCTTTTTTTCGAGAATTGCCTATATAATGCATCTTCTTCATCACGATGAAGCATTTCTAATTTTCTTTGCGTTTCTGAATCCTATTATATAATCGGGATATAAAAACAAATCCATAAGTAACAACAACAACAACAACAACAAAAATATGCCATGTTAATGATCAAATTTTAAATTTTTGGGATAAAAGAAATAAAAAAAAATTCATCATCATTCATAAATGATGTCTCAATTATTTTCTCCCAAATATACCTACAACCAATATAATAGACTGAAAATTCAAATTCAAATTCAAATGAATGATCATCATTATCATTTTAAAAAAAGTTATAATGGTGATCAGTACAAACATTAACTTGGTCATTAGACTTGATGTATTTTTTACTGGAAAACTACAACCTTAAAATAATGATAATGATAATGAACATGATATATACAGACATTCAGTCAGCAAACCAACCAACCAATGAATGAATGAATCATGTTTGTATGTCGATTTAGGACGATAAAAAAAATGGTGGTTAATTTAACTGCACATTCATTGTCACAAAATTAAACGTTCTGACAAACGTTTTTATATGGACCTTTTCATCTGTCATGATATATTCAAGTTAAATTATTAGCTATATTGGGCTGGATTGATTGTAATGATGATCATTCATTCATTCATTCATTCATTCGATCGATGGTAACCAATAGAAACAGCATGATAAAATAAAAATGAATTATGCAAATGGGGAAAAAAAACTTACAAGAAAATCATTTATACGACTTTCGATGCCCGGACGAACACTATGACGTAAACCGTTGGTGGATCGATTCAATTTTGTTTGATTGACAGCATGTTGTATATGCAAAGCTGATGCATCAAAATGTCCGGCAGGATAGTAATGTGGTTTGCCCGATGTTGATTGATCTGAATGATTTCCCATAGCTTGTTTGATTGTCAGAGCATCCGTGCTTAATGCTGGTTTCGAACCGGATACACGTATCTGTTCATTGATCAGGTGATTCTTTTTCGGTACATTCAATGCCGCTTTAATGCCGACAGATTGGCCATCTAAATGGCCAGGGCCCGTTTTCGGCACATGACTTTGGCAATAAACCTGAATCGAACACAAAAATGGTTTCAAATTTCAAATTAAATTCATAATAATGTTTGAATCGATTAACATTTTTTGAATTCCACGAACAGAAACAACATTTCACCTGTCATGTTTGTATTTTTTTTTTTTTTTTTTTGATCATAATCACACATAGCGCACAAATAATTCAGTCCTAAAAATAACACTGATAAAAACACTGCCATCTGCCATAACAATGTAAAAATTCTCCATTTTTTTGCAATTAAATTAATGCAAAAACAAAAAAACAAAAACAAAATCTTGGCCATGACAGAGTTTTTGTTTTGTTTGAAAATTGAAAAATTCAAGACTGAGAATGGTCATCAACTCTATGAAGATTTCATCATATGACATTGATTGTTTGAAAAAAAAATAAACAATGAAACAACATAAAACAACAAACCTCTTTATCATCTTGATCTTGTTGATTGTTGTAATAAGTTTTCAATGTTAATTTTGATCCACATGCAACACATTTAAAACATCCATGATGATAGAATGTAAAATCTTTTAATGGGCCAATCTTTTCAGCCGAATAAACAAGATGACCACAACGATTGCAAATATTCTCATAGGTGGTTGGCGCAAAACGACGTGCCGATGTTGATCGTATCGCTGCCGACATTTCGTAAATCGATTTGAGGATTCGATGGTAAGGAAATTGTATGCAGAATGTTTTTTTTATCGTTTAAGATTGATGAATTTTTTTTTCACATTATTGATTAGAAAGGCAATGAATATGATGATATGTTTTTTTTTTTTGGTGATGATGAATAGATTCTTACAATCGACTACCGTATACAATATTGCACTTCTGTGGTGATGAAATCTTGTAGATTAAAACCGATTGGAGAAAAATTTCATTCGCTGATTAATCATTTGTTTGTTGTCGTTGTTGTTGTTGTCGTCGTCGTCGTCGTTGTAGCCGTAGCAAAATGCAATAATCATTAATTTTTCATTTCAAATGATGAAAACACAAACATAGACACATCGAAAACACGGACTCGGCGTCCAAGTCAAAGGTGGATACCATCATCATCATCACCACCATCATCATTTTCTATGTCTCTTTTATTTCTCTCGAAAACCATTGGAAACTGGTTTTATTGCCGAAAAAAAAAATCTCTTTTCATTAAATTCTATTGAATTTCTTTTCTCTCTACCTCTCTCTCTCTCTCTCTTTTCGTTTTTTTTTGTTTCATTCATTCATTTAAAGCCCAAACACTTATTCGATTCGGATGATGATGTTGATGATGATGATGATGATGATCCTAACGTTCGAAAAAAAATGAATAAAGAAAATATTCGCGTCAAGATTTTGTCGTGCCATTAGTTATAGGATTTCGCACACACACACACACACACACTTGTTGCTAAATATTTACTGTTGTTGTTATTTTTTTGATGATGATGATGAATAGAGCTATTTTGCGAATCGTTTTCATTCTCTTTCATCATCATCATCGTTGTTGTTGTTGTTGTTGTCGTTGTTGTTGGCTATTCATCATTTGTTCGTCAATTTGGTTTTTCCTCTTCAATGTTCGGTATATTTTAAAGAAAAATTGGACAAAAATGGCCAATTTTTTTTTCTTCTCATCTACCAAACTTAGCAACAACAACAACAACGATGATGATGATGATGATGATGATGTTGATAATGGCAAAATCAAATAAAATCCCGGATTCGATCAAAATAACAGCAAACTGTGTTGACGACAATAAACAAACAAACAAAAAAAAAAAACATTTGAACATTTTTCGCATCGATCCGATAACCGGATCATTCATTCACAAGTTAATTTTTTTTATTATGAAGAAATTTATATAATGAATAATGATAATGATGAAACAGACACCCTGTAATTGTGAATAATCCATAATGTCGGATTTTTTTTTTTTTTTGTTTGGAAATCCAAAATTGCGGTCAATGAATATTTTATAATGGGCAATCCCTTTTTATATTTGTTCATCAATGATGGACATTATATGAGATGATGATGATGATTTTCTCGTGCATCTCTAGTATATAAATCGAACAATTTTTTTTACGCAAATACAAAATTTATTCATTCGGGATTTATCATCATTATTTATTATTATTATATATGAAAGATAGGGCAGGATCATCATCATCATCAGGTTTTTCTTCTTCTTCTTCAGGATATGGAGAGTTAGACGAGAGAGAGAGAGAGAGAGAGAGAGAGTGATGAATGAATGAATGAAGAAAATGCTGAAAATGGATGAATTGGATTTGGCACCAAAACGGTAAAAAAAAAAATAAAATAAAAGATGCATGGACCGATTATCCAAGGATTTCAATGTGTATTTTGCAGAAGAAAAACAAAAAAACAAAAAAAATCTCTGGAATAATTCAATGGCACAATAGGAATACAATGTTCGTGTAACACAGATTGACCAAAAATGTGTGTGTTTGAAAAATATGGCTCGACACAAACATACATTATCACTATAAATGTTATCATCATTATTATCGTTTCCAATAACATGTGAAATGTCGTGTGTCATTATTAAAAAATCTTGTTGTTGTTGTTTGTTGTTGTCGTTGTTTGTTGTTGTTGTTGTTATATATTGAATTGTTTTTATCAAAACAGTAAAAAAAAATATGACAATAGTTAAATTCTATACATTTAAAATGAGTGTGTGTATATCTAAAGCCATGTCATTATATTATCTTTGTTAGAATTTAATAGCTCCTCTACATTGGACAATAGATCCATATCAAGACCTTGCATAAAATCCATTGATTCGGAATCTAAATCCAGTCCAGATATTTGCATATTTTCAAAAGCAATATCATCAGATATGGCCGCTGTATTTGTATTTGGTGGATTTGTTGCTGTGGCCACTGAAGCAACAGCAGTAGATGTGGCTGTATTATTCGACATGCGAAGAAAATCATCCGGAGTGTGTGGCATTGAAAAATTGCTTGAATTTCCTAGATCTAAGCCTGAATCGATGCTTTCCTGTCGAGAATGACATTCATTTTGTAATGACAAAAATGGTGATGCAGCTGCCTCAGTGGATGATGATAGCATAATATTGGAAGCCGTACTATTCAACAATGAACTTTGTAGTAATTCTTCTTGTCGTTGTTTCATTCGTTCCCGTTCAAGTTCGAGATCTCGTAAATGTTGATTCTGTTGAGATTTCAATGCCATTTCTAATGGATTCTGTGTTTGTGTTGTACTAGCAGTAGCTGTCACCGTTGGTGGTGTTTGACATGAAGTATTCATATTTTTCAATGCCACAACCAATTCCGGTGGTATATTTGAACTATTCTGGAATGGCGGCGGTTGTATGGAACAACTTTGTTGTTGTATACGTTTCATTTGTAGATTTCTTGGTATACTTGGATGGAACCATGTTGTTGTTTGATCAATGTGACTGATGAAATATATGTCACCGGAAGATGTTTGTGCCTGTTCCCATCCATCCGGCAGTGGAACAATGGATGGATCGATATAGGAAAGATGTTCTTGATCACCACCACCATGAACCGATACAACGGTCGAAGATGTCACTTGATTAGCAGCTTGTATAGAAACAGTAGGCACTGTTGTTGCTGATTGAATGATTGGCTGTGCTGGTGGTGGTGGTGGTGGCGGTGGTGTTGAACGTCGTAACATTTCTTCGACAATTTTTTTCCGTGGATCTTCCCAAGTGGTTGTCTTTTCTTTGTGATTCAGAAAATATCGTTCACCACTGGCCGTATAGGACATTTCCCAACCATCTGGTAATCGGATTTGATCCAAATCATAGCTCATTTGTCGATAATGTGAAATTTGATTTGCGGCCGAGTCGTTGGATGATTTTAAATCGTTTGAACCAAATGTACCCTGTCCATTTAATGATGTGTTACCAGTAGCAGAGCCACCAGTATTTAAAGAAGCCGGTGGTAATGCAGCCGGCGATGAATTGGCTCTAGGATGTATGATGGCCAAACCATTGGCTGCATTGTAACCGATAAGAGGCGAATTGTTGATTTTATTCTGGCCACCACCGTTCGTATTCGGTGTGATTGGTGTTTGTCCCTGTGATTGATATCCACCATCTAGCGATGATTCTCTGGAATGGCTAGCCGATGCTAATGAATTCGTTGATGATGCAGCCGATGGTGGACGGAAAAATGATGGCGGCAATCGACGTTGTCGCATAGGTACTTGTTGTGGTAAGCGTGATTGACCATCATTAGGGCTCATAACCGCTTTGAACAGTTCATCAAGACCTTCATCGGCAGCGGTATCAACACGAACAATCGCATTACCATTGTTGTTCGTGTTGTTATTATTTGTGTGATTTGTTGTTTCAGAACCAGATTTCAGATGCATAATGTTAAAATACTTTTCAAAAACATAAAAGCTATGAATTAGTTATCATGAAATCTATATCAAAAAATTATCGATACCTATTGATAATTACCAAATGGTTACTGCAACCGAAACATCACAAACACTTGATTTGCTATGCAACAAGTGTCAAAGGTTTCCGATCCAAAAACAATGAAAATATGGGATGCTAATACTGAAGAATAGAAAAAAACATAACAGAGAAACAAAAAGAACACACTCAACAGAATAATGATGATGTCGTCGTCGTCGTCTTCGTTGTTGTTGTTGTTGTTGTCGATTCAAATCGAAGAAAACGAGTTTACCTTCTTTGTCGTTAAATTAAAGTGTGGTGGACACAAGGGAGATGCAAGTTTGTGATGTTTTTTGTTGTTGTTGTTGTTGTTGCTGTTGAATCGAATTGATATATGTAAGTAGTGGTTGTGTGTAATAATCCCAAAGTTCTCTCTTGTTTATGATCTTGATCGATGCTGTTGTTACTATAATATTTTCGATGATGATGATGATGATGATAATGGTGATGGTTGAAAGGAATGATTCCTTTCGGGAGGGGGAAATATTGATGCGATGGTTATCGGGTAGCTAGGTGATTGCTATTATATATGGATAATGATAACATTGCCGTTTATAATGGCAACATTCGAAATTGTTTTTTTTAGCAGCACATATTATAAATACAGGTAGTATGGCTGTCACTGTGTAATATGATGTGATTATAATGAATAGTTTTGATTGATCCAATTTTCAACTGGATTGTTTGAATGATATACAATAGACAAACGATAATGTGATGATCGATATTCAATAAATCGAACCAATTTGATTGAAGATTCACAATTGCTATTGGTGTATGGCAACAAACTAGAGTTATTGACAACTGAGATGATGATGGCCACCACCAACCTAACCAACAACCCAAAAAAAAAAAATTGCCACTGACCATCGATTTGCACAACCTACCTGTTTTGTGTTGTGTTAAAAAACTAACTTTGCTTCTTTTCTTTAGCTATCATCAATATTCTATGTGGACTTAGTCTTTTCTTTGGTTAGTAGTGTAAATATTTTCTCTTATTTGGCTTGTTTGACCAGAACGATAACGATGAAGACAACGAAGACCACGGCTACCACCACCACCACCACCATCAAGACCGAAACAACAACGATCATTATCATCCATCAGACGATGATTAACACACACACACACACACACATAGCATTGATAAACTTTGACTTGTTTCACCACACACACAAACTTGGACTAGGTTCATACATTGTTACACAGTGGAAGATTCGAGAATATCTTATGGACTCTGAGATGGTTGTTTATTGGTTGTCTAGCAATAAAAAAAAAAAATACAACACACAAATATATCTTGAACCAGCGTGAAAATGCTTACCAAACAATCAAAGCATATAAATACCGCCAAGGCACCTTGCTACCCTAGCTTCTTTATGGGTGATTATTATAATGTATTTTTTTTTAGTACACTCTCCCTCCTGGATCGATCAAACAAATAGCCATATGTGTGCAACCAGTGTGTGTGTGTGTGTGCAAGAAAGAAAAAATAAAATAAAAACCTGTGATCTACTTTACAAGGTCCTTTGAGCTTGCTTGTTCGCTTGGCTCAATAATAATAATAATACGACACTTGTGTGTCACATATGAACTATGTGTGGTTTGCCTTGAACAGCAGACCGGGACCTAAATGGTCTCTCTCTCTCTCTCTCTCTCTCTCGCCATCTTACGCGTAGAAATAAAAAAAAAATGACGATGATGATCCAAATTAGTTGTGCCAATCTTTAAATATTAACTAAAAAAAAAATATTGATTTATCAAAAGTTTCAGAAAGAAATCAGAAAAAAACCCGGAAACTGTCCGAAAGATAAGGACAAGTATCGCCATCTATTGCTTATTTTTTGCACATTGTATTTTCTATTTCGAATGTTTTCAATGTCAATCTTATCTTGATTTGTATTTTTTTTTTTTTTTGAAATTGTCTCATTAAATTTTCATATCATCATATGGTTATTATTATTTCTATCATCATCATTGTTGTTGAACAGCCATGGTCATTGATTAAAAACATCATTGGTATTATTGATGTCGTCAAGTTTAAGCTGTTTAAAAAATGATGATGATGATGATGATGATATGGTGAATGAATGGTGGTTAGTGAAAACAATGAAATTCTGCCACCATATAGCCACCATATATAATATAAGATGTTTTAATAGTTAAAAATACACCAAATAGCTGACAGCCGCATCATCATTAATGTACCCTACATTGGCCGATATATACCCATCATCACAGTTGTTGGCTATATATAAGACGGCCCATTTTGATTCGAGGAGCAACGAACTGGAACTAGCGGCGGCTATTCAATATTATATCCATAGAAACCAGGATTGAGCAGTAACATTCATAAATGTATTCGATCATCAATAATAATATAATGGGAGTATGGCACAATTGGTTATGCGTTAGGTGGCGTTTTTTGTGTCCCTGGATTTTTTTTTCTCATTTCTAACACAACGAATTTAGGTCTTTGACTCCCTTTCTCGCTAGTATGCCGAATCTGATCAAATTAAATTTATAAACTCGTAACAATAATTTCAAGATGTGACAAAGTAAATTGTCAAGCAAAATTCCGGACAGATAGCTATTATTATATTTATCAACGAAGAATTGATCGTTTTGCTCAAATTCGAGTGAAATCGTCATTATTATTGAATGAAAAATGATTCGAATGGCTCAAAATCTTTTCTATTCTTTTCTTTTTGTTTTTTATGCAATTTCATTTTCGCAAACATTCGGTAAGTGATAATTGCATGATGTTGATTTACTTTTGTTGATTTATTTCTTTTCACGCATACAGAATGGAACAATCAAATACAATTGACACGAAAACTGAGTCCATTACGTTCGTATAAGGATGCTCAGTTTTTTCGTTTCCAAATACCGCCGGAACTCAGCAATGCCGTATTTCGGTTGAATGCATCGCAATCCGAATTGCCGATCAATGTGACCATGTGGCAAGATCATTATTCAGCATGGAATATAACACATCTATCCAAAACGAATATGGCTGATACCATACCTATTACGGCCACCGATCAATGGCCATCATTACCTAGTTGGATCAATGCAACCAAAATAGCAATCTATTCGGAAAAAATAAATAAATTTTATCGATCAGTACTGAGCACTGCTTGCCGAAAACCGTTGCATGTTAAATTTTATCTTCGTTGGCAATCACTTCCATTATTATCGATACGGAATGCAACCATACCGGATAATTTTATATTCAAAAATTCAACCGATCAGTATGTTGTTGATCTGAAAACGGATGGCCAAATTGTTGAACTGAATCTAACGAATCCATTACCCGGTGATTGGTATGGTATGGCATTCATCAACAAAACCAATGATAAAATCGCACAGAAAGGTCTTGAACGTGAATGCATTTATCGGTTTAAATCAAGCGTTTCTTTAATTGGCACTGCAATGAATCGTGTGAGCGTTTTGAAGCCATCACATACTTTCATGTTGAAACAATCTTTGGTTATTGACCAGCAAAATATTCAACCAGAGCTTCTCTTTAAATTTTTCCTCAATCTACACGAATCATACGGTGTCAAGATTGTTATAACCAACTGCCAATATCGACCGTCATCATCATCATCGGCAAATATCCGTCATCATCCATCGAATCAATTGCCATCGTATCAATCATCTATGGTGATGAATAACGGTGATCCGATGCTTGTTCAACACAATACAAATTTTTCATCATCATCATCATCATCATCATTGAATATGACCAATATCTGCCCAATTGAATTAAATTTTCGAGCACTTGCACTGCCAAATACAACCACTCGAGATTATTCATTCAATTGCCAGACGAATCAAACGAATGTTGAATTGAGCAATGATAAATGTATCATTGATTTACCAAGCTTTGTTCCGGATCATTGGAATTATTTACAGATTGTATCAACAGTGAACAATATGATTATGATCAATGATCATCATCAAACTCATAAAACAATCTTTGGCGAACAATATCGAACAAAATTAATGTTTGGCTCAATCAATTTTACCATACAACTTCTTGCCGGTCAGGAAGCCTTTCTATATAATTATTTTAATGATCAAAATTGTCAAATGGCTGCTGGCCAAAATCAGCCACAGCCTCAACAACAGCAACTAACAAGCACAACAATGGCATCGAACATTATGTCGTTGAACAATTATAATTTTGTAACAAAAAATAAGAATGAATCGCCAGTATCGGCAATCGTCGATGACAATTCCAAAGTAAATTTTTTATCAACAAATCGGCTTTCCAATAATTTGGCAAATTATAACATTGCCAAACATAATAATTCGGATAGAAAACCTGCCTATCCTTTCGATCAGATCGATTCGGATGTTGACATGAAAATCAATTCAATGAAAAATGAAAAAGCTTCCACTGTATCGATCAATAATTATGATTCACTTGAATATAATGAAGATGATGGCGATTTTATTGATGTCACCGAAAATCAAATCAGCAAAAGATCAGCCGATCAGAACCGTGATCGCAAGAAACAGGATAAAAAAGCCAAAGAAGAACGACGACTTAAGAAACAAAAGAATAAAAATCGACAACGAAATAGAGATAAAGCTTTAGCCGAAAAACAATGTCAGTTCGAACCTTCGAAAATAATGGCTTCGTTAGATGAGGATGATATGGTCAATATGACCACATTTGCAGTCTACAATCTTACACGATATCAAAGTTCGGATGTTTTCACTTTCCGTTATAGTCCGACAATGATAATCGATGATGAATTATTGAACACGAATCAATCATATTCTAGTCAAGCCAATTTCATCGAAATCGATAATGATCGATTTGCTTTGTTTAATTTTACAATCATACCTCAATATGATATTGGTGGCAATCTAGAAATTGATTTCGCCATCTCACCATGGACCAATCATACACATCAGAATGTTACGGCCATCCTTTGTTTGACGCACAATCGATTACCACCATTATCACTGACATCCACTGGCATTCAATTTGATGAACATTGCTATGGCCATCTTGTATCGAATACTTCTCAGGCAAATTTCACAACAATGGGAAGTGAGTTGCAATCATTAGTTGTACCTTATCCACAATCTGGAACATGGTTCATTTCGATTCTGGCTCGATGTTATAGTAGCCACGATGAAGATATCGATGATGATTTCAATTCATTAATGAATGCCGATTTCAGCACCGTTAGCTGTGATTATTTGAATAAAACATCCATCATGATCGATATTCATTCAGCTTCATGTTTAAATTCTCGTTGTTTGAACAACGGTAAATGTCAACAATATATGAATGTTGGAATCCTTTATTCAACATGCTCATGTCGTGCAGGTACTGTAATCTTTGTTTGTTAGCTGTTACTCGAAATTAATTGTTTGTTTCATTTTTTTCCCTCTAAGGTTGGAAAGGATTAGTTTGTAATGATGGAAGCGAAGCGTTATCCGCACAAAAACTACTCATCAACTTTCTCATATTGACCATCAGCAATGCAGCATTTATACCGGCAATTGTTCTGGCAGCATGTCGACGTTATTTCACCGAATCGGCCATCTATTTCATCACAATGGTCTCATCAGCGGTATGTAATATTGATGACTGAATAATTGTAAATAAATTCATTCATTTTGATTTTCCAGTTATATCATGCTTGCGATAGCGATTTCTCACAATCTTATTGTGTCTTTAGTGTTGGACTGTTACAATTCGCTGATTTTTACACAGCAATATTATCATTCTTTGTCACATTATTGACATTAGCATGTTTATCACCTGGATGTAAATCATTTTTCCATCTAATGGGTGCCATCTCTATTGCATTGATCACCCAGAATGATCGTACAAGCCTATGGACATTTGTCATTCCGGCTGGTCTCGGAACATTACTCATGTTCTGCTGTTGGGTATGTTTAACAATCTAATGTCGAAAATTCCAGTAATATTGATCCCCATATTGACAGTGTTCACGTTGTTGTCGAAAATCCTGTTATCCACCCGTACGCTGTTGGATATTTTCCATATGTCCAGCGCTGATTTTAACCATTGTTGGATTGATAATCTATGCATTTTTAGAAACACAAGATAACTATGCCATTACTCACAGGTAAAAATCTTCATCATATACTGATTAATTGTTGTTTAAAATTTTGTTTTTAGCGTTTGGCATGGTGTTGTTGCATTGGCATTATTTTTGGCAATACCATCGATGCCATCACAAAATCCAGCGGAAAATGATGAAGAAGATGAGGATCACGTCCATTTTATGAGCTCATCTGGCAGCTCGACAGCAGGCGGAAGTGGTAAAGGTACAGCTAAAACTGCTACTAATCCCGAAACCTATTATGAGCTAATTGGCGAAGAAAAATCCCATTTGGCCCGTACACATACCCATACGAATGTTCCGACCAATGCTCAACAAATAACCAAAACCTATTGATGATATGATAAACTAACATTATACAGTATATGATAGTAGTATCATTTTGTCCATTTACAAATTTGTTTCCCTTCAAATTCCGAACAAACACACACACACACACATAAACATAATCGACGAAAACAGAAAGACAACCCGAATCGATTAATCATGTATAAATGATTAGGATTCAATGAAAACAAAAAAAACTAGTCATTTAATTAGGCGTCCACGTTCATTCATGTGATATTGATGCTAATTCTCATTTTCAATCCTCTCTATCGCCATGAACAAAATGTTAGATCAACTTTCGAAAGAAATATTTGTCTTTGTCATTTCGGCTAAGTTTCAACGATGACAATCTTTATGTAATAAAAAAAAATTTTTCCAAAGAATGATTCTTCGAATATTTTCAAAAAACCAAAGAGAGAAACCTAGAAAAAGAAGCACATTTTCTTACTTCTTCGGACCCGAATTCTCATACATTCATAAAGAACAACTTCCCTCATATTTGCATAGTAAAAAAGAACGAAATCGATGCTAATCAAAGTTTTTCCTTTCTTTTCTTGGTTTCTCTTATCTTGTCTCGGTTGGACATTGGTTTGATGGGATTCATATGTTTTGGTAATCAAATATTATCTGTACACTTTTACAGGCATACAGAATGCCAAAATGACTCACGTTCAAGAATGGAGACCACCACATACCAGTTTTAAATTTTTACACGACGATATCGATATGTTATGATCGATTTGGTCAATGATTGGTGATTGCAATTCTTTAGCCAAAAAAAAAAAAAAAAAATATCTAGTTATACCTATATGATTATTGCATTTTGCATTCCGTTTTTTTGTTTGTCCAAGTTTGATATTCACGTTCAAATAAACAGTTTCTTGTTTATAATTTATCATTATTTATTATATTATTATTACTTTGTTTAATTTCTTCATTTGATCAATATAATCATCACATGTTTGACATCTAATGTTTAAAGTAAAACAAAAACTATGTCAATCTCATTTCTGAAATCAAACAAGAGAAAAGAAAAATATTGTTCAAATGAATGTTTATTTTCTATGATTTTTGAATATCTGTCCTTCATATAATACAATTAGGATTTAGTATAAATGTCTAAAATGATGATGATGATGACGATGATGACGATGATGAAAGAATATGTTACATGAGTATAAAGCAAGTTTTCAATCACGTCTGGCATCACGAATACGTTGAATATAAGCTTGACCTTTGTTACGTCGAAATGATTCAAATGGATCAAACATTTTGGCTGGTGTGTTGGTCGTATCACCGAACCCTCGATATTGTTCGGATTGCTGTATGACAGGTGAAGTAACCTTGGGTTCTAAAATCAAATTCATCAATTAGTATGGACAATTATAATGCATATTAACTAGATCAATACTTGTCTCTTTGGTGGTGAATCCTGTGTTATTTGACCAGGTCATTTTCTTTGTTGATATCAAATCTTTCTTGCGAGAATCATCAGAGTTGCGATTAAATTTGGAAAATTCCGGTGATTTACTTGAAGATTTATTCTTTGAAAAAGTATGTTTAGGTGAGGATTCTCGTCGATGATTCGATTTCGATGGACTTTTCGAACGAACAGGTGATCTTGATCTTGATCGCTTTTTCGAACGATGCTTGTCGGTCGGTGATCGGCTACGGTTTTTACTAAAGAAATATGCAAACAAATATGGATGAACAAGTTAAACATAGGAAAATTAGAGAAAATAAATACCTTTTTTCTTCTGTGAATTCTTTATAGGATTTTTTAGGTGGAGATGATTTCTCTGAAAATGATTTTCGATTATTATCATTATTGCATGGCATACTTGATGAATCCGAGTCGTTTAATGTTTCATCATCTTTCTGTGTTGGTTCATGGCCTAATACATTAATTTCATATTCTTTTCGAGCTTGTGATTTGGTTTTGAAAAATTCATATAGGCCAAGTTTCTCCCAACCTTCAGCATTTCTTGGATGTTCGTGGGTTGGAGCTGAATAAAATGCTTCCAAAGCTTGAAGCAGACGTTCAGATGGAGGTTCCAATGATGGCAGTTTAATTTCTTTTGGATCAATGGGATTATAATCGAAATCTTCTAATTTAATCAACGTAGTCATCAAACCGGCCGGTTTTTCGAAATAAGGTGCCGCTTCTTCGGGCGCCAAAGAAGGAACTTCTGGCAACATCTGAGTGGTGGACGGCATCATTGCCGATGCATACAGTGGCAATGGAGGATACATCTGCACACCAGGATTTGTTGGGTAGAAATTCGGCTGATGATGTGATGTAACCGTTACGATTGAAAATGGTGCAGGAAACCGAGCATGTGGTAATGGTAAATGTGGAGGTGGCGGAAGTAGCGAAGTTTGCGGCTGTTGAAGTGAATCGGGCGGCATCGAAGAATTTGTCTGCACGAAATTATTCACAATCGATGGTGTAACTAATGGAATACTTGATGTTGGTGGCGGTGGTACAGTGCCATTAGGAGGGGCAGTAGTTATCATTGGATGAACGGGTAAATGTGCTGGAACTGGAGCAAGTGGTAATTCGTTCATCTGTCCCGGTGGAAACGATGGTTGTATAGGAGACATGTTTGCTTGTATAGTTTGCTATCGGAAAAATGAAAACTTTAATCAGATGTAAAATTGATTATTTTTAACTAACTTTTTGTGATTGAAGCTGTTGAATTTGATTATTACAATGAACAACAAAATCCGAATGTTGTTTCTCAATCTGTATGTATTTATTCATTTGTTCTTGATTGATCATATTGATTTGTTCCGAATATTTCTTCCGTAGAGAGGTCTATGAATGAATGGATTTAATTATCAATGAAACAATTGTCAGTACCCACCTTATAGGCATCTAGTGATTGTTCTGGTGATTTCAATTGCTAATCAATAGGAAAAAGTGCCCGTATTAATCGATAATGGGAAAAAAATGATAGAAAATGATATAATATTAAAAATTGATCATTGTTCCAATGTTATAAAAGTGTATTATATAGTGGATCAACAATAGATGCCTGATAAAACCTCTCAATTATATATAATTTAAAGATTTGAAATGTTTGCCTGTTTTATTCAAATGATTCCTTACATCCAACAATGTGTGATCAATATATTGATTGGTCTCCCATATTTTGAGAAGCTATGAAAATGATGATAATAATTAAGACAAATTGTTAATATGAATTTCATTCGATTCCAATTGAATAATAATAAAAAAAAATGAAAAACAGAATCCAGAAAAAGATATTTAGAGAAAAAAAATTACTTTGTTCATTTTTTGTTTTCGTTCATCGTTTGCTTCCATTAAAACCGTAGTAAAGGCAGCGACGATTATGTTCACAATGGCCGTTTTTAATTTTTCATCATTTTTTCGCATGCTATTCGAAAATTTTAATTATTACAAACGATTAATGATTGATTCTTATATTTGTGAAATATGATTTCGTACCAATGATTGAATATATCATTTATCAAATACATTAAATGAAGTTTGCCTTCGAATTGAGAATCGGTCCTTGTCACTCTGTTTTATTATTAGTGGAAATTAATCAATTGATCTATGATCTATGAATAAATAGTAAAAATCTACCTTTTCAAAAGATGTTTGGCAACAGCATCATATTGTTCGGCTGTATTACAATGGTTAAATATCCATATTTTGCCATTCTAATTGAAACAAACAAACACTGATTAGTGGAATATATTAAACAATGGTTTATAATTACAGCAACTGATTCTTTACGACAGCTTTTAATGATGGGTTGCAAAATTTTATCAAACTCATTGAGATTAATATTGAAATCTTCGCACATTCGTTTAAGTTCATCATCCAATTGTTTTGTAATCATTTCGTTGATTCGTCTCTCCATTTCTACGCCCATTATCACTTCTTTTTGAGCATTTAAATTTTTTTCCGATTCTTTTAAATGATCTTTTAATTGTTGAATTTGTGAATCGATTCGATTGTGTGACTCAATATCACTGGACGGCGCTGAAATTGGCGATTGTATGAGATGATTAGTAGATGCCGGTGGCTGCCAATTTGACACTGTTTTCGGCGGAATTTGTACAAATTGATGATTATGAAATGATTCTTCTGACATGAATGGAGCATGAAGTGGCAGCGGAGGACAATGTGGTGGTGGTAACTGATGATGAGGATGTGGATGATGAGACAATGGAGATTGTTGTGAAGCAAAATTATTATTGAATTGCGTTGGAGCTTGTGATGATGGCGGAAACGGTAAAGGTGGCGGTAATGGAGGAGGATTGGGAAAAAAATTGGGTAACGGAGGCATAGCATGTGATGGTAATGGCTGTGCGGGCATTTTCGAATGTTGTTGAAATGCCTGTTGTTGTTCGGATGCAACACGAAATCGATAATAAGCATGATATTCACCACCGAATAGAAACATAAATTTCGGATTGCCCATTTGTTTATTTTTGGTCATCTGTTCGAAATCCGGTCCATTACGAGCAACGAATTGAGCCAATTTATCGATTATGTTGCGAAGTTCTAAATCTAAACAAATTTATAATCAAGATGAATATTTTCGATGAATATTGCTTACTAACCTTCCGGTGGTTTAGGAACATTCATCTTTTATATCATTTAATTGAATAGAATATGATATAAGAATGATATGAAAAAAAACTAAACAAAAAATTCAAGATTCCTTCGTTTGACGAGCATTTATCCTGGACATAGCCTGGGTTCCGGTGAATAACCTCCAGATGGCAATACTTGCAAAATAAATTGTTTTGATCATTGTTTGTTCGAATCACATTTTTCCATCAATTTTGTTTCAATCTAATTTATGCAGATATCTAGTGACTTCTATTATCTTATGACCAATAAATGGCCACCGATTCTTTGATCTGATCTTTGATTGATTTTGAAGCAGCTGCATGAATTAAAGAGATAATATCAAAGCGAAACGAAAATGTTTCAAGATACAATGCAATTCAAAACGGATAGTCCCGTGAATGCAATGGCTGTTAGCCGTGATGGACTGCTTGCCGTTGCCGGAAGAAGTTTACTGAAAGTCTATAATCTTTGTGATGAGACTGGATCATCGTTTGGTCAGGAATTGTTCAATCTTCGTAGTTCAAATCTGAAAAATTTGAATTTTTCCAACAGCGATGTTACATGGTGTTCACTTGATAATGATATTCTAGCTACAGCCGCTACGAATGGTGCTGTTGTCATTTGGAATCTACAAAATTCAACCAAGTCGAAAATAGGCGTCGTTTACAATGATCATAAACGAACGGTGAACAAAGTTTGTTTTCATGGTAATGATCCAAATCTATTGCTCAGTGGTTCTCAAGATGGATGTATGAAACTGTTTGATCTACGCAAAAAAGAAGCTGTCACTACGTTTGTTTCAAATTCTGAAAGTGTTCGTGATGTACAATTCTCGCCACATTGGACATATCATTTTGCATCCGTACAGGAGACCGGAAATGTCGAAATCTGGGATATCCGTAAACCTGATAGACCGGAATGTAATTTTATTGCTCATGATGGACCAGTACTTGCCTGTGAATGGCATCCAAATCAAGAAGCATATAAATGGCTGGCAACTGGTGGTCGTGATAAAATCATTAAAGTTTGGGACCTCAGCAATCGTAATCGTCCACAATTAATTTATAATGTTCATACGATAACGCCCGTTTCGAAGCTAAAATGGCGACCAGAAAAAGATTTCCATATTGGCAGCTGTTCATTGGTTGTTGATTTTAGTGTTTACGTTTGGGATATTAAACGACCATATGTACCGTTTGCCATTTTTGGTACGAAAAAAGATGTTACCACCGGATTAGCATGGAAAAATGATCCTTTTGTGTTCATATCATCGTGTAAGGATGGTACAATATATCAACATCGATTTGAAACCGATGCCTATTATCCGGCCGAACATTATCCACCGATCGGCATCGATTTCAATCCATTTGGTGATGTTGCCTTTTCCACCACTGATTTCATTTATCGTCACTCACAAACGTTACAAAATTCAAATTCAATGAATATTGGCAGTAGTCGATCGAATCGAATGAAAACATTTGGCCTGAATAATTTATCTAATAATATTCTTGTTCAATCAAATTCAGCAACAAATTTGAATCATTCATTATCCAGTTCATTTACACAGAATAATTATGAACTGCCACCTACTAATGCATCAATTGCCTGTGATGCACGACCAACAACACGGCATATTTCGATTGGTTCCCCGTCAAATCATCATGCTCATCAATATCTAATCGCTAGCGGTCATGGTCAACCTAAGTACCTTCCATCACAGCAGCAGCAACAGCAACAACAGATTTCATCCTCATCTTCATCATCATCGTATTCGACACCTGCCTACAATATAAGTGTACCTATATCGTATAGGAAAACGAATGAAACAATACTAGCTGATCATTTCCGTTGTATGATCAGTTACATGATGTTATTTGAAAGTCGAAAATTTCCCACAATTTCAGCTTGTCTAACTGAGGAAATTTCAATGAAAAATTTTATTCATTCAGCCAGAAAGTATCTATTGATGGATCGAACATTTGAAGAATTGTGTGAACATAATGCTCAGGTTTCCGATTCATTAAATCGTTGTCAAATTGCACAAACATGGCGTATGATACGATACATGTTCAGCATAGCCGGACGTCATCCGACATCCAGCGGTGGCGTAGGTGGTACGACGGGAAATAATCCAAGCGGTGGTAGCCTACAGAATAGTATGCAACCAATCAATGATAGTGGTGATTACAAGATGAAGAATGAAATTCCAAGTCGACATGCCAGTGGTGGAGGTGGCGGCACTCGTCATTTTAGCGGCAATAATAATGCAGCTGTGAATAATCATCCATTTTTTTCAAAAGAATCCAAACACTCGGATGATGATGATGATCGTAACGATAACAATCAATTGGATTTGTTTCAAAATCATTTCCCCACATTGAAACAGGATACGATGCCTAGTAATAAATTTGTGGTAGATTTTTTCGATTACCAACCGAATCAATTAGAAACAATGGATTCGATCGAGCAACGTCTCTTACATTATCATCATCGTAATGATGAAAATTTCTATGATTTTGAATCAAATTGCCAGGAATGGGAACTGCAACGTGAATCAATATTTCATCGTCATAATATTGCTGAATATGGTATACAGATGAATGAAATGAATGCAAATAATGCTGGTGATAATTCATTGATGAGCAATTATGAAGTCAATTCATCCATTAGCTATGATGAAGATGATGAATTGGATTTCAATCTTAATGAATCGCCTGGATTTTCAAATGTTAATCTACAGGCGCTGTTATCGTCAAAAAATCCAGCACCACCAACATGGCCTATTTATGAATCTGTAGCCCAAATGCTTCGGTTTTATGTGGATGTATCCGATGTACAGACTGCCGTTTCAATTATTTTGGTGTTGGGCGATCGAATGAAACAGATCGTATCAATTGATAAACAAACCATTCAGATATGGTTTCGTTCATACATTGATCTTTTACATCGATTTCAACTGTGGAACATATCAACACGTTTGATACAACAATGTAGTGATCCAGATATTCAGGGTATTAATCAATCATTAACATCAGTACTGGTTTATTGTGCATTATGTAAGAAAGCTATTCATCATGGATCGGTTTTATGTGAAAAATGTCGTACACAGCCAAGCACCTGCAGTATATGCCATGTATCGGTACGAGGGCTATATGTTTGGTGTCAAGGATGTGCACATGGTGGTCATCTGAAACATATGCTTGATTGGTTCCGTACGAATTCATTATGTCCGGCAGGTTGTGGCCATCAATGTGAAATGTGCTAAATATGTCCTATTCTTTTCTCTACATTTTTACCCGTCTTCGTTCCTTCATTCTAATTTATATAAGAAGAAACAAAAAATTTATGTCATCATCATCATCATCGATTTTATTATTATTCTATTACCTTCGATTTTGAAACCAAACTTTGACCTGACGTTCGGTCAGGTTTAATTCGACTGCTATCTCGTATCGTCGCAATCGTGTTAAATAGCTTTGTCGATCGAAATGTTGTTCGAGAGCTTCCAATTGGAATCGACTAAAAGAAGTTCTTTCTTTTCGAAAACTAACGTTTTCAATCATATGATTCAACTGGTTGTTGTTGTTTTGCATGTTCGAATCGATCACTGATTCAATGGTTATTTGTTGTTGATTATTATTGTTATTGAACTTTGAACAATAAATTTGCTGTTGATTTGAATCATCGATAAAGCAATTGTTGTTGTTATATTTATCGAGCTCCATCACCATTGAATGTTCAATTGAAAACATTTTTTTCCACTGCTGCTATACGGCTGTTATGATTTTGGAGAAATGAATTGCGGACAAATTTATACGAAAAAAAAATTGTCGGTCAGATGTAACACATCAACAAGTGCCAAATGATTTGTCATTATGAGAAAACACGCGTTGATGGCCTTTTAGTCATCGCCATCATCATCATCATCATCAATATCAATCAATTGTGTCTGTCAATTCAACATGTTTGAATGTCAAAAACATATGGTCAAAATCTTGGCTGTCTTTTGAGTATAGAAATTCATCATTTTTTTTGTTTATTATTTTTTTTTGTTGCTCAAATAAAATAAATAAATATTGTTTACAATACAATTTAATAATTCATAAAATCTTCATTCGGCTGCTCGGCAAGATTTAGCTTTGACTCTGATTGATTATTTTTCCGTTTGATTGGTGTATATCGATTTTTGATCAATTGTGTTTGTAACCGCCAAAACACAACTGTAATGAATGAAAAGACTATAATGATGATCAATATGGGTATGATAATCTCCTGGATGGTAATGTTCATGTACGAACAATCGGTCACTCGAATCCCATTAAACATGATTGATGTTTTCGAACCAAAATACATTTCATGTAATGTATCACCATCAACTAATGGATATTCTGGATCATATGGCGATGTTACAGCCAAACTTACACGACAAACGACATTATAACGTGATGATGATATTGTCTCATTTCTTGTATCGATTATAAGAACTAAATTGAATAATATAAGTAAGCGATTGTTTGGACATGGTTTAGTTTAATTTAATTTAATTTAATTTTCAGCTTTACTCACCGGATTCCGTGTCGATCAACATACTAATGTTTGATTCATGTTCGACAAGATAATTGTTCAGATGATAAACATATTCCTGGAGAAACTCTTTTTTTGTCGTCGTTCGCCAATTGATACATAGTTGTTCGAAACATAATTGTGTTGACGCCAATTTGATTCGATTTGGTATATCATTATTTTTGGACTTTTTGATTGTTTTATTTGCAATTTCACTATATGCTTCCAATACTTTGACATTTTTTTTCAATGAATTGTGAGTGACTACCCTGTGTGGACGAGTGTTGGTTGCAATCATTGAGTATTGTCAATCGAGAGAAATCATGGAAATAATTACCTAAGAAAAGCCGAATCAGCATTGATCCAGAATTTCATTCCTTCACTATTGTGGCTTGCAATTTTCCGTGTGATAATCTGACATTTTGTATGAGCCCAAAGTTTAGGCTGCATACCAGGACAAATTAGAAGATAATCATTCTTGTCGAAATCCAGATCCAGATATACGATTTCGAATTGAACACCAATCTTGTATTCGGTTTCGGATTCTTCAGCTTTTGGAACAACGTGTGTCCATACTGAATTGGGTTCATAATGATCAATTTCAATTTTTGATCGAGAAATGCCATCATTTTCCGCGTGAATTTCCATTGATCTGAATTTAACCGTTTTATGCGTCACAGAAAATTTGATACAGGGATGGCCATCATCATCGACGAATTTTACTTTTCTTTTGTTTTGAGCGAAATGCGTTTCAGCTTGATTATTATCGAATGCTGTGAATTCTATTCGTATCTAGAAATAAACAGCCGAAATAAACAATACAACCTGTACAAATGGTTAGCAATGATAATTACCTTATTCGAATCACTGATAAAAGTTTGAATTTCCTCGTGTTGACATTCGCCATCTGATTCTTTGCCAATAAACGAGCTTAGTACATTGCCAGAATTCTCATCGACAACGATCAGTTTGTTATCGATATAACCACAAAATTGTATTGTTAAAATAATATAATCATTATCCGATGATGTTTGAACGTGGTAATATCCGACCAATGACTGTTTAATGAAATTCAATTTTTTTAATCATTTTTAATCGATTTTAATCAACAACATTACATTGTTCACCACTGTGTTAAGTAGACAGATTTTATCTCCATCTAAAAACGATATTTCACCGCTTTCATCATGGAATTCGGTTTCATTGCAATTGTATTTAGTGAGCGTGGTTATTTGTGCAACTGGTGATTCGTCAATCATGTCGTTGATGATGCTGCTATTCTGACCTGAACAATTTCGAACAATCAGCACGAAAAACAAAACGATGAATATTTTTGGTTGAGCCATTTTTCAAATGATGCATTCACTGAGTGACTAAAGACAACAGGTTGCATATGATTACAATTAACGTTTTTTATTCCATCTCCATATCCTTGACAACCGATTGATTTCTCAAGGAAATTGATAAATTTATCAATCAATTGAAAAAAAGTGTTTCACATCATGACAACATCGATATTTGAGACAATAAAAGATAAGTGATAGTCATTGGTTTAGTTTTTGCAAATTGTTTTGGAAACATCGATTCGACAACGATCGGATAGACGAATCAAGTAAATAAGAACATCACTCAATTCATCGGCCAATGCATTTCGTTCTTTTTCGGTCCATTTGGTCAGTCCATTGTCACAATATGAATCCGGTTTCCATTGGAAATTTTCGGCAATCTCACCCAATTCACCGATCAATGCAAGCAAAATATTTCGTGGTTGATGAAATTGTTCCCAATTACGTTTCATTACAAAATCATCATGCATCTGACGAATTTGTTCCAATGTTAGTGGTGAGAAATGAAATGATTTATCAATTTTATTAGAATCGATTGATTGATCCATATTTTTTATCAATTTCATCAAAAAGAACACAGTATTATTTTAACAACACAAAAAAATAAAATTTTATACATGTGAAATCAAAATCAATTTTTGGAAATTTTGATTTCAATTCTAATCATAAAGAACGTGACGGGAAAGGTTTTTTTTACAAAACGATTTCTCCCGCTCTATTAACTTATATCAATTCCAAGCGATGACTTTATTGGCAACGGCACGATAGAAACAAATGTATGAATAATTTTGTAGCCAATGTTCTACCCATTCTTTTTGTGTATCGTTGGAAATACTTTCATCATCAAATAATAACCATGAATGATAATATGGTCGAACCAATGTGAAATAATGACCAGTTGTTTCTGTACCACGATGTAATATACATGAATAAATGTCATATTTTTTGTCGCATATTTCCAATGTTTGATTAATGGTTACTTTACGGGTAATTTTCGAACCAGTATGAGTGAATCGTTTCAGATGTACGATGAGATAATGCGGTGCTCGACATATTGTCAGACGTTTTCTGGATTTTTGTTTTCGTTGACAATTCTCACAGAATGTGGCATCGTTCAATATCTATGGAGATTCATTTAATTTAATTATTATTATCGTATTCATGATTATTGGACATACCTCCCAAGCCATGTATTCTTGTATGCATTGTTGAATGCTTAATTCTCGATCACCGTTGCCATTTTCGTTATCATTTTTGAGGTGTAGATTTAGTTGCCAAAAACTACTCCAAGAAAGGCTTGAATGTTTACATTCGAAACATTCTAATACCGATTCTGATTGACCAACGAATAGCCGTGAATAGAAACTATTGTCTACACGTTCCAAATGAAGTTGCCATGCTTCTTGAGCATTTTTTGGTTCAACATTCAATTTTGCCAGTTTATTCTTTTTGATTTTATTGTCTTCTTGGTGAATACATTCAAGTAGAATGGTAAGAAATTCTTGTGCATCATGTTGTTCATTACGAACGAATTGTGGTTTGATCAGTCGAAATTCACAAATAAATTCCTCCGGTTTAATGACTGCGTATCTATTCGTTGACAATGCTTTGTTGCCCATTTGATGCATCTGCTGAAACAATTTCGATAATTTGAATTGTATTCGACCACCACCACCACCAGCTGTTGTTGATGGATGTTGCAAATTCAGAAGATATTGTCGTAATTTATTCGATCCATATAATGCCTGTAGTGTGGAATTGGCGTAACAAGTGTTGCCCAGATTTTTAAGTCCAACGAATTTGGGTTCATCATAAAAAATGTTTGGATTCGAAACGGGAACCACTGTCATCGGTCCTTCACTGCTGTCCACTTCTTCTTTGATGATTTGTTCATCATGATGTACATCATTACCACCACCACCACCGCTACAATCATCGTTATGTTCCGATCTTAATCGTTGTTCATGTTGTTGATCATCATCATCATCATGTCTTCCCTTATGATTATGTTGTTGATTAACGAGATTCACACATGAATTACCTTCGTATTCGCATGATGTTATTTCGATTTCAAACACCATTTTTCTTGATGACGCAATTTCGTTTATTTCTAAATTTCACTACTAAATATAACAAACAGAAAAAATTTTTATTCAATTTACAACTAACAAACGGAATTAACACAAAACTGCCTGAAGATGGCGTATGCATAGGCAAATTCATGCACGGCATTTTCGAAATGGAAGTCTTGGAAAAATTGAACTGAATTGAACTGGCAAAATTCGATTTTATCAAATTTTTTTTGTTTCTTTAATTCAATAAACTAGCATGCCCGATTGTGTTTGATAATGTTGCCGATCATTTGATTCATGCTTTTGTTTCAGACCACAGTTCGATTATATTTTTAAAACAATATTTTTTCAATAAAAAAAAATTTAAAAATTTGAATGGAAGAAAAAATTATGTCCATAAAGGAAGAAATTTTCGACGAACCAATAGCATCTTCATCATCATCATCATCATCACATTTTCATAATTCGAATGAACCATTGGTTAGAAAATGTTTTATTTGTTATGTTTTTAAAAAATTCGAACATCTTAACAGTATTTTTTTTTCTATAATTAATATTCTAGAATAAAAATCAAGAATTTTCTTCAAATAACAACCAAACAACGCATTTTTCGATCAATGATGGCGATTTTAATCATCAATCAAACTATGTCATTAACGAAGAAAAATGCCAACCGATGTATGGCGGTGGCAGTGTGGACAAAATACATGAAAACAATGGCTTGTTGCAGCCGATAGATTCATCAGATCCAAATGGTATGATGAACATGATGAACAATGATCATAATTATATGAATCAGCAAATTAATATGGATGGTTACTGTATCAATAATAATAATACATTGGATTATCCTGATCCACATTTTGCATTGTACAATCCTTTCTATTCTATCGAAAATCATACCAATTTCATCTATGCCAATCAGGTAATTTAAATTTAAAATCAGTTTTTGTGTGTTTGTGTGTGTGTGATTAAACCAATGTTTTTTTTTTGTTTTTCTTTGCAATAAAGATCGAGCAACAACAACAACAACAACCAATGAATGAACCACCATCTTTATATAATCCTTACGATTCGAACCAGATGATTTATTATACTGATTACTATTATCCATACGATGATAATAGATGTATGAATATCCAATATTGCGTTAATAGTAATCAAATTCCATCGAATGCAGCCGAATTGTATCACAATGATATTGTCTTTGATACTGATGATCATCATCATCAACATCAACATCAACAACAACAACAACAGACATCGATGTTGTATGAAAATAGAGAAAATCTTGATAATAATCCACCAATGATAATTAATAACAATGATGATCAATTTAGTAATGTAAACGAAATGATGACCGGTGAATCTAGTAATGGCAACAATGAGGAATCCGAACGACTAGTAAACAATCACTATGATGATGATGATGATGATGATAATGATGATGAGGAAGATAAAGAAAATCGTTCAAAAAATTATTGCAAAAATCATGAAATTAATCCAAAATATGTTCATCAGCGTTTTCCGATCAAATTGTGGAATCTGGCCTCAGATAAATCATTCAAACCGATTCGATGGTCAAAAGATGGCATGAGTGTCATAATCAATGAACAACGTCTTGAACCAAATCTTGGTCATTATTTTCGATCGAAAAAATTTTCATCATTCCTTCGGCAACTTCATCTGTATGGATTTAGAAAGGTGACAAGAGCACGAAATCATCATCGTATCGATGATCACAGTGAATATCTATCCGAATATCAATGCAATTATTTTCAACGTGATAATTATGAATTGGTGAAAAAAATACGTCGATATTATTCGAATAATAATAATAATTCATCATCATCATCCACACAGAATACAATTTCATCATCACAATCATTATCGGATCCGATATCATCACAACAATCATTGAATATGGATCATCATCAATTTCTAATCGATAATAATAATATTATATATTAATGATCAATATATAATATATATGTTAAAATGTCCAGTTTAATATTTTATTTTCCTGCAAATTAAATGTTTGATATTTATTCTCATTGTATGTGTAATAAAAATTTGTAATTTTAGTGATGGTAAATGAAAAATTAAAAAGTAATTCTTCCGTTTAGTCCTCCAAATTTAATGTTTGATATGAATTTTTCACATTTATTTTTAGCTTCGCGCGTTGATGCAGCTTTTGTATCAAATAGATGACAGTCACAATTAGTCAGCCCCGCACAGAAAAAAACTAGGGTTAGTACTAACCCAAAAAGGTTAGTGCTAACCATTAGATTTTTGCTTTTTCCCCAAAATTACAGTAATATCACGGAAAAAAATTAAATCCTCCCCGTACGGGAATCGAACCCGTGTCTTCCGCGCACTGTTTTACCCTTTTTTCCTACTATTTGACAGGCGGATATACTCACCACTATACGAACGAGGATTTCCAGGGATTTCGCACTCCGAGGGATTTTGCACATTTTGACTAAACCCACTCGTTGTTGCGTGATTTAGCACATGATCCAAATTTCAACGCTATGGATAACCAGCAAAACAACCTGCGAAATTGACACACGCGCAATAAAGTCTTATTGGATCATATGTTTTTTAATAATCGACAAAAGTTAATTTTTTGGACCAGAAAAAATGGAAGAAGTCGATTCAATTCTTATCTCACAGCTTCGAGAAATTGGATGGTAAGTTTTCGAAAAAATTTTTTGATTGTTTTTTTATTAAAATCTTTTATTCAGTGATTTAGATGATGAAAACATTCATGGTATCGTTTCAATGGATTCATATCAGATCATGAAATGTGTTGCCATTTGTTTACGACGAATTCAAATCAATGATGATGCTGTAGATTCATTGATACCAGATCCATCGGCAATCAATTCGACGATGAACATGTCCATTAAATATAAACTAGCTAATCAATTGTCCACCTGTATACAGGTATTATTATATTGTTGTTCCGATATTGAATTTGATCCAGACATTCGATCCATACACAGAATATTGGATACAAATCTGATATTGGCTATCAAACATTTCTTTACAGTAATGAACATGAAATTCGCCGACTTTTATTGTATCTAGTTGAACAAATTTCCACCGATTCAGATGAAAAATCATCATCTCCTGATCATCCATCTGCTACTGGTTGGTCAATCAGACCATATGATATCATTCGAAGATTGAAACATTCCCGGCCATCAACTGTATGGATTCCTTATAGCTCTGATTATATTGATGACGATGATGATGAGAGTAAATATTGTCCCGATAGTGATTATCATGATTATTATGCGTCCATAACTAGTCCAAATTCAATTTATGGAATGTATAATCTGAACAATTATTCATTAAAGTCATTTTTGTCCAGTAATTCCAATAGTCCATTGGCTGAATATTGCCGAATTAATCTTAATAAAGGAAAAATGCCGATTATTCCGTCAACGATTATCGACATTCTTGAATGGAATAATCATTTTTGGAAAGGCAACACTGCTGATGATGATGACGATAATAATAAAAATCGACAAGTCGATTATATGAGTCATTATTTCAAGACATTGTGTGAATCGAAACTAACGAATGCCATCGTTTATCATGGTGGTGGTGAACAATCGACCAATTATGTCAATTCTACTATACCTTCATTGATGAATGTTGGTGGTAATGTCGAGTCAAATGAACAGCTATCAGCGAATCCAGCGACCGACCAAATTGAACGAAAAACAAATCAACAGATTATTCTCGATAAACTGCGGCAAGAATTGTATGAATGTGATTCAGAAATCCATCAATGCAAAATGAATGAAAATGAATTGATCCGATTGGAAAAGGAATATCAGGAAAAGTATAAACTATTCGAAGCATCGTTTAGATCCAAAGACGAGGTATTTTATTTTTCATTAAAATCATTAAAATTTCTGATTAAAAAATCTTTTTAGCTTGAAAATAGCATTACGACGATGAAAGATTCCATTGAAGAGATTGCCATTGCATGGGATGAAATGCAAAAAGATTTGCTAGAAAAATTGCGTACAAAAAAACTTCAAAATACAGCTCAGAATGAAGCACAAATTGAAAAAATTCGTATGATTAACACTATGAAGAAAGCTATTGCATCGAAACTAAAAGAAATTCAGGCTAAAGAATCATTGGTTAAGGAATTGGAATCACGACAGCCACAACAATGGCCACCCAGTCGTGGATCATATACACGTCGTATAATCGAAATCATACAGAATGTTAAGAAACAGAATGATGAAACGCTCAAAGTTGTATCCGAAATGAAAGCCGTTCAAAAAGATATAAATAATTTGAATGGAAAAATCGAACGAAGTTTTGCCATTGCCGATGAGACATTGTTTCATGAAGCTCGCCAGAATGAATGGAATCGTAATTGTTATAAATCATTAGCCCTATTACAATCATCATTCACTGAATTATTACAAGCTATCACTGAAATTGGTGTTCATCTTCGTGAGATTCGTAAACTAGAAGAAATGGTAATTTTTTTTTTGTATTCCAGTCCATTAATTTTTCATATTTGCTAATTGATTCCATTTTTTTTATTTTGTTAAATAAATAAATAGATTGAAAGTGAAAATAATCGAAAAACAAGTGCAAATCTGACCAGAATCAATGCCGATCTTGAACAGATTCGTTTGGAAAATAAGCAGCTGAGACAGAAAATAAGTGATGCATCATCATGATATCTCATCATTGAATTGGTTATTTCATTCCAAACCAAACAGACTGTAATGTGCCATGGATTCATTTGTTTGTTATTTTTTTTTCAATTGATTTTCTAAATTATTTGTGAAACTTTACCCAACCGATCTAACCGATTTAAATGGTTGGTTGAATGGGTGGTTTTTTTTCACAATCATTTTGTTCGTCCGTTGTACGGTAAATTGTCTGTATCGAATCATTATTATTCCGAGTGAAAAAGAATGGAAAAAAAGACTCCAAGCATATATGCATGAAACAAAAAAAAAAAAAAAAAAAAAACAGAGTGTAACAAATTGTGCTTGATTTTGACAAAAAAAAAAAATAATAAAATAAAATAAAAGAATAATTTACATCTTCAATCGTTCTTATATTGACTCGTCGCATTCTTTATCTGTGTATCTTGATATGTTGTTCAATTATCATCATTATCCTCCTATACTGAAATAAATTTCGTGAATGAATTGATAAAAATGGCGCGCAAACTCACACACACACACACACAAAAAGTCCATTTTGTGCCGCATCCATTATTTGCATCTCAATCACTCATCTTATTATCTCTTGGTTCGTATCTAACCACTATTATCATGTGTATGGTGTTTGCTGCTGTTGTTGTTGTTGTTGTTGTTCCATTTCAATAATATTGTTCTCTTTTTTTTCTTTACCCGTATATATGCATACATCAACACTCAGCTTGAATTCAATTTAATTTTTTTTTCTTTTACTATCAACACTATGAATATATCACACACACACACACACACACACCATTATCTATATTCTTATTAAATATTCTATACACTGGAACATTATCGAAGAAAAATTTTTGAATACACGTTAATAAATGAATAGTCTCAAATTATATGCTGAATATATCTGGAAGAATCATGTGGATAAAAACCACAAACTAACTGACACACACATACACACACACACAAACACACATCGACACCGATTAGTTTCTCATTAAAAACAATTATCTTTCAAACATAATTCGTATTCGTTTATAGTAAAATCATGCACATTGAATAGAGAAATTCCATTTGAAATGACTGTCTAGCTCAGCTAGTATATAGAGGTTGAATTTATACAGAAAATATATAGACTATTAACTAGCCAGATTTTTAGTCAATAATAATAATAATAATAATAACTGACAGCCGAATGCATCTTTGATTCTTGCTACTCCCAATACTGATTCTCTAGCTAATTTGGAATCTGTTTTCATTGTTTGCCTTCATACTTGTTTTTTTTTTGGATCCATTTCAGATGGGCGCTACTACCGGTTGTTACACACACACTCATACACAGCATATCAAGAAACAAATCCAGAATCGATTCGGTGTAGTAGAATAGGGACCCAAAAATTGCCCGAATTTACCACTTCGTCGCTTTTTCGCTTCTTCGTACATTGTTCTTGTTATTTAGTTTGGGTTCATTTTTTTCCATGAGTTGATTTTCGATCATTATTGTGTTTGTGTGTGTGTGTGTGAGAAAATGAAAAAAATTTTCTCATTCTTCGGTTGTATTTTTTTTCAGAGTATTCCATTTGTGATTCAATTTCCAGTATCGGGCTCGATTCGGATTCTGTCATCAAATTGTTTTGAATCAAAAACAATGATCATAGGACATGTTTATTGATGGCGCCCATATTGATTCTTGTTCAAATGATTTCAACTTGGTGATTGTGATCAAAATTGAAAGTATCATTTTTTTTTCATTGTCATTATATTAAAAAAAAAGCCAATCGGAATAAAGTTAAAGCTGCTCCAGCCAGTCAGCCATAGTTTTTTTTTTATATTTCGTGGATCATCGTGTATGGCGTCATCGTCATCATCATCATCATCATCATCATCGTCGTCGTTGTTGTTGTTGGAGGATTCAGACACAAAAAAAACATCAAACATCTGCCTTTTGTGTTTTAGGGCATCCAACGAAAAAAAAACAGCAGCTGCCAAGTGTAAAATACATACATACACACATATTCGGGAAGTTAGCCAATAGTATTAGTTTGGCTGATGTTTTTTTTTTGTTGGCCACATCCATTCGAACAAACTCGAATCTTGAAAAAATTAATTTTTTGTTTTTCCTTTCAAATTTATTCGATTCATCGGAAATTGTTGAAATTCACGGTCGTTCATGGTTTTTGACAGTGGTCAGGGATTATTCTCATCGTTCGATGTATGATTGTGACTAATGGGTGAAAGATTCATCTGATTGGATTTTTTTTTAATTCTTATTATCGTCATCATCATCAGATACGATGGCCAACTCTAATGATGAAGAATTAAACTATGTACAAGTGTTTCAAAATTGTTTCGGCCCAAAAATACCATTATCATCGCCTCCGCCATCATCATCGATTTCAAATAAACCACCACCACCACCAACATCATCATCATCAGCAGCAACCATATCTACAATATCATCTGTGACAAGTTGTTGTAATAGTTCATCATCGGTGAATGTGATTACCGATTCGAATCCAGTGCCAAGTGGTTGTTCATTAACTAATCGAACACAACAACGAACTCGAACAAGAACAACATCCGGATCATCACCACCATTACCACCATCACGGTGCCTGTATACAACGGGATCGAATACAATTCGAACCGGTGGTAAGTGGTTGTTCCTTATTTATTAGAATATATCATATCATATACATTGTGTACACATCCCAATATAAATCCATAAAAGGTTAAATGACCTTAGCAATTCAAAATTAAAGATAAAAATAGCCAATGTCAATCAAAATTGAAATCTTGATCCACAAATCACTGTTTCATGTGTTTATGCAAGTTGCCTTTCAATAAATCGATTAAGCCATAATGAATGATCAAAACATTAATTACTTTTCAAGGTTAGATCAAGCGATTTTCTACGTTACGAATTTTAGATTTTATTTTTTTCTGTACCGATTATCAAATGCTCATGTCTAGTGTCTGGTTTATGTCAAATCCACCAAAGAAAATGATTCCGTTATTCGATTTATTTTCTACTTCATCATCATCATCATCATCTTTTGACCTGTGTGTGCATGATAATTATGTTTGACTTTATCAACAACATAGGTCATGAAATTTTGTTTGTTTATTTGTTCAATCATCATCATAGCATGAATGTTTGATGTCATATAGAGTATAAAAAACGAGCCAGCGATTCTAGGTCCCGTTCATCCATTATTATTTGATGTTTACACACGCATAGGGCTTAATTCTCTCGGATAGACCTAATACACACATACAAGTGCATCACATCATAGCAGCTGTTGTTTGGACATTTAGTCGACACTATCGACAAAAGATCAAAAATGAAATGAGGCAAACACACACACACACACACAAACCATTTTTGAATGCCTCATAAATTTGCTTCATATTGTATGCATATACCCTTGCTTTGCACACTTTTTTTGTTTGTTTGTTTGACCATTTCCAATTCCATTATTATATTGATCGTCGATCTGATCTGATCTGATCATCCCCATACACAAAAGGTTCTTTTCGGTTCTGTCAGATCAAATGAATAAATGAATGTCCCAACAACAACCACCACCTAGATGGAATTGAATGATGAACGACCGAATGAATCGTCGAATAAATGTGAACCAAAACCAAATGAAAATAAAACCAGACCACGCTAGTTATTACAATTACCATCCTCCCTCCTCAGATCCGAACAAGCACAAACAGACCATTTCAAAAATAATGGTTCAATGAGGAGGATGATGACAGGGGTTACCATTTTAAAATGCTTACATCAAGCGCGGCAGCTGCACAATCCTGATGTATGTTAAGAACCATTGACCACTACGACCGTACGAAAACCACTTTCATTCAATACAATCGACGAGGTCGTCCTGTTGCTCTCTCTCTCTCTCTGTAATCTTCATATATGTTGAATACACAGAATCGGTGAATTATAAATAAGCTCGCGCGCTAGTGTCATTCAGCCAGTTCAGTTTTCTTTGTCCATTCTTCCTCCTCCTCTTTTTTGGTTGATTTTTTTTTCTTTTGGTCCACCCGCTTTTGCCTGCGTCCCTTGTTTTTATTATTAGTGTTTTATTTTCTTTGGTTCAATTCGATTCAAATATCCCCAATTGTTGTTGTGTCTCGGTTGGCCGCCACTCGTCGCCGTTGTTCTGAAGCTTTAAGCTACGCTGATCTCCTGGTTTGAAAGTTTTATTCGTCATTTTTTTGTTGTTGTTGTTGTTGATTCTATTTTTTTATTACATTTTCCACTCACACCATTCACATTCATCCTCCTCGGTACCCTCAATGAATGAACCTTGTATATATTTTTTTTAATGCTTCCATTTTCATAAATATCGGTCTGGTCCTAGTGTGTGTGTTTGTGAATAATGAATGGTTCTTAGGGTTCTCTTTTTTTTCTCGTTATTGAATGAATATGCTGGAACAAAAGACCATTTTTTTTGTTTGTGCTGTTTGATTCTTAACAAAAAAACAGTAATCGGTGGTTGTGACTCTTGTGTTGTTTGTGCACATATATAAATATAGAATCACCATGTGAATATCATCATATCATACACAAGTTTCATTCTTGATAATTCTTGTTTGAAGAATATCTGTGATTTAAAGTATTTCATACCTATCTCGTATCGTTTTGTGTGTTTATGTTTGTTTGTTGCCATCATCACCGCCGTTATCAATCATCGATCAATTGATTAATAATAATAATAAAACCCATCGATAACAATCGATTTTGTGTGTGTGTGTGTGTGTGTGTGTAAAGAGCTATTTTGTTTATCCATTTCGGATACATCTTGAACATCTCAATTAGAGAGAGAAAATAAAAATAAAAATCCAAGATAACAACAAATAAAAACACGTCGCTTGGTGATCCAATAACGATACTTTAATCATCATAGTAATGATGATGATGATTACATCGAAATAAATATTAAAAAAAAACATAAACAACCAAATTCATACACCTGTCGAAATCTCGAATTATAATTGACATTAAAATACAATTTTCATTCCGTTCATTATTTGAATGATGGTTTGATTGTTGTCGTTGTTGTTGTTGTTGTTGTTGCTGTTGCTGTTTTTTTTGTTTGTTTGTTTGTTTGGTCCCTGTAATTATAGCAAATAATGTACACTAATATGAGTAAGTTGATATTTTTTTTTAAATTCTTTTTCAAAAATTTCATGTCATTCAAACACGTTTTGATTGTTCAATGATGATGATGCTTATCATTGTTTAATTGTTTTTTACCAAATATGATCAATTCAAAAATTGATCACGATTTTTTGTTTCTTTTTGGTTTCATTATATTGAATTGAAACAAATCATCATTTTTCTCTTTTGGTTTAAGAATGATTATTACCATTGATTCGTGTCCATTTAAATTTTTATTTTTTTCATTCATAAATTGAAAAATTAAACAAGATCATGATCAACCACAATGATTCATTCTTCATCATATATAATCATCAACAGTTTGTTCGTCTGTCTGATTGTCTGATTTCGTAATCATTAAGCAATTGTCACAAATTTTTTTTTTATCTTAAATCAAAAAAGATCATTTTATTTTCAAGGTTCAATTAAATATTTCGAAATTTTTCAATTCTGATCCTATCTATTGGATTTTGATTCTAACGAGAAGAAAAAAAAAATTACGATCGATGCGCCATCATGAATTTTGCTTTTCTGGTCGATTATATTATTTCTAAAGTTTGTTTATTGCCATTTGGTAGTAAGGATAGTCATTTCATCGTCAAACATTGATGGTTATATAATAATAATAATAATGGCCATCAGCAAACTACAACCACCACCACCACTATAGTGGTGGCCAATCATCATCAATGATGACGATCTCAAAATGAAACAAACAAAAAAACTCTACTCAAAACGGAAGGCGCCCACGAAATATGCGAAGGCGTCTAAAAAAGGAATGAAACTAAAAAAAAAATGTGGATTTGGCGTTTAGTGTGTGTGTGTGTGTGTGTGCATACACTTCAGTATCAGTGAAGAATTGTCGAAACAGAAACATATAGAAAACGTTTCATGTTGGTGTTATAGGTTGAGACTCACTGCCATTTATTTATTGTCCTATTATTTGAATGTGAATATGTATGTATGTTTGATGCTTGTTGATTATGTTTGTATATATGTCCAATGTAGAATCGACAATATTTGACAAGTAGCAGCTGGTTTTTTTTTGTTTTGTTTGTTTCGTTGGTTGATCTGATTCGGCTATCAAAGATTGATTGATTGATTGATTGATCAAAATTGTTGAATATGGTTGAATATGTTTGACATTTTTTCTTTTTTCATTGTTATCTTGATTAGTAATTATTCTAATTTTTTTTTTTAAAAAAGTAGATAAATCCCAGGCTGATATGCCTTCATATACGATGCCTTCATATGGATCGAATGGTGGTCAATCACAACCACAACCAACAATGGCCAATATTGTTGTTGATAATGTACATTTGGCAACAATGAGCCATCATCATCATCATCAAGATGATATTAATTCTGCTGGAATAATGGGTGTAGTGACCACACCTACACCATCGACATATCATCAATTGAATAATCCTGATCATCAACAACAGCAACAATCATCACAGCAGCCACCATCATCACAGCAATCAACCCATTATCCACCTCCGACTAATGGTACCAATTCTGGTGCCGCTGCTGTTGCCAATACAGCTACAGCACCCGACTCTTCACAATATTATTCACCCTATTGTGATTCACGAGGTAAGGATTGAATGAAAAAAAAATTTTTCAAAAAAAGAGAAGAATGAACATTGAAATCCTTTCCTAGGGATACATACATTAATTCCAAAGTAGTGATTCAAAGAATAGATTCGATCCATTCATATTTGAATAGTTTTTTATCTGAAAAAAAATCAGCATGATCTCTACAGGGAATGAAATAAACGCCACACACAAACATTTTTCATTCAATTATTATTTGCTTTTGTGAAGGTCAAAGTTGAAAAATATATATGGTTAGCTAATCATAGAATTTTACCCTTACCTGTATCGGCTATTTGGTTGAGTTATTTGTTGTCCGTGAACAAAAAAAAAGCTTAATGTTTTTCTTTTTCATTTTTCATGAAATTCTACTTTTTTTTAATGGGCATGGAATCTAACGAAAATCTATAAAACATATATAACCTGTGGAGGGTAACAAAAAAAAAGTGTTTGGTTGGTCAGTGCAAGCACAAAAAGCCGTCATCATCGTCGTCAAGCAGTCTAGCGATGACCGATGATGACATGCTGTGATGCTACTTTTTTTTCTGGACAATTTTCTTTCACCAGCTGAACAACACCTGAAGAATTTCGATTTCAGAAATGTAGAAAGATAGAGTTGAAAAAGAAATTGAAAATGTGAAATTGTTTGATCAGTATTTTTGTGTGTATTTTATTTCCCAGCATGATAACCGAAAACCATTTGAAATATAATTTCAAAACTTTTCCTTTGCCGATTCACTTGTATTTTTTTTTTTTTTTTTGTTGTTCACCCTTTCTTTTTTATTGTTATTTTATCTGTAATGCCTAAACTTTGTATGAATAAAATGTCTAATTTTTTCGTTTTAATTTGAAAAAAATATAGGAACACTTTTTGGTGAATCATCCAATAATTATTATCAATTGGATGCATCGAATGATTGGAATACAGCAGCCAGTCAACAATATGGTTCCCATATTGTTGGTGCCACAACCACACCACCACCACCACAACAACAACAATATGGTATCAATATCCATACACACCCACAAACCATGGATCAATTGGTACCGCAACCACCGAATACCGCATCCCTTTATGATACTGTATCAAGCAGTCCTAATAATAATAATAGCCTTTCAAGTCTTCCACCAATGTCAACATTCGCAACAAATCGACCAAATGAAATGACCACTGGTGATTATCCAACCACAACGACAATTTCATCAATACAATCACCGATACAGACTATCGATATTAAACCAGATATAACAAGCCTTTATCCGATGACCAATAACAATGAACAACAACAACAACAACAAGCTAATCAACAATGGTCACAATTAACCACATCAACACAGCCACCGACACGACGATCTCCTACCACTGTTGTTACTCCATTACAGCAGCAGCAATCATTTCAATCGACTGATATTAAATCCTCCAATACAAATGAAATCACTCATCTTCATACAATGGTAAGTGGAAATTTCTCTTGGCTTATCGCATCCCGATTCTTTTTTTTTTTTGGTTCAATGCATGATTATTTTTTCTTTTTGGTTTCTTTGCATGATGTTGGTACGCTTATACACAGCAAACCGTAAACGCCACCAACGTTATTGATGATCATCATCATCAATTCGATGACCCCACCAATACTACTATGCACCTTATGAATGATTCGAATATTTCTGGCGAGGTATGATTTTCTTCCCCATTATAGAGTTTGATTTGTTTCTTTTTTGTTTGTTTTGTTTTGTTTTTTGTTTCTTATCAAGAGATTTATTGTTTTGCATGAATTTAATTTTGTTTTGTTTTTCTTTGTTATAAATAGCATACAAGAGGTGTGAATGTTGGCGAACGTTTGGATGATGCTATCGATATTCTTCGTAATCATGCTGAAGGTCAACAATTGTTAGGACCAAATTCTTTTCTATCACCTCCAAATAATACTGAACTGACAACATTAGAAGGACATGTGGTAATTATATTTTTTTTTTTGTTTCAAAATATTTTCAAATTCAAATTTGGATGGCTATTTTAACTCCTTGATTTTTTTTTTGCCTCACCACCACAGCAAAGTCCAAATGGTCTGATTTCGAGCATGCGTACTATTGTGCCACAATCGACTTCCGCGACGAATAGCACGTTGCCTCAACAGCAGCCTGTGGCCGTAACATCACCTTTATTACACAATGCTGTTGCTGGTACGGTATCCAATGCAGCACCGACATCCACTTCTCAGAATGTTAAGAATAAAAATTCACGCTCATCATCATCATCACCGGCTGCATCAAAGCCTAAACGATCCAGAGGCCGAAAGTATGTGTCTTTTTTTATCGTTGTTATTTCTAAGAAAATGTAATTTTTTTTTTTTAATTTTGCAATAGAATGCTTCCATTTGTCAGTTCGGCCGATGAAGATGAACCACCCGAAATTAAACATGAACGAGAACGAGAACGAAGACAGGCAAACAATGCTCGTGAAAGGTTTGTTTCAATTTTGTTTTTCATTCATTGAATTTTCCCATTTGGAAATGATGACAATCTTTCCCCGACTGAGCCCCGTATCTAAAATTTATGCGGATTTTTTTTATACACTATATCAAGCTGATTATTTCGAAAAGTTTTCATTCTTTTGCAAACAATCTGTTCAATACATGCTTATGATGATGATGTTTTCATTTGTTTTTCACTACAGAATTCGTGTTCGTGACATAAACGAAGCATTCAAAGAACTTGGACGTATGGTTGTTATGCATCTGAAATGTGACAAAGCACAGACCAAATTGAATATTCTTCATCAGGCTGTCGATGTTATTACCAATTTGGAACAACAAGTTAGAGGTTGGTTGTTTTGTTTTTCATATGGCATTTGTTAATAATGTATTTATATCAATTATAGAACGAAATCTTAATCCAAAAACTGCCTGTCTAAAACGAAGAGAAGAAGAAAAATCCGAAGAAACTGTTCATGCCAAATACATGTCCAACACGCAAGGACAACCTCCACAGATGGCAACCACGTTATCACCTCCAATGATGACTGGTGGCGGTCCAGGATCGAATAATCCGGTAACAAATGTAATTCAACAACAACATATCACACCACAACAATCATCGAATCAATCAACTGTATCGGCAGGTCCATCAAACGTGTCTCATTCACATCATTTAATGAATGCTGGAGCATCCATGTCGATTGTAACAAGTTCGAATATGCTTTAAAGAAAAAAAAGATATTTATATATTTTTTTTCATCATCAGGGACCTAACATAACCTAGCCGAACAGTATATATGTGTGTCCTAAGTGTTTTGTGGCTATAGAGCTAGTCCCATTACCCAAATAGAATGCTTTTTTTCTGAAACGAAAGTGACAAATTGATTGATTGGAACTCCATTAAGTTATTATTATTCATTTATTTACATCATCATTTAGTAACAACAACAACAAACATTTTTATACCATACACACACACACACACACAGGGCACATATTTTTTTCAAAGCAAAATTAATTTCTTGTAACATAAATCCATTTCATCATCATGATCATGTGACCATCGGATTTTTTCTTCCCATCACCACCCACCGCCCACCACCACCACTGTATATTTATCCTTATCATCATTCATATAAGAAGAAATTTTTAAATGATTTTTGTCCACCCAAAAAATTTTTATATATTATAGTTCAAATCAATCTCTAACTGTCCATGGAGAATGAATTAAAAACAATGTTCATATTCGTTTATTCTTTACGAGTTTGATTTGATGTATGAAAAAAAACTAACCATCATGGCAATGATGATTGAGATATGAGTGAATGAGATGAAAAATGATTCGATTGGTTAAAATGTGATTATAAATCTCAATGTTTACACAAACAAAAACGAACGATGAATTTTTTTTGAAATTCATCGAAATACCATCGACATTGGAATCGAAATTCTTCTCTCTCTCTCTCTCTGTGTTTGTATTGCAGATATTTTTAGCCATCAATTCATTTGCAATAATTTATAATCATCATCATCATCATTCTCATTATTATTAAAAGCTAATTATCGTGGCAACAAAAAAAAATTGCAAGTCAATTTAAAATTTTTGCCTCTCAATCCATATTTTCGATTGATTGGGTTGAGAATCGATTCATCATCATCATCATCATCATCATGTGTTTGTCGGCAAAAATGAAAATGAAAATGAAAATTATATGTTTATTCGTGGATTTTCATTTTGCACTTACCGAGAGACTGTCGTTTTTTTTTTGGTTAGTCGATTCGGACAACTTTATGATTGGCGTTCGGCGCAAAAAACAGTCAGTGTTTTTTTTGTTAAAGAATTTTTTTTTTCATTCAATCACAATAGGTATACAAGAATCGTGGTCAAAGTGGCGCTGCCTATATGGTCATATATGGCCAGATTATCATCACAGTTTGAATTTCATAAATGGCCATAAAAAAAACAGTAAATTTATGGCGGTCAAAGAACAAAGCTAAAGACATCGTGTCTGGTTATGTCTGTGTAATATAATAAAACTATTTGATTTGATTTTTGTTTGTTTATTTTCTGGGTCCTTATTAACATGTATAATTTTTTTTGCGTGTGGCCAAATATTTTGCAGAATGACCATCAAACACTATTCGATGACCCACAGATAATTTAAAAATGCAGTTCAAACTGACCATGATTGCCATCTGTTGACATTGAGATTCAATTCAGTGATTGAAAGCAATCATTCTGCCATCTATTGTTGAGAATCAAATTTTCCTAATGTAACATTTGTCCCTTGAATAACACGAACATTTGATATCGAAATTATTGTCACGATTATCATATACGAATGTCACTATCGTGAACTTTGATCAACAATGTTTTTCTTGGGATTTTTATGTTGGTGAATCCCAACTTGAATAATCATTCATTCTTCTTATATTTTTTCCATAATCTTTTCCACTTTGAATATTGGTGTTAATGATATTTTAAATTTTCGTGAATCCCTCTTTTTTATCCAATAATGCCTTTCTTTCGTTGCCATCTTCCAAAATTTGATTCGCCAAAGCCACCATTTCGATTTGATAATAACTCATGGCCCACTTATTTACGGAATTCAATCATATCGAATGAGGAAAAACAACAAGAAAATGATGATTGTTTAAATGATGAGGAAAAATCCAAAAATAAATCACAAAAAATTCAGATTGTCGATCGACCTCATCAAAATCATTGGCAAAAACTTGTCCTTAATCAACGATGTCCATTCTTTAGATTTCATGAAAATTTGACTAAAATCAAAATCGATCAACGTGGGTCTGATCGAAAGTCGGATGAAAATCAAACAAAACATCAATTTGATTTCGATTCGCTCAATATTCGATTATTAGAAACATTTGGATTCATTGTAAGTTTTGAAATGAAATGAGTAGGAACTTTTTCTCATAACGAATTTCTGTATTTGATTGTGTAGGGAACTGCTTTGGTCGTTGGTTTCGATATTCGTTCACGTATAAATCAATGGTCACCTGCGCAGCATCGTCGAGACCATCGTATGCTCGAGCATATCAGCAATGATAATCGCGAACGATTGCCCAACTTTGTCGAAAATGGCTATCCACTCAATGATTTTTGTCGCACGAAAACCATTTATTGTGGCTCAAATCGTTGGTGTAACTATATATTCAGCAAGATATTCGCGATGCCATCATTTTTGCCATCATTATCATCCAATATTGTTGATCAGATACCTTCAACGATCAAGATCAATGATGATGATGTCCACGGACGAACGGATTCACTTGTAGCATCGGGAGTTACCAAAACAAATAAAAAAGTGCGGAATATTGAAGAACTTGAACGAATCCTATGTTTACAACCTGAACAAAATGATCATACAACAAATTGTTCATTGTTTTTGTATAACAATAATGAAAACAGGAAATCAATTGAAAAGGACAAGGACGATATCTGTATAACGAACATTGTACAAAAAAATGAATATCCTGGTCATTTGAATACCGATTTGTCATTGAACAATTATTTGAATTGTGAGAAAGCATCCGGAACGGTGGATGTATCTGAATACAATCAAGATGATCATCATAGTAGTGATGATGATTATGATGACGATTCAACCGCCACTGCTTCTAATAACAATGGTGATTTCATTGCATCAGTGTTTCGACAAACCTGTCTTGAATATTCGGATATATTGAATAATTTGTCTGGCATTCAATTAATGAAAAAACAACGTCCAAACGATGCATTGTCCTGTTGGTTAAGCTGTGACACAAGATATTCAGCTGCATTGTTCAATTTGGGTGTTGCATATGAAAGTGGATTGTATGCAATGAATGATGATGGTAAACCTGATATGGATATGGCCTTCCATTATTATACATTGGCCGCAAGCAAAGGCCATTATAATGCCATCTACAATATAGCATTATATTATCTTTATGGAAAGGGTAGCATCAAAACAAACATAGACCATGCCCTTAAATTATTAAGAATTGCATCTAGTAAAGGCGTTCAACAAGCACGTGATTATTGTCAACGATTTGATGATGAAAAAGAAAAACTAAACAATCAACGATTAATAAATAATAATAAAAGTAAATCGAATCCATCATTGTCATCACCATCATATGATAGATTTGATTCTGATGAATCATCATTATTTCGATCAAATGCTTCTAATATTATTATTCGAAGATCAACGACATTGCCCGAATTTGTACATTATCCAGATCAATCGATTTCGATCAATTGATCAATACGAAAATACCTTTCATTTCATTTCATTTCAATTTTTATCATCATGATACGAACACACCCGCCATGTTGTCATTATCATCATCATAATGATTTCTCAATAAGGGATAGTCTTTGTCGTTGCTCTTTATTATTGTTATTATAATTTTTTTTTTCTCAAACTTTGTTTTGTTATTTTTATATATTATTACTCATTTAAATTGCCACTATATAATCATCATCATCATCATCATAGACTTGGCAAATAAATACCAGTTTTTTTTCTTTGGCTGAAAAATACCGTTGAGAATGAGGTGTTCTACCTGTTTTTTTCCTATGATGATGATGATGATGATTATAATTGTCCATTAAAATATCCATCGACCGTGAAACTCAGTCATCATCATCATCATCATTATATTGAGTATAATAATCATGTAGCGTGTGTGTTCCAGGAATAATGTTAATCTTAATGATGATTGAAAGTAAATTACAATGATTCAGATTTTTTAAATTGAAATTTAAAAAACCAATTTAAAGGAGGGGCAACATTATCAAATCAATGGGTGGGTGGGTGTCACATTCATGTGTATGTGTGGTGATGGTGGTGGTGGTGGTGGTGGTGACCTCCGAAAAGTGTTTTTGATACAAACAAACACAATTGAAAATGTATCGAATAATAGACCACTACTACCAAATGCAGCTAGCATTGTCCTGTTTTGTTTTTTTTTTTTTTTGTAATGATCCTGAAAAACAAATCAAAGCAGTGGTCTAGAAATTTGTATGAGGACTAGCATGGTTGGCGTGGTCATTGACAATGTGGTCTGTTTCTGTGTTGTTATTCATTCGTCCATCCATGTATACAATCTCAATTTGATTGAAATTCATTCTCTTTTCGTCACTGTCTTGTTGTTTGTTGTATTCGACTCTTTTGTTTGTGTTTTATCCTCTCTCTTTCTCTCTTTCAAATCATTTATTTACTCTTTTTGGATTTCATTTTTATGTGATTCTATTCTATAAAAAAATAATAAACATTTTCTTTTTGAAAATTTCCATCTAATACATATCCAGGATTGTGGCGCGACGTCTGCTTCTTTTCGATACACACACACACACACACACACACATTTCGTCTATAAATTTTTTTTTTCCATTACTAAAATTCACTTCTTCTACAAACACATCAAAGCTATCATTATCATTGTGATCAAAACATTTTCGTCGTTATTTAGTGGTGGCTGTTGGTGATTGTGTTGTGTTTGTGTGTGTGTGTGTGTGGATGTGCTCGCTTTTTGTATGCGATTTACCATCTTATCCATCCACAAGAAAATCTTATTCTTTATCAACAACAACAACAACGACAACAACTGCTAAGACGAAGAAGAAGATCTTTTGGTTATCCGTCTTGCGCATTTGAGTGTTTTGATTTTATCCATCCAATCTTCAGGTTTATTTTCTTCAATAATGTTGGTTCCCATGCAATAGATGGTTTTGTTTTTTAAAGGAATGTCCATCATCATCTTGATTGTCTTGTTTGTTGGTTGGTTGAGTTGTTGTCTTTGTTGTTCCTAATACATCTTTTGTATGATGTAACTGTAAATTGTATCATCATCATCATCAATCGTATACAAAAAGCTACATGTTGTAATACATGGCAACAAACGTTTTAGTTTGATTTTGGTTGATGATAAATTACAAAACAGAACAGACATTGTCGTCGATATAATTGTCCGTAGTCATAGTAGTGGTTGTTATCTCATCAATACGTCGTCCAAAAAAAAAAAACATCAACACCATCGATAAAAATTAATTTGGCCAATAACCCACTGTTGTTTTGGATATATACAGGTATTTAAACTCTTGTTTTATTTGTTTGATGGCTTTGTTTCTGTTATATTAAACTGCTGTCAAAAAAAAAATTTTTTTCGAATGTCTCTGTTTTTTTTCTGTGTGTGTGTGATTCGTATTGATGATGTATATTTTAACTCTCATTTCAGGCAATAATAATGATGATGTTGATGATATGATTCTAGCCATCCTGATGATAAACGTCGTGTTCTAGTTTTTTTTTTTTTTTAATCTGTATGAATCATCATCATCGCATTGGATATCTTGGTTGGCCAACAGAAACGAAAAAAAAACCAGTCGACCAGTGTGCTCTGCTCCTCTCTACACCAAATAAAACTGCCCATTCTGCCATTGCCTTTTTGTAAATTTCATCAATTTCTTTGTGAAATAATTCTTGTGGTGTTTTTTTTTTACTCATCGCCAATCAATCAATCGTGATTATCATTGATACGTATGTTGTTAATGTTGTTGATATAATTATTGTAAAATGTTCTCTTTTTTTTGTTCCTTTTTTTTCAACAGTTATGGCTTTCATCATTTTGAGAATACTGCAATAAAGATAAAGATTTCAATCATTTTGTCATGATTCATCATCATTGTTTATAATGATTATCAACCAACAATGTAGAAGAGAAAGAAGGTGACATATAAATAATCACATCGAACAAGATTATTATCATCACATAGACACACACAACACCGCACACACACACACACACACACACACACAAACATTCAGGTATAGGTGACGATTGAGATATATCATCATCATCACAATGATGGATTCATCACCAGCAACAAATAGAAGAATACTGAAACGAAACTATCTAAAGTCAAAACATATGTTGGCCAAATTAAATAAATGGAATTTTGAATTCGATTCATCATCATTGATCATCATCGACAACAATACACCAATACAACTACCTGATCATCATGAATGTTTTAAATCAACGGCAAAACATTTTCATTCAAATTATCATCATAAATGGTGGTCATCTATTCGACGATCATCATCAACATCAACATCATTATTTTTATTATTATTGATGGCCATACTAATATTCATTATTTGTCCTTTGCCATTCGGTATGTAAATGATGATTATTTATTTGTTGTTTAGTGTAGTAAATTTTTTGCCAATCGACAAAATGTCAATGATACTCTATTGAGCCATTAAGCATGTCGATTTTCGAACGCATTGTTAAAAATGTGATCTCAAACTTTTTTTTCTGTTGTTGTTGTTGTTGTTGTTCAAAAGAAGAAAGAAAAACCGATTATCAATGAATCAATGTCAATGGCATTTTGAACTTGCAAGACATGTGATCACCACATATATACATTGATTTATATTTATTGAGTAGAAAAAAAATCACAGTCATTGTATTTGTGGTGCACAACACATAGTTTTGTTTCTTTTGTTTGAAAATTTTTTTTTTAAAGAAAAATTTTTCACCAAAAAAATTTAAATTAAATGAAAAATGAATGGAAATACAAAGTATAATTGAAATCGGTGCCTGTTTCCTTTAATGATTTTAACAAGGAATTAATTTGTCCTTATTACACACACAAAGGCAATGAAAATTTATTTCCTAAATTCTAGAGAATTGGATTCATTTTCTTCCCTTTTTTTAAATGTTATACCATTTCGTGTATGTGTGTCTATAGCAGTAAAAAAAAAATTATGAATCAGTCACCTAGCCAACCAAACCATCAGACTGGTGATGATGATGATGATGGCACGGTGAACCCTGTATGTTGATTGCATATTAATCGAGGTCTCTGCAATTAATTCTAAAATGAATGATAATAAAATGAAAATGCAATCACACGTTTATGATTATAACCCTTGTCCAATGTCTTCATATCGAAATGATGATGATTTTATTTGTTTGTTTTTGAGTGTGTATAATTTGAAAATTTTGTCTAATAAAACAAAAAATGAAAATGAAAAGCCGTTGTCTATCTATAATAATAATAATAATAAAGTCATAAATGAGATGACAATTTTTTTTTCAGTTTCAATCTGAAAACACACAACAAACAACACACATCATCATTTTCAATATGTGTTGATTACTCATTATTCAAGGATTGCGCTGGTTCACAATGATCATCATCATTATGAACCAGAAAATGATGAAAATCAAGACGGAAAATATATTCAAGCGATTGCAGCCGTTATTTCGAAACGCACAGTTTTTTTTTATCTTATTGACAAATTCTGACGAAATACAATATAGTGGAAATGTTTCCATGTTTTTTCCTTGTGTGTCTATTTTTTTTTTATTGCATTCATTTATATAGCACATTTGAATCAAAGAAAAATTTTATTTTTTCTTTTTAGACCAACGGTCGTCTTCAACCTTGAATGATGAAGAAAAATTCATTTGTTAACAATCCTTGTTCCATTCAGATTCCTTGATCCACATGTTTTAAATGACAAGGATAGTGAAATGATGATAAGAGATTAATTAATTTGTGATGATAATATTCGAAATATATGCTTTGTATGTGTGTGTGTGTGTGTGTGTGTGTTATAAATTATTCAACGAGGCCAAATTCAACACAGTAGCAGCAGACAAGTTCTTTAGTCCAGTAGGTCGACAGTGGCCTTTTTTTTGCCATCATTTCATTAGGATGATGATGATGATGATGATGATGAATTTAGAGCTTGACATGATTGTATAATAAATTAATGAATGAATAATGTTCAGGTGTATATTATTTGTCTATTCACAAACAACAAGATAGTTTTATGTTTCGTCATTGCCAATTATCATATATACTGGGATCTATGATTGAAGCTTATTTCCTGTTGGATTTCCGATCGATCGATCGATTGATTGATTGACTGACTAACTAACTGGTTGATCGATCTATTTTGCAATAACATTTAAACAATGGATTTATTTATTTATTTATTTATGTTTTTTTGTTGTTCTCCATATATCCTCATTCGAATAATCCAATTATCAAATTAAAGCTGAAATGTATGCATTTTTTTTTTTTTTTTTAGTTTCCCTTAATTTTATTTGTTTGTTTGCCTGGAAGTGATTGATGATAAATAAACAATTCATGGTTTTCAGAGTTTTGTTGATTGGGTGGGTGTATATATTTATCGTCATTTTTTTTGTCAATATAGTCGTCGAATATGTCCTAGTTTCGTTTTTGTTTTTTTTTTTGTTTTGTTTTGTTTTTGATGATTAATGCTAATTATTATTGAATTTTTGTATTTTTTTCATTTTTCTACTCAAATAGCTCATACATTGAATCCATTGAATGAACATATAATTCATTATGAAACATTAGATTATGATCCTCGACCATATGTGAATGCATTGCATCGTTCAAGACGGTCAGCCAATTTATATGATGATAATAATAATCATCCGGATGCTAATCCATTGTATACGATACATTTGCATTCACATGGACGTAATCTTTCCCTCCGACTTAAACGTGACATTGATTCAGTCTTTCATCGTGATCTGATTATTGAAGATGGTGATGGTCAACCATTGTCCGTTAATCTTGATCACATTGTCAGTGGACATGTTCATAATCAGCCAAATAGTATGGCATATGGTTCTATACGTGATGGAATATTTATTGGCAAAATACATTCAACCGTGCCTGATGAGGATACGTTCTTTGTGGAAAGAGCCAATAAATATTTTCAACCAAATCCGGTCGATATCTATCTATTAGATGGTTCAACATTGAAATCCAAATATAATTATTATGACATTGTTAATGCCATCAGTTTAAGTAAGACGACGTCCACTTCGACAACAGCAAGCATAATACCGTCACTGCCATTTCATTCAGTCATTTATTCATCGAAACATGTGAACGATCCATTCCATGATCGACGATCTCCTATCGGTAAATAATAGTCGTAGTAATAGATCATTTCATTACATTTGTTTTATCATTTAAAATTAGACGGTAGTTGTGGTGCCAATGAAAAAGTTCGCGAATGGATGGATTCGATAGCCAATTCGGCAGTCACCGATGATGATGATGATGGTGATGGTTATGAAATGAATCATAACTCATCAACCACAACAGCCATGATCAATAATTCAACCGATGATCTGAATCGACCAATATTACGATCAAAACGAGCTTCCAATAACAACATTAATGGTAACAATAGAAATCATGATTATAGTAATTACAGGAGATTATTCGAAGCACAAGGTCGTATCAGCTATAATAGGTAAGACTAATCTTGATTTCGATTTCACTTAAAACTATTCTTTAACCACTAATAATTAGTGCTCAGAATGTAATCACTTTCACATTGTTGTTGTTGTTTGTAAGCCGATCTAATTTTCAGTTTATCGAGCAGCAGCAGGAAGACCACCGTTATTTTGAAAGTTAGGAAAAATATTTTCTTCTTAGTCCTAATTATTTAGTTTGAACTTGTAATACATGACTGCACTGCGCTTATATATGCACTGTTACCACATAGCCATTATGATGATAATAAGAATGGTGATTATGATGACACCGTTATATTCAAGTAAATGACTAGCTAGCTAGCTGTCTTGTACGTGTACGTATGTCATTGTTTTCAATTAGACATTAGGAACAACCATATATCCTAATATATATCCATGATGATGACAGCATTATTCCATAATAATGACAATAATTGTTACCGCACGAGTGAATAGAATTTTGAAATATTATAATTGCAATTTGCATAATTACTGCAGTAAGTCATTTCCAGGTTATTTACATCGAATATACTTATTGTGTTTGTTGCAAAAAAAAATTAAATTCAATCTAATTGTATATTTTCTTTTACAGACCACCATCACCACATCAAACACCATCGACACCATATCTGCCAACGAAACGAGCCTGTTCATTATATATACAAACTGATACATTTCTTTGGGATCATGTGAAAAAACATGAAACAGAAAAATCAGATTTTAAGGTTCGTGAAGAGATTGCCTCATTGGTCGCTCAACACATTAAAGCTGTAAATCACATATACGAAACTTCAGTGTTCAAAAACATAATGGGACTCAAATTCATTGTGCAACGATTACGAATCAACGATTCATCGGCTTGTGAACCACGTAAACGTGAATTCAATCAATTCTGTTCACCGAATATTGATGTTTCGAATTTTTTAAATCTAAACTCACAATTTAATCACAACGATTTTTGTCTAGCCTATATATTTACTTATCGTGATTTTTCTGGTGGAACGCTTGGTTTAGCCTGGGTTGCTAGTACATCAGGTTAGTTAATGTTGTTATTTGACGTTGTTGGCCTAATATTTGTCCTATGTTGATAAAATAGGTGCATCGGGTGGAATATGTGAAAAATATAAAACATATACGGAAAATATTGGCGGCCGTCAAGTACAAACGAAACGTAGTCTGAATACGGGAATAATTACTTTTGTTAATTATAATTCACGTGTACCACCGAAAGTCAGTGAATTGACATTGGCGCATGAAATTGGCCATAATTTTGGTTCACCACATGATTATCCGGCCGAATGTCGTCCAGGCGGTCCACTTGGAAATTTTATCATGTATTCATCGGCCACTAGTGGTGAACGGCAAAATAATAATAAATTTTCACATTGTTCAGTGAATAATATATCCACCGTATTGAATGCCGTATTCAATAATGAAGGCAAAGAAAATTGTTTCCAAGAAGATAATGGACCATTCTGCGGTAATAAAATCGTTGAAGATGGTGAAGAATGTGATTGTGGATATGATTCACGAGAATGTAATGAAGATTGTTGCTATCCAAGGAATGTTGATGAATTTAAACATTTAGATCCCCATGCACAGGTATGTCTCATCTCACTAATTAATTGTCATCTTTTGTTATATTAATGATCATATTCATAATAATATATAGCCATGTCGACGAAGACCTGGTGCCAGTTGTTCACCATCTGAAGGTCCTTGCTGTACGGAACGTTGTACATTCGAAGGAAAAATGAAACAATGTCGTGATGATGGTGAATGCACGTATAAATCATTCTGTAGCGGTCAACGTGCACATTGTCCATTGCCACCGGTTAAACCAAACAAAACCGAATGTAATATGGGTACACAAGTATGTTGGCAGGGTTCATGTACCGGATCGATTTGTCAGAAATATGATCTTGAAGAATGTTTTCTAACCACACGACGTGGTGCTAAACCCGAAGAAATGTGTGAAGTAGCATGTCAACGACGTAGTCAACCAGAAACATGTCGACGTACATCAGAAATTGCTGTTATGAAAACCATATCCGGAATGAAATTAAGGCCCGGTTCGCCATGTAATGATTTTCAAGGCTATTGTGATGTATTTCAACGTTGTCGACCAGTCGATGCTGAAGGTCCGTTGGCAAAGCTAAAGAATCTATTGTTTAATAAAAAAACGTTAATTAGCATCAAACAATGGGTTACGGTATGTAATTTCTATATATGTTGGCTAGTTGCTTGTTGTTGTTCAAACCACAATATATGATTGTTAATGATGTGTGCATGTTTTTCCGCTTCATTGACCACACATATACACAGTTGGAATGGTCATCAACCCTAGTGATGATGATGATGATGATTGCAATGATAATCACTTGCTTATGTTCATTAATGAACATTGGATAGAATGGCCATCATCACATGGTCAATATTTTCCTTTTCAAAAATCATCAACATTTAATGATGAAATTTTCATTTTTTTTTGTGCCATTTACAGACATATTGGTGGGCCTGTATGTTGATGTTATTCGCAGCAATATTATTCATGGCTGCTTTTATCAAATGTTGTGCCGTACATACGCCAAGTTCAAATCCAAAATTGAAGAAAGCATTGCGTATTTCAGATACATTACGTCGACCAGCCGATACATTAAGAAGAAAGGTAACCTGTTTTTTTATAATCTTGATTTGTTTTTCATCATGTCTTTTGGTGGTGAAATTTCGAATTTTAGCAAATTCGTTGTGAATCTATCATTTTTCAAGATTAGACACCGTTTTTCCCTTATTTGATATAAAATGTTTGAATGAATTTTTAATGAAATTCTTTTATCCATTAAACAGAGTCGTGAACGAGCACAACAACAGCAGCAGCAACAGCAACAGGCTTCAAATGGTGGACATCATCAACATCGGAGTGAACGAAATCGAGAACGAACTGCAAATCCTCATCATGGCCGTAATGGTGGTCATCGTCAAAATGGTCCAACTCGTTCAAATCAGCCTTCATCATCATCAGCATCGACATCGGTAGCAAATCATCAATCACAACCATCTCCGAATATGATGGCTGCTGCTTATCAACAATCCACGAATATAACACAATCAACAAATCCATCATCGAATATAACGACAACATTTCCACCGACATTAGTGGTTAATCTACCACCTCCTGCACCCAAAGATATGATAATGGATCCTCCACCACCCTATCCAGGATTATCCACCGCCTCTAGTGGTAAACCAAGTGCACCACCATTGAATACGGTCGTACCAGTAATACCAGGTGCACCATCACATGGCTATGGTGAAGGACGTGGCCATTATAATCGTCAACAACAGAATTCTGGTGGGCCAACATCCTCATCATCATCATCATCATCGACAGTGGTGACAAAAGGACAAAAAGAACGAAAAAATCAAGAAACGGTATCCAAAAATCATCGCCGCTAATTTTGTTGTTTTGCAACATAAATATTGACTGTGTTAAATTCAATTTTTTCAAAATTGTTTACCACCTGATAACATTGATTTGTTGTTTGGGCAAAAGAAAAAAAATTTTAAAACTCATGTTTGTGTCACACACTTACACACACACACACACACACACAAAATTATCAATCAATTGTATTATAAAACAAGCATGAAACTCAAACTAATTTATTTTTCTGCTCATCATACTCAACACCAATATGGCCAATATTCATTGTATTCATCATCGTGGATCATTGGTCATTGTAAAGGAATTTTTTTTTTTTGAATTTTTCGAAAAAATATTGTAACATGTACAAATAATTACAACCATTTATATATTATTATTACTTATAACTAGAAAAAAAAATTTACCAATTATATTTTTGAGTCGAGCCTTGAAAACATGTAACATTTTCGCTGGTTCGGCTGATTCCGATAATGATGATGATGATGATGATGATAATAGCAACCAATTGACAGAAAAAACGACACACTCACTAACTGACACACACACAAATCAATCAATCATCATCATCAACATTGTTACTAGTCATATTAAAAAAAAAAAAAAAAAAAAAATTGAATATGATGATTGAATTTTAAAAAATTTTCATTTTTAAATAAAAATAGATTGATAATTTTAATTGATTTTTTTTTGTGTGTGTGTGTGTGTTCATTCTCAGTTCAATTAATCAACACATAAAAAAAATGTACAATCATCCACGCATTTATTTCGTGCAAAAGAGATGGCTGTCCAATTTTCCAAGAAAAAAAAAAAAATAAATGCCACCAAAATTCCAGATTATTAATGCAGATATAAAATGTTCTTTTCATTCATCATTATTTTCAGAATTAAAAGTCAATTGAGTGTTGTATTTTTTTTTCATTATGAATATGAATATGAATATGAATTACAGGTAAATATTTGTAATCTTTGCCGAAAGAAAAAAAAATTTTAATTGCGAAACATTAAATTCATCCATCAATTGGTGAATATGTGACTTGTGATCTGTACATATACAGAACGGATTGCTATGGTTCACTATTCAATGGGAAATCTGGTTTTCATTTTTTTCATTTTATTTGAATTGAAAAGTATCCTCTCAATCTATGATTGTCCTGTTCGTTCGTGTTCGTGTGTGTGTATGCAACGTCAATATTCTTTATCCGAAAAAAGCATCATCCATATCAGAACATTCAAATCAAATCACATGCGCCATATATTATAAAAAAATATCGAAAAAATTTCACGTTTCATAGATTAGAGAATGCAGATAATGTATGCATGCCAGATATATATGTGATGTTTGTGTATTCTGATGACAAAAAAAAAACAAAAATTGAATTCATGAGGTCATATCATCGATGCGTAGAGGAGGTTTAAGCTTTCCATCCGAGTTTTGGTTCCAGTCAACCACCACAACCACCACTTTTTATTGAATTAGAATGAATTTGCGAATGAAATATCTTCACACAATTTTTTCCGCCAAACCCTCAACAGTGATCTCCCCACATATTACAAAGCTATTTTTGTTACAATTTTTTTTTTAATTTTAACTTGAATTATTAAATTGACAACGGTGATAATATCCGAAAAATCCCAAACATTGCCGTCGTTTCGTCGCGACAAGAGATCAACACTTGATTGTGTCGTTTGAATGAATATATCGCGCGCGGCATTATCATTCAATTTTTCTTTTCATCTAACCAAAATATCAACAAGAACATCATCATCATCGACGTCGTCGTCGTCGTCGTCGTCGTCCGTGGTAGTAGAATTTTCGCAGGAAAAAATTTGATCCGACCAAATCCGAGCATCAAATCAATTGATCCTGTGGAAAATCCGTGTGTATAGGTCGTCGACAAGATAAAAGAGTTATATCTCTCTGTATACTTGCAATGGTTATTTAACCATCAAAAAAAAAAAGCCATTGAGCCACCAAAGAGAGAGAGGATCTAATGATCCAACCAATGACTGGCTACAATTTGGCTACCTCATTGATATAACGTTGACGTTAATCAGCGCATGGCCATTATCCAATATATATTGAACGAAAAAAAAAATCCACAATGGAAATTCGAGATAGAGGTACGAATATTATACCAATGAACAAAGTAACCACCACCACCACCACCACCACCATCATTACCACCACTATCATTGCATATACATATTTTGTATACAATCAAATGGATTGAGAATTGTATCCCTTTTATAGCATATATATTTGCAACATCTTCAAATATATACATCACACACACACACATTTCCGTACCACTATTGCAATCTTCTCATATTGACGATGAGCAATTGTGAGTGAGTGTATTTTTTTTTTTTTTATGCGAACACAAAGATCCAACAAACAACGAAAAAAAACAACAACAACAACAAAATTAACACAGGTCTAGACCATAACCAACAAACAATAAAAATAAAATAGAAAATATAAAAAAAAAAAAATCGAAATACAACAACGACGACGACGACGACAAGAAGAAGAAAAATAAATCAGTATGTATCATCATCAAATTAATTAAAACAAAGAATTAAGAATCTTTTCGATTCTTTGTTCTTGTTCTTGTTTAACAACAATTACATTACATGATTTCCAATTTGCTTTCATAAACATTCTGAATGTAGGAGAGAAAAAAAAACAACAATTTCGATTCCGTGCTATTTATCATCATCATTATCATCATTCAAAATCATCAACGAATATAGAGAATACAATGATTGTGAAAAGAAATTATCATTTCAATACAAAAGCCTATCATAATCATCATCATCATCATCATGGCCATTGTTATGATGATGATGATGATGAGAATCAACGATCACGATCAACACAAGTGTCATCCATCATTAAATCATCAACATTTACATATAGTAGTACCACCTGCTATACAATTCTTTATTTGTTCCTGATATTCTATTCTGACCTCTGTATTGGTATGTGTTTGTCTTTGATCTTTGTTGATTGTATTTATACTTTGTTTTTTATTTGAATTATAACGTATTCAACTCTACAATAGTTGGAAATAATTTGAAATATTGATCAATCAAACAAAAATAATTCTTAGATTTAGGGATTTCGACTTTTGTTTATTTTCTGAAAATGAAATACACATTTTTCAGATGGTAAAATGATGACGAGTCAGCAGAAAACAAAACTAGGGGATCGAAAGCAATCGATCGAACGAGGTGGTAAAATTGTGTGTGATTTTCTCATGAAATCTTTCCGGATAACTGATGATGATGATTCATCTAAGTATACGATCCTTGTTATTCTGAGTTTTGATCTTATAACCTGGCAATGATTGATTTGATTTTGATAGAATTCTTGAATTACTGATAGTTATTGTCTCAATCGGTTAAATGTACATTATTGCTGTAGTCAGCTTATTGATTATTGTTAATTTTTTTTTCGTCACAGCAACTAAATCATCATTAAACGATAATGGCTTCACATCATCCTTATCAAAATCTAAACATGGGACATTATCATCATCATCATCATCACCACCACCACTATCGTCTGACCATCAATTTCATCATAAAATGAATAATCGAAGAGAATTTGTGCCTCTCGCTGAGATTAAATCTGGACAATATGATGATCGACAAGTGAAATGTCTTTATTATAATCGTACATTATGTCAACAAACTGGTAATAAAGGTTGCGGTGAATCGGTTCAGATTTGCCCTTCGATTGATAATTCGGATCATAATACTGGTGATGCATATTGTTATGCATTATGGCGGAATTCCACCGATGAAGGTGTACAATTAGTGTTCAAAGGTTGTTGGTTTGGTGCAAGTAAAAGCTGCTCAAATGATGAAATCTATGGCCAATCATCATCGTCATCAACATTCATGCCGAATCAGCAACACCATAAGGCGCCTTGTGTTCCGACACATCCACCCAAACAAAAGGATCTAAACTTTTGCTGCTGTAAAGGCATTCTTTGTAATGAAGAAGTGAAACAGATGCCCGAATTGTTGTTATATTCAACACCGCCACCCGAAGAACCTGGTTTGTGCATTAATTTTCTATTCATTCATATAATCAATTGCTGATTTTCGTTTTCGATGTAGGCGTTATAACAACGACAAAGGAATCACATGATTATCGATTATCGGACATTATTTTCTATGTTCTGTTAATCATGGCTATAATATTCTTGGCTAGTGTAGCAAGTATGATTGTTTATTTCTTCGGAAAATGTCCACGTAAACCACATACGGACGATGTTCCTACACATGAACCGCTTTTAATTGATGGCACTAATCTTCCGACCATCGGATATAATGCTCATCCAATTACTCTTAAAGAAGCATTAGCTAATGGCAAATTCGGCACTGTATATCAGGTAAGCTTTAATCACTGCAAGTTTTTCAAATTCATTAGCTGTCATTGATGATTTTAGGCTGTTGACGGTCACAACCGACAGGTTGCTGTGAAAGTGTTTTCCATGCAGGATCGTTCATCATGGCAGATTGAGAAAGATGTTTATAGTCTACCACAGATGGAACATGATAATATTCTTAAATATCTGGGCGCTGAACGAAAAGGTGAAGGTCTTGGTTTGGAATTTTGGATCATCACTGAATATCATCCGAATGGATCGCTACATGAATATCTGAAATCACATACAGTCACATGGAATAACTTGCTTAAAATTATTCAAGGAATCGGTCTAGGTAAATTTACTCATTCACCAGATTCAATTTATTTACTCTTGTTGTTCATGTTGAATAGGTTTGGCACATCTACATGAAGAGATTCCAGCAAGAGAAAATAAAGATGCTAAACCCTCGGTAGCTCATCGAGATTTTAAATCGAAAAATGTGCTTTTAGGAAATAATTTCCGAGCTTGCATAGCCGATTTTGGCCTAGCACTTGTTTTCTATCCAAACACCACTTGTGGTGATGCTCATGGACAAGTTGGAACTAGACGCTATATGGCACCTGAAGTACTCGAAGGTAAACATTGATTCTGATCGAACAAATTTTAACGGCTTTTGTTTCTCATGTTACATAGGAGCAATTAATTTTACACGAGATTCGTTTCTTAAAATTGACATGTATGCTTGTGGTTTAGTCCTTTGGGAATTGGTATCCCGTTGTAGTTACAATGAAATACCATGCGATGAATATAGTTTGCCATTCGAGAATGAAGTTGGTCCAAATCCAACTATTGAAGATATGCAAGATATTGTGGCGCAGCAGAAAAAACGGCCACACATAAAAGATTCGTGGTTGAAACATCCAGGCATGGCATTAATTGTCAGCACAATGCAAGATTGTTGGGATCAAGAAGCCGAAGCACGAATATCGGCCGAAACTATTTGTGAACGTATCAATTCATTAAAACTTAATAATGATTCGGTATGTGTTTTCGTGTGAAATGAAAAACTTTTTACAATAAAATTTTAATCCGATTTTTTACATCATGTACGTTTATAGACTTTTAATCAGGCGAATATATCATCGTCAAATAATCATCGTACAGCAATGGCAACAACAACAACAACAACACCGATAATGGCAACAACAAACAATAACAATCTTAACAACAATCATCATGTTAATAATAATCAAAAGAATCTCAATACAACCTTTTTGCCTAATATTCATCTACATCATCATCATCTGAATCATAATGGTGGTGGTTCACCAATGAGGATAATGATCGCATCACATAATAATAATATCAATAATAACCAAACATCAGCTAATGGCGTAGCTTATATGTATCGTGAAACAGGCACATGATGGATCTATCGAATGATGTAAATTTTAAATATTGTAAATTGTTCTCTCATCATAAATTGAAAATGCGCCTCATCTACTTGAACAAACACTCAGGTATCAATATCAGCATCATATTTGCAAATGAAAAATTTAAAATTGTGATCCATGATAAATTATTCGAATGAAACAAATTCAACTGACAAAATATAATCACATTCATAATGGCTAGCCTTTTTTTGTCTGGTAAATGAACCGGTTATGCCATCATCACCATGCCATATCTTCTGATGTAAGCAACAAATGAAATCATTGTGTGGATCTATCGATTGGTGATTAAAGAAGATTTGGTTGTTGTTGTTGTTGTTGTTATTGTTTTTGATGCTGCTGGTTATATATGGTAGAACAACAGTGTAAAAAATCTATTTCGATTGACAAAATTGTTTGCATTTGTTCGGATTAATGCCGAACAAATGAAAAATGAAAATGTCCTGAATATAAACAATTCATGTTTTGTTTTTCTTCTTTTTCTTCTTCATCAAAATGGCAAACCATCATTATCGAATGTACATGAATTTTTTTCTTACTTCAGAATCCGTTCCTTTTTTTTGGACCGTTGAATTTTTTCTTTTTTTTTTTTTTTGTGAATAATTCCCTTTTTTCGTTGACCTTCCTTTTGTTGTTTCCCTTTGTGTAATTATAAACTCCCTTACGATAATCTGATGAATGATTCTGTTTTGTCACTCATTCTATTGCTTGCAGAATACAAAAACAAAAACAACAACAACATTTACACTTGTATTTCATACCCATAGGACACATAAAACAAAACAACATTTACACTTGTATTTCATACCCATAGGACACATACAAACAAATCACCAATGATTGATTGATGACATTTTTTTTCAAATTATCAATTTTCATTTATTTTGTGTACATAATTGTTTTCATCATTTGAATTTGAATTAAATACAAAAAAAAATTGAATCAAAGATTGTTTTTGCTTAGAAAAAATTCCTCAAGTTTTTTTTATTTTTTTTCGATCTGTTTCTGAATCGTAATATTCTTCTCGAACTTATTGCATGATTATATACTAATCCAAGCTTTAGTATATGTCTTGCAACAGCTGAAGGTGTTGAATTTAATTTCTTGGCCATTTGGGCTGCTGTTAATGAAGGATCTTGCTGTACAAGAGCCTTCAATTTTTCATCATCAACAATCGATCGTCGGCCAGAACGCTGTTTATCGCAGATATCAAAATCACCAGTTTTAAATCTGTTGAACCATTTTCGACACGTTCTTTCGGTAATGGCATCTTCACCAAATATTTGCTGAAGATTTCTACTTGCTTCGGGTACTTTTCTGCCCAGTTGATATTCATACAGAATACAATGACGCAAATGCATTTTATTCTTTTCCATCATTTCAGTCGGATATTGTTCCAAAGATGATCAATTTATGGTTTAATGAATATCAACAAAACAAAAACCAATCGAAACTTCATGGAGCACGAGTTTATCATCATTCAGATTGATTCATTAATCACCCAGATGGCGTAAGGGTCAGTGAAAAAAATAAAAATTGATTTTTTTATCCATGAGAACATTTTCGACATGGTAATAATATGGGCTAAATTTCCTGCTTATAATCCAATCAAAATTTTCCTCTATTCGATTTGTTGTTGATTGGCTAATGATTGATGATTATAATCTGAAATCTACAAATTAACCATATAGACGCTATATATCAACTTTGGAAGTTTGACTGTATTTATCGTCATCAACCAATTGTCATATCATATCATCGTTTCCATCATCATCACCATCACCGCCAACGACAATCATAATTGAATGGTGGGGGAAAAAAAATTTGTCATCCTGTGGTGGTCGGTCGTTCGTATAATCAACAAGCAAGCAAACAAACAAACAACGAAAACAAATCGTTACGAAAACAAGTAAGCAGCAAATGTGAAATTCAATGAAAAATGATTGTCAATGGATCGATTGAATGAACAACAGCGATATTGGAAATGATTTTGTTTTTTTTTTTTTGGCCAAATAAGAAAAAATCGATTGAGAAAGAAAGATATATTTGAAGCTAATGTCCTGGTGAACGGAGCAACAATTTGTTTAATTAGCCATCCATACGAAAATCAAAATCGAAAAAAAAAAAAAAAACTTATCAACCGAATCCGCGTGTCTTTCGAATGTTTTTTTTTTTGTGTGTGTATAGATTTGGCGTACGTGCCGTTTCTCCAGTACATAATTTTTAGTGTTATACATTCTCAACATGAATGACGTCTATAGATGAACGATTTTTTTTTGATGATATGTTTAAAAATATCAAATCAATGTGTATTCGAATCACCACTGTACATTACCATCATCATCATCATCATCGGTCATGAGATTTGATTTTGTCCATTAAACGAATGAAAAAAGAGAGAGAGAGAGAGAGAGAATAATACCTTTGCCTGTTTGTTTTTTTTTTTTGTCACTTTCGTTGAAAATGAAAAAATTTCATTTCATTTAATTTTTCATTACAAAAAAACAAACAAAAATCGTTCAATAGATTCGTATATGACATTGGCTGTAAAATATGGTGATGTTCGTCGTCTTTTTTCAAGGCTTTTTAATACATTGAAGAAGAAAAAAAATATTGACTCATGTGATACATAGAGTGGCGGTATAATTATCTTTTTTTTCTGTTTTTGTTTAAAGATCAAGATGATGATGATCCGATTAAACTATGTTAACATTATATATTACAAATAATAATAACGCAATCAATCAACCAAACCAACAACAGGTATGTATGTATGTATGTATTGTATATACTTTGTTATAACAGTTGTCTGAATTTGTATTATTGCAAAATATTTCCACCACCACCACCACCATCATCATCATCATCATTATAAATAGGAATCAAATTCCATTAATTAATTCTGGTTGCCAGAATCAGGCCATTTTTAAAAAAATTTGAACTCTCTGATGATTATGATGATCAGATGTCATGATTCATTGTAAGCTGTTGGAATGAATGAATTAATCTGAAACATTTGCACACGTCATTGTTTATGAAGAAATTTTTTTATTTTATTTTTTTTCTGTATTATCATCGTGTTTTAGGCCATTCCAGTGTAGATGTAAATAGTGGTGGTATACACACACACACACACACACAGTCTATATGAATCGATTGAATAAAAAAAAAATTTTAACCAGAAAAAAAGAACGAGCAAAGAAAATCTAGGCTATCAAATGTTATCGCACCAGGAATGTTTGTGTGTATGTTTTGAATGAATGAATGAATTTTAACCATAAAGTAGACATAACAGTAACAGAAACAATATAGCAACAACGACAACAACAACAACAACAAAAGATTCTACATCTGTACATGTACAACATTTCAAATGAAATGAATTTGTTGTTGTTGTTGTTGTTGGAATATCCACCTTTTCATTCCCGGAATGGATTCTACATATCTGATTATTATGAAGGCCGTTGGCGTTTGTGTGTGTGTGTGTGTGTGTGTGGGCTGGCAAAGTGTTAAGTCAAAATTATTTCATGTTTGATTGTCTAATTTTAGAATTTTTGATTGATATTTTTTTGTTTTCATTCATAATCGATTCGTGAGGAATTTCATTTTTTTGGCGCATCGTATATTTGTATATTGATTGTTTGAATGCATTGAAATGAAATGAAATGATTGGAACATTCTAGAATCATTCATCCAACAATTTAGTTGATGAGGGTTTCTTTTCACTCAATGGCATCACAGAAAAAAAGGATGATTACATTACTGATTTTTTTGCTGTTGTTAAGGATTTCATTCTATTTTTAGTCTATAGACAACTGTCATCGTGTTGAATTTAATACATTTATTGTGTTGTTGTTGTTGTTGTTATTGTTGTTCATCTTTCGAATATGATCATATTACATGATGAGGAAGTAAACGGTGAGAACAAAAAACAAAAAATAAAGCACCCTCCTATATTACCGATGCCATGATGATCATTGAGCAACAGGATCGGATACAAGTCTTGTACACACATTCAATCTAATATTTTCATAGGTAAATTCTTGCTTGGTTAATAATATCACTACTTGTCAACGATGGATCAACAATGGGATTTTGGAACCAATTTTTTTTTTTTTTTTTTGCTGGATCAAAAGCAAGGACATTTTTTTTTTTGAAGTGACAGTAGCGCCATCATAGCGCTTTCAAACAACGAATATATTTGGGAAATAAAAATAAATGATGATGATGATTGCGCATGATCAATTCGAATATGAAAGAAACAACAACAGCATCATTATCCATTATATTTGTTTGCGTGATACAAACAACGAAAATGAAATAAAAAAAAAAAAGAATCATACGACTATAGTAGTACTGTAGCCAAAGTGGATATATACACATTAAGGAAGAGTCGAAAATATGAAAATCATTTTGCGCCTGCGTGAACGCCCTTTTTTTTCTTTTGTGCTAAATAAATGATAAAAATTCTCATTTTTTCTCTCTCTCTCTTTCTCTCTCTTTGCTTTGTCCGTCTTTCCGCTTGTATGTTTTTGTGTGTTTTGATTCAATCAATATCAAATGAGAATGCATAAAGAGAGAGAGAGAAAACACTTGGATACATGTTAATAGTAGTGGTATGACACAATGAACGTTAAGCAGCTGATGATGACTCTTGTCGAGGAAGAAAAATATATGTATGGGGATGTATTGGATATACACCGTTGTAATAATGAGCCAGTATGATAGTTGTTGTTGTTGAATGAAGTTCATACCACGAGTAATCGTTTCCATCAATTTACTCAATTTGTAATGTGATTGCTATAAGAGTTATGTATGTATGTGTGTGAGTGAGTGAGTGCGAGTGTGTTTCGTTCGAATTTTTTTTTTTTCATTTTTTTTGATCGTTTGTATCTGATTGCTGGATTGTTTGAACAATTAATAATTTCATCATCGATATCTTGAAGATTGATTATATTTATTATTGATTAAAAGTGGAAACAACAACAGCAACGAAGAATTGTCATTTGAATGAAGAATAATCATAACCGTCATTACGTGATTTGTCATCAGGAAGACTAAAAAAAAGTTCGAATAATCAAATTGAACCACACCCCCTATGATCTGATTGTGATTTGCTGTATGGCCCTTTTTGCTCATTACGATATGAATGATTACGAACGATTATAAAGACGAAGATTTTAAAAGTTGACAAACGAATTTGGCATTTCATAATCATAAATCATCGTTGTCGTGTCACAAAAACATTGCCATCCATTTTGTGACTACTATTGTCATTATTATCAATAATTTTCATGCTAAAAGAGTTGTCATTGCATCCAGATTGAAGATATGAATCTATTTTGACAACTGTCATCAAAAAGATTTCCTTAAGTTGTTTATTAATGTCCATTTTTTACTGACTATCCATACGGACATTCGACTCAATCGACTGATGTTAAAATCGGTCATCAAAGTGAAGAAATGCAATGACATGTCAGTGTATGGATTGATTATTTGATTGTCAACATCGAAAACGAAAAAAGGAGTCAACTATTCTCCCAATTTGTTTAGTGGTGTTGTATATGAATGAACATTATTGCTACAAAAATACCCAATACCTCTCTCTCTCTCACAAAACATTGCCAACCATTTTGTGACTACTATTGTCATTATTATCAATTTTTTCATGCTAAAAGAGTTGTCATTGCACCAGATTGAAGAAAATCTATTTTGACAACTGTCATCAAAAAGATTTTGTTGTTTATTAATGTCCATTTTTACTGACCATCCATACGGACATTCGACTCAATCGACTGATGTTAAAATCGGTCATCAAAGTGAAGAAATGCAAAAAAGTGTATGGATTAATTATTTGATTGTCAACAGTCAACTATTCTCCCAATTTGTTTAGTGGTGTTGTATATGAATGAACATTATTGCTACAAAAATACCCAATACCTCTCTCTCTCTCTACATATAAAAGTCTATTTTTTCTACACCTGGCAAAAGTAATCATTTGTGATCCCAGAATTTGGTCGCCTCTGAAAAAAAAGAATGATTATCCAGTTTTATATGATTGGATGAATCGATTGTGATCCGTAAATCTAATGAAGAAGAATCGCCAAATAACTTTTTTTTTAAATGCTTGAATTCAATCACTTATTGACTTGACTGAATGGCTTAATCCCCATTATTCTTTCTGTCGAATTTGGACATTTTGTATCGCTGAGGCGGAAGAATTGCCTGAATCGTTTTGTTTTATATGATCGTTATAACATTTTTTTTTTTTTTTTTTGTTGACTTCACGAATCATCTAATTGAACATCTAACATTGTCATTGTCGACATTGAAGATACAAACCAAGTCTCCAGAAAAAAATACAACATACAAAGCTTGATTATTGTTTTCGTTGATTTTTTCAATCTGTTTTTTCGTTTCGTTTCGTTTTCTCATTCTTAAATCTTCTGTTCATCGTTTTTTCTTTTGAAGCTACAAAAAAACGCATAAACTTTTGACAACAAATTTCATTTGATCTCTGTAAATTTTTCCATTCATTCATTTTGTATAAAATCAGCCAAAATATCCAGCAAACACTAAAAGCAGAAGTATAATAGAAGAATATACGATCAAAAAAAGTAGTGGTAGATATTATTATTGTCTTGGAATCAAATCTTGTGTGTGTGTGTGGATATCAAGTTATCGATTGGCCTTAGTCATATATAATAATATCCCATTATTATAATTTCAATTATCAGAAAATATTTTATAATCATCACCAACATCATCAATCCCATCCTTCAGAATTTGGTCAAAAGCTGAAAAGATTCAATTTCGATCTCATTGAATTATAAAACATCCTGATTTTTTTGAAGAAAATTGAGAGCTATTTTATATCTACTAATATATAAACTATGCAAGAGTGTGATACCAATAATAATAACCATATAATTGATAAAATAATTCGCCCAATTTTTTGAATCCTCGAATTGATCAACTTAATTGTGTCCACATTTCGAATTATCTTTCATCATATAATTATTATTCTCATTGAATATCATCATCCATCGATTGTCGGGAATATTGTTGAAAGTTATCTGGAAAAATTTTCCGTTTTTTTTTTTTGTTCTGGATAGTAATTGCCTCTGTCAATCCTTTGCTCAGCTATTTTGGTTTATAGCATCATACACATCATCATCACCTTTTTTTTCCTATTACTTACCACTTTGATTTTTTAACTTGGTGCACGGTATCGGCCTGGTTTTTTTCTTTCTATTTGGAATCAACTTTAACGAACGAATCAATCAAAAAAAACGAACAGCATTCATCTATTCTGAAGAATATTTTTTTTTGTTTTTGGTATTTTTTGTATTGCTCTTTTTTTAAGATTTATTTGTAATATTTGGATTTGCATCATTTCCGTTTTTATTATTTGGTCCATATAATCATTTATTATTATCCACCATCGATTGTCGCAATTGCAACCAATTATCGCCCGCCCGAATTGCATTTGCAGCACAAAATATATCATACATTGAAGAAAAAATCTTCCCTGAAATTCTGGAAAGAAAGAGAAAGAAATTGTCAAACAAACCTGGGTATCGTTTCTTTTCTTTCGTTTTTTATTTTGCGTTTCGTTTTCGTTTTTTTGTTCCGCAAAATTGTGATAAAATTGGATTTTATTTGAATCCATTTAATTTCATTTGAATATTACGCACACACGCACACAAACCAGATACAGAAATCAAAGACACCTACTCATTGAATGAATATTTGTGAATGTCATATGAATGAATTTTTGGGTCGATCTCAGCAACAGTTTTATCAGCCGAAAACAAAAGAGAATCTTTCAACCACCATTGTTTCATCTATTCCAGAAATCTAACCAATCTGCAAACATTGTGTATATCCGGTTTTTTGCAAACAAACTCATATTATTCTTGGTTATTAAAGTAAATATTGTTATCACAATCAATTGACCGAAGAATTAAATAACTGACGCCAAACAAAAATAGTACGAAGAAAATAAGGAAGACAGCAGCATTATGAAGATCATTGAAATTTTCAACGACGAAAACGACGATCAACAAGGTAAGTTTGTCCAAGCCTAAATTAAATTGGTTTTTTTCTACTCTTTGTCTTTTGCTTAATTTACCTTTTTTAGTCATATTTTTTTTTTCTGTCTGTTTATATTCCAATGTGTTTTTTTATGATATCACATATATACACACATTAGTTCCCAATGTTTTTTAACAGTTTCAATTGCAAGCTTATCAATGTTTTTTAATGTTTTTTTTCTCTCATTCATTTGGCATACTTGTGAAGAAAAAAAAATTAAAAGTCTCAGCGCGCCCCTTCCAGTCCCTTCTCTTTCTTCTTCTCGATCATCATCTTTGGCTGCCTTGTCCCTTTTCTTCTATTAGCCAAGTCTTGGGAAGACTTACAAGTCAGTTAGGCTAGTCAGTATTAAAGAAGGGAATTTTTTATTATTATTAAACAACAAACACGAATGAATGAAACGAATTGAATTGACTAAAAAATGAATGAATGAACGAACGAACGAACGACAATAACAAAAACAGACACAGCTGCTTGACTGGCCTCCCCCATATACATAAACCAATTGGAGCCATCTCTTATGCGAATTGAACAATTGAAGATGATTGCTATGCATAGTTTTTGAATGTAATATGTGTGTTTGTATGTTTAGAAATAAAGCGAGTCCAGGCTTTCTCTATTGAGTTAAGTTTAGTTGATTTTAGGGCGAACCGAAAAAAAAATTCAGGCCTGCCAACAGCCGATCTGTGTGTTGTGTTTTGTATATATGTGTATCACGTAGACCACTTTTTTTATCCTTGTATCCCTGTAAATATAGTCTGCATCGCTTTCTATTCTTGCACAGCATACAAATTTTGGTGTTACTCTTGTCAAGGATGATGATGATGATGACGATGAACACCCCTGGTTTCTATGGCCTAAAATGAACGCATCCAACATTATTACTTTTTCTGTCCAGTATGTGTCAGATTATTTCCATTTAATAGTCTGATATCATCATATGTGAGACCCAATTATTATTATGTTTATAATAATTTGTTTTGCTCAAATAAGCAGAATAAAGGGGAGGAGATGAAATGGACTACAAGACACATTTAATACTGTTGATGAATAGTAGTTGAGAATCGCCTCGATTTTCTGGACCAACTAATTTGACCTTATCATGGTTGACATTGAGTGTGTGGCACTTGAGGGAAAAACAATTGGTCAAGGTTTCAGTTTTTTCACCTGTAACTTCAAATACTAGATGAACTTTAACCTTGGAAATTAAAAATAACCTGTAATACAATGTTAATTCTTTGATTTTATTTCTTTTGAATCTAAAATATCTAAAGCTAGCCTGTTTAACCAGATATTTCTTTTTTCATTATAAAGATTGAATATGAATAGACAACTTGTTGTTGTTGTTGTTGTTCGAGTCTTGCAAGTTTTTTTTGTTGTAATATTCAACTTGTGTGTTTGACCGTAAGGCTTTAGGACTATTCGAAGGCTTGGTTGACTAGTTGTTGTTGGCAGAAAAAAAAAAGATTTCATGATTTGATAATTGAAGTATACTTTAAGAAACTTTAGTTTCAGATCTCATTCACTTTTTTTTGTTAGTTTGAATTTTGAATGAATTGTTTCAATGAATTATTGTTGGACAAGATGTTGTTGTTGTTGTTTATTTCAACTCTATTGGCTCATTTTTTTTATTCATTGTTTCTCATACACACACTGTACATATGGATCATTTAGATTCGCTTGCAAAAAATTTGGTGACTACCAATCATGAATATAGAAATTATATAATAAGAAAGACAAACATGTTTCAAACATTCGTGTTTGTTGTGAATCAAACAAAGAGTTTGACCAGGTTATAATAGTTTTTTTTCCGAAAAGATTTTCATCCATAAAGGAAAAAAAAAAAAGTATCGGACGATAGGGCGCCAATCGGCCATTGTATATGTATTTTTTTTTTTGGTCGACTTTATGATGATGATGATGATGATGACAGAAATTGGTATACAGTTCCTATCTTTATACTATCTTTGTTAGCCATTTCCTTTCCCAATTTTTTTTTCAAGCTCAAAATATATTTTATACATTGATTCAGCTTTTTATATATACAAAAAGTGTATATACTATATATAGAACTGCCTTGACTGGATCGAAATGATTGTCTATGGTTGGTCGATTGGTCGCTGTTGGTTGTTCCAATAATGGTTTTGATAGCATATATTTGGATGAATATTTTTACACATGACAGTACAGCTGTGTGTATGTGTGTGTGTGTGTGTATGTTTTTGTTATGGAAATGTTGATTATTACATAATATTCTTGACTATAGTGAATAGCCATCTGTTTGTATATCATTGTTTTCTATATCTTTTTGTTTGTGTTGTTATGAAATCAAGAAGTACCCTTCTTTCAAGGTCTTTTATGTCTATCTATAGACAGACACATAGTGAAAAAGAAACTGGTATTCTTGATTAATATATTTGGATGGATGGATTGACGCCGTCGCATTACATAACACCACTAGCACACTAGATGGAATTACATCCGAATCAAACATTTAGGATGGAAATAAAATGAACATTGGTACCATCAAAATGTGTTGGATATAAAATAATGATGTATGGGAATATAGGAAAGGAATGAAATGAAATTGAATGAATGTCCTTGACAATGACTTTCTCGGTAATATAAACTAACACCAATTGTGTGTGTGTGTATGCTTTGGTTATAAAAAAATTCATCTAATGTTGGTAAATGTGTGTGTGTAAAAATAAAAGTCCCACTATTTTTTGTTATATAATGCCTCTATATTGATGGATGGTATGACAACAATCAATGTATGTGTTTCAAGTTGTATAATAGTGCCTGCCTGGTTTTCTGGTTATTTTGACAGGTTTGGTTTGCACTGTTGTTTGTTGATAATGATGATGGTGATAATCTTGTCCATAATTTACGATGATCATCACGAGACCAGTTTTTTTTTCTATCTGTTGTTATGTTGCTAGCTTGTCTATATATATATAATAATAATATTAGTTTCTATCATTCGATCATGAATATGGCAAAAGATTGATGCCTTTCATTATTATCATCTATTAAATTGGTTGGTCGATTTGGCTCGAAGAATTTAATCGATTGATTGACTGACTTTTATCATGGAGCCAAATATGAATATAAAAAAAAGTAATCGTTTTTTCCCCTATTCAGAAAAATCAGCGGGAAAAAAATTTGATAGATCGATACTATTGATGATGGATCGAATCGAAATTCAAAATAAAATCTCAGACACACACACACAGACATAGATAGATAGATAGACAGACATCATTTATAAAAAAAAGGACACACAGCGACAATTCATTTTGTATTTGAAAACAAAAATCCAGAGCATGATGATGATCGTCGTACTCGATCTTGATGATGATGATGATGATGAGAAAAAAAAAAAAAAAAAAAAAAGTTATTTTTGTGGATTTGTCTTTTGTATTTGTATACGACCATCATTGGTTTAAAGTTATATGTTCCATTCGATGCTCTTGATTGATTTTGTGTGCAACCTTGATTTTAGTTTTTTTTTTTTGTTTTTGTTTCTATCGATTCGGTCGAAGTAAGAAATGAGAGAGAAATTTTTTTTTCTTCTCTTTTTTTTCTGGCAATATAAAACCGTCCAATATCAGCCAATGTGAATTGCTGCGCTCAATCCTTTCACACACACACACAATGGTGTAATCATAATGATGATGATGATGATGATACAGGTTTCATTCAGTATTTTTTTTCACTTACTGATTTCCATCATCATCATCATCGTCATCATCATATACAATAAACGTGAATCTTCATCATTTCGATTTAGATTTTGATTGCAATAAGAAATGGGAATATTTTAAAGATAGATACATTTCGTGCTGGCTACATGTTTTGACCGACCATTTCTGTGTGTGTGTGTGGTATAAATATTTTTTTTTAGATTGATGCTGATGATAAAAAGGATGTCGTGGAAAAAAAATTGTGTCTGTCTACATCTCTGTGTGTGTGTGTGTGTGTGTGTGATATGTTTGATTGATAATAAATACACCCCTTTTTGTTGTTGTTGTTGTTGTTGTTGTTGTTGTTTATCAAATCAATATAATCAATAATAATAATATATAATCATATGACTTATGGTTGATGATTTCCAAAATCTCATTTTTTCATTATTTTGATTTTGTGCGTTTCCTTGGTTTTTTGTTTGTTTGTTTGTTTGGTTGTTGTGTTTGTTTCAAAAGCAAAGCATATATTTTATCTATGATTTTTCAACAATTCCTTTTTTTAAATATTAAAAAGATATTCGTGTGTTTGTTAGTAAAAGATACAAACATGACAATCTAATAATAATAATAATAATATAATCTCTAGTCTAGTGGAGAAATATTATCTGGATTCTAAAGTTTTTTTTCCTTTTTTACTTGACTTGTTTTTATTGGATTATCCCACACACAAACGCACTGATAAATAGATAAATATTGATATTTGAAATGGAAAGGCATCCAATTTATGGTCCTCGTTTTTTTTCCTTTTTTTTACTTTACTTTATCAAATGAAAATTGTTTAGATGTAGATTATATCTCTTATCTCTCTTTGGCTCTTGTTCAGTTTTGTTTGTAGCTCAATTATTATTATTTGTCAAATTGTGAAAATTGACAACAAACCATATAATAATAATAATAATAACAATAACTAAACTGTCAATCTCAAATTATTATCATCTAAAATGTTTGCTTATACTGTTGTTGTTGTTGTTGTTGCTCTAGTGATTTTTTTTTGCTCATTTTGATCTAATCTGTTGTAGACAAATCAATACTACTATATATACTACCATCATCAATTGAGTAGTCATGTAAACAATGAAATTTTTTGGAACCAAATGCCTATTCAGCAATTTATTTTGGCCAGGAAAATAATGTGATAAATTAATCATTTTGTTTTAATCAAAGCAAATCTTCAATCAAATCAATGATATATCAACTAGTGATATTTTTGATTGTGAAAAAATAGAAACCCGAATATTTTTTGGTAGGCAATATAATGATGATGATGATGATGATATGGCATCATGTCATTTCTTATTATTCAAAATTCATTTCCAGTGTATATGGACGGATGGATATATTTTTTTTGTTTTGTTTTGTTTGGCTGCTGCCTTGGATCACATGTTTTTTTCTCGGCTGAGTATATTTTTTTTATGTCTGTTGTTGCCAAAAAAAAAAAAGAATGATAAGTTTGTTGGAGTGAAGCATTTAGACCTGTTGTGTTGTCAGTCTTTTGCGGTTGTGTTATTGATGTGTTTTATTTTTTTTTTTTTTTGTTTTTTGTATGATGGTTGTGATTTGTCAGACAGCAGCTTGCCTGTTAGTTTTTTTTTTAACTCGATGTTTGGTTGAATGAATGGATAAAAAAAACCTTGATTCCATTCGTGAATGAAGAACTAAAGAGAAAGCGCTGGTTTGGCTGATTGAATGAGTGAATAAGAGGGACGGAATTGTTATTAGCCATACTATTAGCTGAATATCTGGTTTGGATGGTTGATTTTTTTTAAAGGTTTTCTATTCGAATGATGGCATCCTATTTTGAAAGCAAAAGTTTTTTTTTCGGGCTTTTAAAGTGTGGTTGTTGTTGTTGTTGTGTGTTGTAAGTTCGGTGCACATACACACACACACACACACGACGACGACGAAAAGGAAGCACACCTTTGTTTTGTTTTGTTTTGTTTTTGTTGTTGTTGTTGTTGTGAATTCGTGCAAAAAAAAAATCAGGTTGTGTAATACAAATATACAATTATAAACAAATAAATAAATGTCCATTGTCTTGTATATTGTGAAATGATGATGTTGGAAAGATCATCATCAACTAGTTTAATTTCATTTCATTCAGTTCCGTATTGTTTACTTGTTGCTATATAGTCATGCCATCATTGTTGTTTTCATCGTTGTTTTACTTGTTCAGAATATTAAGCCAATTGAATATTGAATCCTTATCGTCATAAATTGATTATATTAATAAAAATCAACTTGAGCCATCATTTCATCTCATATGATCATTTAGATTGTCTTTTGTCTTTTTTTGTGTGTGTGTGTTTGATGTTTATTGCTAACATGCAATTATCCATATAATGATGATGATGATGATGATAATAGGATTATCGTATGTACATGAATGGATATTGATATATACTTTTCGGTTTTTTTTTTTTTTTTTTTTGATATAATCTGGTTAGCCAGAAAAAAAAGTAAAAAAAAATTGCTTGTACACAATAGTCATGTGTGTGTTTGTGTGAGTATAATGATGATGATGAAAATGAAAATAATGTCTGTAATGAATGAAAAGTTTATCATCATCATTTCATTTCATTTATAATAATAATTCAATTCGACGAGTAGTATGGCACGTCTCAGGTTGATTATATTATTATTTTTTTTTTTTTGTTTTGTTTTGTTTATAGCATAGCAATACTACTCATACAGTCATCATTGATAAATCAATAGCAGCAGCAGCAGCTATAGCTTAAATAGATATGAACGGGGAAAAATTTTTTTTTTTTTTACTGGATGATGAGACAGATAGAAAAAAAATATCAGACCATTTTTCTTTCGATTTGATCGCTCTTCACTCTATAAATGTTGCTATATATATATGATAGACAATGAATGACAACAACATCAACATCGACAACAACAACAACAACAACATTAGCCAAAACTGAAGCTACATTGATGATTCGAATGAGAAGAAAAATCTCATTATATAAATGCTCAACATCATATCAATTTGATTTAATTGTTTTGTCTGTCAGTGATGATTAAACATCATTCCTTTTCTTTTCTGATGATGATGATGATGATGATGATGATTATGAGAAGCTAGTCAATTTTTTCATCTATGTAGTTGGTGACAACAAAATCAATTTTGGCCAATTCTTGCATCCTGTATAAATTTGTGAAATTTTTTTTTATCATGTTATTTGTTTGATTAATTCAATTCAACCACCATTTTTTTTAATGATGTATAGCTGTGTTTTTTGAAAATTTATTGTCCAGTATTTTTTTTTTTCGTTTGTTTGTTTGTTTGTTATGCCAATCAAATCGATCATCAACCTTGACCAATTCATTTTATTCGATCAATAAACAATATCACAGTGATTTTTCATTTCTCGTTTCTTTTTTTTTTTTGTTTTGATTAAAATGTAATACAACTGTTGAATTTTGTTTACCTTTTGTTTCTAATCATTTTTCTTTTCTTTTCTTTTTTCGAAAAACATTAGATTTTGCCATAAATCGAAGACCCGAACAACAAGGTATCAATTCTGACGATAACAAACAACAACAACAACAACAATAGTGAAGAAGTAGAAGAAGAAATGGAAGAAGAACGACAATTTACGTTTGAAGATGTCGATTCGGATGATGTTGGTAGTGATGATGATAGTGATTCGTTAGAGGTTTCGACTACCATCAAAGGTCATAATCAACCATTATCGCAACGTCGCAACAATTATATTGTTGATTTAGTTGATGATTTTCCTAATGTAACATCAGGCAATCATCGTGGCAAGGAATATGTATCTGGTGTCCATAAATCAACTGATTCAGGGAATGACGATGAAGATGATGACGATGATGATGATGTTGATTCGGATAACCTGGATGATGACATTCTACGAATGAGTTTGGATGAACGAAAATATGCCAGTAATCCGATACCGATACCAGATGAATATGGAACGATCAAAAATGCTGTTGGCGGTGGTGGTGGCGGTAATAATAATCGTACTAAACACCATCGACGACGTATGCATCATCATCGACGTAAAAAACGTCATGAACGAATCACTACAATCAGTAGTGTTGGGGCCATAAATTTTTCTGATCTATACTACCTCAGTGGTGAAGTACTTGGTGAAGGTGCCTATGCATCCGTGCATGAATGCCGTAGTTTTGAACATGACCAAAAACGTTATGCCGTCAAAGTGATTGAAAAAGGTGAACGTGGCCATAGCCGTAGCCGAGTGTTTCGTGAGATTGAAATATTCTTCAAGTGTCGTGGCCATCAGAACATCATTCAGTTTGTTGAATATTTCGAAGATAATGATCGTTTCTATTTGATTTTTGAAAAAGTCGAAGGCGGACAATTGTTGGCACACATTCAGAAACGAATACATTTTACCGAACACGAAGCAAGTCAAATTGTACGTGATATTGCTAATGCACTTAAATTTCTACATAGTCGTGGTATCGCACATCGCGATCTCAAACCCGAAAACATACTTTGCTATTCAGAAAGTCAAGTATGTCCGGTCAAGATTTGTGATTTTGATCTTGGTTCCGGTATCATTCCGTCGGATAGTTCACCTGTATCGACACCCGAATTGCTCACACCAGTTGGTTCGGCTGAATTCATGGCGCCCGAAGTTGTCGATGCATTCATGGGTGAAGCTTCTCCCTACGATAAAAGGTATACACATTGTTTTGGTTGATTTCATCTAGTTTTACTAAAAATTATTGTTGAATAATTACTGTAGATGCGATTTATGGTCGCTTGGTGTGATTACCTATATATTGCTTTGTGGTTATCCACCATTTTATGGCTGCTGTGGATCCGATTGTGGCTGGGAACGTGGTGAATTTTGCCAATCATGTCAAGATCAATTATTTACCTGCATTCAAAAAGGTGTTTATGATTTTCCCGAACGAGAATGGGCATACATATCGGAAGAGGCTAAAGATCTCATTCGTCATCTATTGGTGAAAGATGCAAGCCAACGTTATACGGCTGAAATGGTTATTAATCATCCATGGGTACAGTATGGTGGTCCACGTACCTTCTTGCAAACGCCCAAAATAATTCGTCGAAATAATTCAGCTAAAGATTTGGCTGCATTTGCTGAAAGTGCCAATGCTATGAAAAGATTGTTCTTTAAAAATCTTTATTCGAATTCCATCAGTTTGGTGGCCGAATTGGGCAGCCAAAATTCGCGGCAAAAATTGTTTTCGCATATTGAAAAATCCGATGAAGGTGATTCTGGTACCGATCATGAATGTAACAGTGCTCTTGGTGGTGATGGCAGCGAATTTTATGGGCTACAATTTTCATTGCAACAACAAACATCGACCGATTCAGATAATACAGCCACCAGCACCACCAACAGTGGTGATAATTCGCCCCCATTGAAATTTATCTCAAATGATCTCGATTATCTTGTCGTTAAGCAGCAACAACCACAACATCAACAACAACAACAACAAAATGATGATATGATGAATGCTTGGTCGACTAAAATGTCTACATTCGATTATTATCGGCAACAATTACAAATGGAACAGCAATTTCAACCAGTTTCTCGTGATCGAAATTATTCCTTTGGACAACAACAGGCAAACAATAATAAAATGAATAATAATCTGGCTCGTCAAGCAATCATTCGTAATGGTAAAAATAATGGTCGTGGTCAACCACCGAAAATCCGTATGACTCTTTCATTAGATCGAAAGAATTTTCCCGGCATAGTCTTAATATAATCATCATGAGTTTGCTTCATCATCATGACCGGTATAATCGGATTAGATTGAAGACAATAATAATCAATAATATAACTTTGAATATAACATGTACCGGAAATCATATATAAACCCACCTAATATTATTATCATCGTTTGTTAAATTAGTCTTCAAAGGATAAAAAAAAAAATTTTCATGTCATCACTGCTAATTGTCATCATTTCATGCATATAATAAGCCATTTATATGTGTTGTTGCCTGTGTATACTATTTAGATTTTTGCTGTTGAAAAAAAAATCTATATAATCTGTGAAAAAAAAAAAAATTATTCATTTACCTCGTCAATGAAAACAAAACGATTCAAAGAATGACGAATGAAGACTTTGGTTGATTGATCAAGCCAACATCATCATCATCATCATACATAAAGACAGACACACACATACAACAACACATTACAATTACCTTCCACAATCAACCTCTGATGTATTTGTGATTTGTTTTTTCTTAATTTCTCATTCAATTTCTATAGCACACACTACATACATACACATCATTGATACTTTTTTGAATTTTTTCGACTACAAATTTGTTTTTTTTCTATATATAAAATACCCAGAGAGAGAGAGAGAAAGAAAGAAAGGCCCAAACATCAGATACAAGAACAAAATGAAGAAAAAAAAACTAAAAAAAAAATGAGTTTATTTGTTATCATTTTCTTATTATTATTATTATTATTATGATTATTGTCATCAAATCAAATCAATCAATAACATCACCATCGTCATCATTATGATCATCATCATCATCATCATATGTGTATTGTTTACAAAATATTAAGCCAATTACCGTTTATATAAAAACAAAACAAAAAAAGATTTATTTTTTATAAAATTACCCATGTTATTATATACATGAAATGAAAATTTTCGTCATAATAATAATGCCATATATGTATTATTGTGTGTGTGTGTGTGTGTGTGTGGAACAAAACAGAAACATCAAAATTATCGCGATCCATGATATAATAATGACATGAAATTCTTCAATCCATCCATAATTTCCAAAAAAAAATGAGATTTAAACTAGGAAATTGATTCGATTCTTTATCCTTGATTAAATAAACACACACACATCACCTATATATCGATTGTTGATTATTGATAATTCATTATTACATTATTATTATTATTATTATCATTATGCAATGAAAAAAAAATACACATATTCAACCAAAAAAACAAAATGTTATCTCCTAATGATGAGATATATATTCAAGAATATTCTAAATTCTTCTTCTTCAAAAATATTTTGTTTGTTTTTAATTTTTTTTTCTCTTTGTCATCAAATTATTCTAGCGAGATATTCAATAATTTTGTTACTAATGTCTCAAAAATAATTTTTCTATTCACACACACACATTTGAATGTTTATGATCATAAATGATGATGATGATGATGATGATGGATATTGATTGAAAAAAAAAATTCTGGACACTTAATTCATCTGGCAATAAGTAAAAAAAAAGTCAAACAATAACCAAAAAAACAAAACATCCTAGCTCTCTTTTTTTTTTCTCTCACTCTTTCTCCTTCCGATCAATAATCAATAATCAATAACAAGACACATTACACACACACACACACAAACACAAACACACAAAGACAGACATTTCCTATTTTTCTACTGTCAAGATTTTGTCGTTTTTTTTATACTTGATGTAATTGATTCATGAATGAAGATGGCCAAGATTTTTTTATCTGAATTTTTTTTTATATATATCTTTATTGATCTATATGTATCGATTAAGTTGTTGCGAAAAACAACAACAACAACAAAAATGTTTTTTTAATGTGAAATTGTAATGAATGAACAGACAAACAAAAAAAACATCAACAACAACAACAACAACAAGACATGTAAAACACACCACAAGCCACAACTTTAACAACAACAACAACAACAACAAAAACTTGAAAGACTTTGGGATTAGCTGATTATCTTGTTTCTTTTTTTTTTATTTCGTTTTGTTCACCAATTATCATCATTATTTGACAATGAGATTGATCCAAAACCAATCTGTATGTGTGATCATTTCATTTGCAAAAGTTATAAGTGATTTATTTTCCAGTTGTCAAATTTTTTTTTGTTTTTGTTTTTTTTTTATTTGACATCTATCTATCCCAAGTTTAATTCGAATCATCAAGAAAGTATAACATATGGGATGTGGTACTCATTTATCATGTCGACGGTGTTATTGTATATCATCATCAGCATTCATTTATTTTGCATTTGAATTTTTTTTTTGTATTTTCTCCTGTTGCTTGAAATTTTTTTTTTGTCCCAGTATTCAAACATACACACATCGACACACACACACACACACACACAAAAACAAAGTTATCATCATCACATGTCAAGCTTTTTGTATTTGAATAAAAATGACAATAAATGATGAAAATTTTTAAAAATTAAATGAATTGATTGATTGATGATTGAATTTTTGTTTTATTTGTGAAATTTTATTATTACCATATATATACGTCCTTTATTGACGGGTCTCATGTGTTTACATGTGTAAATATATTCTGTGATTCTAAATTTTTTTTGTGTTTCATTCAAAGTTCTTTACATTAAAAAATGAAAATGTCCACTGGTGATAATAATAATGCTAATTCTGAAATTATCGAACCAAGATCATATACACTTGAAAAAGGTGAAGAACTTCGTTTCGAAGTTGAAAATGAATCTGTTCAATGTCAATTGATTGAAGGTAAAGCCGAATTGTTTGGAACCGAGCTACGTTTGGAACAAAAATATACGTTTCAAAAAGGTGCTAAAGTAGCAGTTTTTACTTTTCATGGCTGTAAATTGAAACTGTATGGATCACCCGAAGTTGAGTATGTGGCTAGCGAAACACCCATGACTATTTATCTAAATCTGGACAATTCATTGGAAGGTTTACGAGTCACTGCCATTAAAGAAGATAAATATGGTCCAAATGTTCTTCGTTGCCGGGCCGGTGGACGTAGGAAAAACTACTTTTTGTCGGATATTACTAAACTACGCTGTACGTCATGACCGTACACCAATCTATGTTGATCTGGATCTTGGCCAAGGTTCATTGACTCTTCCGGGCAATATTAGTGCTGTGGTGATTGAGAAACCTGCCGATATTGAAGATTCATTTCATATCACGGCACCGATTGCATTTCATTATGGTCACTTGACACAAAGTAAAAATACTAGTTTATACAATATTATCATGAAATCTTTGGCCGAAGTTGTTGAATGTAAAAAAACCAATGAACCATCGACCAAATATTCTGGCACAATTGTCAATACATCGGGATGGGTACAAGGATATGGCTATCAATCTATTTTACAAGCTATTGAACATTTTCGCATCGATATTGTTCTTGTACTTGATCAGGAACGATTGTATAGTGAATTAGTGAGAGATTTGAAATCGAAACAAGGAATCAAAGTGTTGCTTATACCTAAAAGTGGTGGTGTAGTTAGCCGTTCTCGTGAATTTCGGTAAGTTTCTTTAACATCAATTATTTTGAATCATCATTTATTTGAATTTAAATACATTTCTAGTGCCGAAATGCGTGATCAAAAGATTCGAAGCTATTTTTACGGAACAACAACAAAACCTTTCTATCCATATTCATTTGATATTCCATTCGCACAGTTTACGGCCTATAAAATTGGCTCACCTAACCTACCAGATTCGTGTATGCCTATCGGTATGAAATCGACAGATAATTCGACTAAATTAATACCCGTACAACCATCATCATCATCATCATCATCAATATTGAATCATATATTTTCAATCTCATGTTCAACAACTGAACAAGATATAGACAAAGTCATTACAACCAACATATATGGATTTATTGCTGTGACCCAAGTTCATATGGATCGACAAGTTGTTACTGTACTTTCTCCACAACCACGACCATTACCAAAGAATTATATTTTTATAATGTCTGATGTTCAATTTGTTGATTTGGAGTAAAATTCATTTTTCACACATTTGAATTGTGCATTTCGTAATACTGGTGTTTAAATAGATGACGCTGTGACGGCTATTTTTATACAATCATGAATTGGCTTTTTTTCATTCACAGTTGTTTTCGATGACATTTTTTTTCTGTTTTTTTTTCTTTTAATAATCTTTGACGAATTGAATCCGAATCAATAAATCAAACATGTTTCCGTTTAATTTTGAACGTTTTCTACCTGATGTATTTCAAGCAACATATAAATGTTATTCAGTATCAATGTTGCCGGATGAACGACAGAATCTGGAAAAAGGTGGTAAAATCATAATGCCACCATCGGCTCTTCATACGCTTACACGTTTAAATACGGTTTATCCAATGTTATTTAAGCTGACGAATAAGGATAAAAATCGTCACACACATTCTGGCGTGTTGGAATTCATAGCTGAAGAGGGTAAAGTTTATCTACCATATTGGATGATGCGTAACCTATTATTGGATGAAGGATCAATGTTACATGTACAAAGTGTATCGTTACCTGTGGCTACATTTTCAAAATTTCAACCACAAAGTGTCGATTTTCTGGATATTCATAATCCAAAAGCTGTACTGGAAAATGCATTACGAAATTTTGCCTGTCTAACCACTGGTGATGTCATTGCGATTAATTACAACAATAAAGTTTATGAATTAAGCGTTCTGGAAACCAGACCCGGTCCAGCAGTTAGTATTATCGAATGTGATATGAATGTGGAATTTGAAGCACCAATTGGTTATCAAGAACCTACTCGACAGAACCAGAAAACTGGTTCAGACCAAAACAATCCAATGGCTGATGATAATGATGTAACTATGATTGAAGATCCGAAACAATTGCAACAAAATCCATTCTCTGGTAAAGGTAATCGTTTGGATGGAAAAATGCCCAAAGAAACTATAACTACAACTAATCCTGTACCAAGAGAAATGGCCAGAGGTGCACCTGATTATAATTATCAAATTGGAACGATAAAATTTTGGAGACTAAACAATCGGCCAGCTAAATCGTCATCATCATCCAACACACAAACATCAACAGTCGATGATAAAAACAATGCATTCAAACCGTTCATCGGTGAAGGACAGACATTATTCAAGAAAAAAAATCCATCTTAAAATAAAAAAAAAGATTTGATATTTTTTTATTGAAAATTTGATTGATTCATTTATAAATATTTTATGTCGAAATGGCTTGACTAGTAATCGGCCAATTTAACCGGCCACGTACGGCATTATCCTTCAATTTTTGTTTGAAAATTTCTGCCATCATTCGACGTTTTTTTGCCTCATCTTCATGTCGTCCATCCTTTTGGCGATTTTTAAATTCTGGTAATTTTTTATAAACTTTTTCCGTTTGTTTGCGCATCTGTTGATGGGTGAATACACGTCGAGTAATCGGCGATAATGGACGACTGTTACTTGATGCTGATTTTCGTTTTGAACATTTGTCATTTGGATAGCAACTTTTAGCCAATAAAAAGACCTGTACAATTTCATCTTTTCTTTGATCGGCTGTTTCTATTCGCAAACGACCATTGTCTTTTATTCGAAGTGCACGCATTAATGATCGATGTTTAAATTTTCGTTGATTTTGTTCGAATATTTCCGACAAATTAAATGATTGTGCATCGAATATACGATAATTTTCTTCGTCAACAAATTGAAGAAACCATGATAATGATCTATTAATGTTGAGACATTCACCATCATCATCATTGCTGCACTGGAATTGGTCACCATTTGATCGTTCAACAATAGCATTAAATACAAATGAGGTTTGTACCGATTTATTTGTCACATCATCATCATCATCATCATTGTCACCATCATTCATGTCTTCATTTATTTGTTGATTGATTTTCTGCATCATTGAAATTGAAGTCTGTAAAATTTTTGTTTGTTTTTCATGTTTGCTATATTTTGCCGTATCCAGGTTATCATAACATTGTTTTTCATACGAAATAAATGAATGAGTTTTTCGGTGTTGATTTGAAATTTTTTCAACATTGTTGCCATGGTTACAATGACATTTTGATAATGATTTTTCATTATATTTATTATTTCTATAATTAATGAATGAATTTTGAGATTTTCCAATGGATTTTTCGATCCTAATCAGATCATTGCTTAATCGTTTCAGATGATTGATCTGAGAATTGAGAAAATTTTTATGAAATGAAATTATATCCGATAAATGACAATTCTCTGTTATGGATTTTTCATTCTTCTGAATGGAAATGGGTGGGGCATTTCGATTATGATTACGATGAAATTTTTGAATCGGATAGTATTCAGTTAAATCATCAAATTCATCACAATTTAATGTTATGTTAGATGTGAGCGAATTTTCAGAATTACAATTCCTTGATGTATTCAACATCATAACATTCGATTCGACAAGAATTCTGGATTCTGTCTCATTAAATTTTTTGGTCGACAATATAATGTCAGAATCGGTTTGTTGTTGTTGTTGTTGTTGTTTTCGTTCATTGGACACATCTCGATTGGAAATTGGTCTTAATTGATTGGATTTTTGACAGGCCAAGGTTTTTTCCAAAAGATTTTGAACACGATTAGAAAGCCAATCAATAGAATCATGAGAATCGTTGCAGTTGCTGCTGTTGATTAATTGATGTTTAGTTGATACCATTTTTTGAAAGTTTTCAAAAATTTCCACTATTTTATTCAAGTGTGTGTGTGTGTGGGTGTTTGTGGAGTAGTGGTCACTGATTAAAAATAAAAAGTGTTTACAACTCAAACTCTAAAAGCAAACTGGAGTTGTTGTTTTTGATTTACTAATGATGATTGGGGTAATACCGCAATGAATTTTCCGTTATTCTCTATTCATACATTTGAAATGAAATGAAAAATAATTGATCCAAATCAAAAAAGATTTCAACTTGAACGGCAATCCAAATGCTATTCACAGAGTACGATACACAGGAGTGAGGAAAAAAATATTTATTTTTTGCCCCAATCACATCGATATGATCAAAACTTGAACAGAGATCAAATCATTGTCATTTAATTACGACGAAACTAATTAAATAGTCACGTAAGAATTCAGTTTCTACTGAATCGATAGTATAATTTTGATTTGTGCAAACATATAGAATGTTGAATTGTGTATGAAAATTTGCTGCAAAAATATATTTACGCAACATTTGTGCCATTATTCTTTTAATTGTTTTTGAAAACTTTTTTTTTGTACATTGGTGAAATAATATATCACAATGGAAACGACCGAAAATTTTAGTAAACCAATCGAAAATCTAAGTAAAAAACCCGCCAAAGGTATTTTGAAGTCAACATCGAGCTCTGAACATCAGCCACCACAGCTTAATAGGCAAAAGTATGTATTTTTTCCCATTGAATAATTTGTCAAATGTTATTTTAAATTCAACTTGTTGTCTCATTCAATGAATAGTTCTCAAGACAAGGATATCAAATGGGATGAAACGAATATTTTGCAAACACTACATCCACCGGACAAAGATTATGGCCATATGAAAATCGAAGAACCGAAAACTCCATATTCATATTTTGTTGAAGATGATGATGGACAATGTCATTCAGATAATGAAATGGTGGGTGAAATTGATCCGGAAAATTTGGCCAAATTAATCGACAAGACAACCAGTTCAAAATCAAAATTTACATTCGATGCAATGGAACAAGATGATTCGGATCAAAGCGATTTCGAAGAAATCGAAAATGAAACCGAAGAAGAACGTATGAGACGAAAAGAATTTGAACAAAAACGGAAAAAACATTATAATGAATATCAGATGGTCAAATTGGCAAGAAAATTGATGAAAGATGAAATGAACGAAGATGATGATGATGATGATGATGAAGATGATGATGAATGATTGATTGATCGAAAATCTCTAGATGAAAGTGAAGCTCCATTCTTTCGTAAATATCTCTTTTGGTTTAGCTGAAAACTTTCTTCTAACAACAAAACACAACACACACACACACAAAAAAAAAGTTTTCTAACTCACATTTGGCAAAGTATTATCAAGCTTTATGCATTCATTCATTCTTGCCATTCAATCACAATTATGTAGTGATCACAATTAGCCATTCATTATCCATTGGTCATGGAGTGAATTTATTTGTTTTTCTATAAAATGTACATATAACATTTTTTCTCTTCTTGTTCATTCACCCAATTCATTCAATTTTTTTTTTTGCTTTTTTTCCTTGTTGTTGAGCAATCTAATCTGTAGAAGATAACTTTTCTCATTCATTCTCAGCCATCAATTAAAAACAATTGTCAAAAGTGAGCGTTAAACATTCATTAAATATGAATTCATTTTGATTTCGTTCGATCATCTTAAATTTGATTTCTGCATGCCCACCATGATGCATCTGTGGACAAAAAATTCGTCGACAAATTTCGTTCCTATTGGTTGCAAATGACAGTGATGAGTAATTTAAATATGATGATGATTTTTCATTATAAAAACTTACAATCTTTCGGCATTGAATTTGCCCCGATACAGCATGATGATTGATTGATTAGGCGTCAATCGTGATTTGTTGCCCTTGTCATTGTTCAACATCATTTCCTCTTCTTTTCCATTCAACATTCGTGTTAATATGTTTTTGATTGATAATTCTGAATCCAGATATCGAGTCATCAATAGTACAAGTTCCTATTAATTTGATGAAAAATAAATGATTTCTATATTCAATTAATTGAACCAATAATCAAACCAACCTTGAAGTTGAAATGTATTTCTCGAACAAGTTTTCCCACTTGGCTTTCGATTCTATTATGCAAAGTTAGTGTTGAATGACTATAGATGATAATCATGTTGAATGATTCATCGTCATCACTGATACTGTCCAATGAAGTTAGTCCTTCGGTTATGGGCACTAAGCTCGTCAATGGATTGAAACTTAAATTCAATTGATTATTGTCCAACGGAATCGAACAGAAAGATTCGTTCAATTTGTTATTCTGTAAATTTAGCGAAATGTTCATCACCAATCATGAATAGAATTGTCAATCGATACTTACAGATGAATCAATGGTCCAATGTTTGTCACGATTATCGATGGAAAAATCATACACATTAAACCATTTATTATTGTAAATCTGTAGATTGGTCTTTTCGAATTGTTCTGTTTTTAGAAAATGAATGAAAATTAATTTTACTCATTGAATTGAATGAATTAACTTAGTAATCCTGTTACCTTGTAAACCTTTGTAATTGGCTGTGAAACAAGAAAACACTAGATTATGACAGGATTCAATGGCCGGCTGTGTTGCACAGAAAATATATAAATCTAAACGTTTACAATCACGTGTACGAAATTGTTGTGATGCCGACATCAATCGACAATCTTGACAATTACGAATGACAATACTGCCGATTACTGGTCCGATAAAAAATGTACAATTTCGACAATCATCAATCGTTACTGTATTACTATAATCATATAGACAAATGGTCGAATCATTACAATTCTGTATGATGAATTGTTCACCACCAATTTCACCGGGTAAACGAATCTGTATGGAATTTGATTCATTTTCAATCAAATAATTCATCAAATGACTTCGATCTCTATTTGACCTTATATGGCAAAAAAAAATGAAGAAAAAGGTAAATGTTTTGTTATTTCTGCAAGATGAAATGATCATACCAACTATAAGTTTTATCTGTTGTTGTCCATTGTTGATTATTAGCCAGTTGTTGAGATTTTTTAGACATTAAACAACCCATTTGATTAACTATTTGTAATGTGAAAATTATATGTAACGGTATGTAAAAGTTGGCCAAAATATTATTGATCATCATAAGAAGCTGAACTGGAATTCGATCATATAATTCGTTTTCAACACACACAACAAAGTTGCTATGGTTTCAAACTGCGCGCTTATAATAACCACACATGATCATTTTGTCAATCCAAAAACAAATGCCAAATGCAAATCAATAATCATGATTTGTGATCATAATAATAAAGATGACACCTGTTTATGATACACTGAATTTCAACCATATATCTTTATAGAACAATAACTCATCATATTTGCAACAAGTTTTTTTTTACAAATTGATAATCAAAATGAAATGTTTGAATCAAAAAAAAAAAAAAATTGATCCAAAACAAATGAATGTATGTATCAGGTGGAAATAGTGCATGTGATATATTATTGCCCTCCCATTTTTCTCTCATTTTTAATTTTACTTGATGATTGACCATTGTCAGTTTGTTTTGTTTATATATAAATAATATAAAAACAAAAAAAATGCTTCAAGTCAAATAAAAATAATGAAAACAAAACTGCTCATTTAAATGAATGATTGATTGATGATGTGATTTGATTTGATTTTTTTTTTGAATTCTTCAATTATTGACGAATAAATCACTGCTGCTGCTACTTGCTATCGATCATGTCTCATCATAAACAATCATCATCCAGATTTTTTCCAAACACCTTCTGTAAACAAGCTGAGAATATTAAGATTCTCAAAGATATGGTATGTATATGATATATTGATTGGAAAGATATGATATTGTAAAATTATCATTTATACATTACTATATAAATAAATATATAGAGTCTGAATAAAATGACGTTAGCATTGAATCAATATCGTAAAGATTTAATGTTCTGTGATTTTGAACTACGAATATTGTCCAAAAGTATTTCCCGTACATAAACTAGTATTGGCTTCGGCAAGTCCATATTTCGAAACATTATTCCGTAATTCCGGTTGTTTTATTGAAAATTCCAATAATTATGTTGATATTAAAGAAGTGGATAATCCTGAAATAATGGAAACAGTGTTAAACTATATTTACACTGGCGATATTGAAATTGATTCACATAATGTACAAGAAATTGTTCATGTTTCAAGTATATTGCAATTGACTGATTTGATTAATTATTGTGCAAAATTTCTTGAACATAATCTACAGACATTCAATTGTATTGGTATACTTTGTTTTTCCGATTCTTATGGACTATCCTCATTATGTTTTGAAGCCAAATGTTTTATCGAAAATAATTTTGCTGAAATTATCAAAGAAGATGAATTTTTTGAACTGCCAGCAAATCTATTCAAATCATTTTTGAAAAGTGAAAATTTAAGCATCATTTCAGAATATCAAGTGTTGATGGGCACTATTGAATGGATACTACATAAACCACAAGAACGGCTACAATATCTTAATGAATTCATCGACATTATAAGAATGCCCATCATTTCTCATAGTTCGATTGAAACTTTGATTGAAAAATGTGATCATCCAGTCGTTGCCGAAACGCTTCGCTGTTATATGAGCAATGAAGAACGATGTTTACCTGATACGAATTTCGGTGGATATAGTTCAGTACGATGTAAACCACGTATGGCTTCAAGACGATCAATTTATCTATTCGGAGGACAAGGCTCGATGAATACTTCTCGTAATTGGAATAGTTTTCACACTTTGTGTCTGGTTGAGAAATACAATTTTTATACGGCTACCTGGGATATGGTAAAATCATTAATGTATCCTCGTAGTGGTCATTGTGTTGTTCAATTACATAATAAATTATTTGTCATTGGTGGAACTTGTGATTCACTCATCCTTGATGCAATGGAAATCTATGATCCAACCAGAGATGAATCATCAATGGGACCACGTATGAACATACCACGGTCGGCATTCGGTGCCTGTTCATTTTCCGATTCATATATTTATGTATTCGGTGGTCTTGGTGGCGGTGGTAGTTTCATCGAAGAATTCAATCCATTCACTAATCATTGGAACGTTTATGATCAAATGCCATCATATCGTTATGGTATGCAAGTGATCGAACATGATGGCCTCATCTATATAATTGGCGGTGTGAATTCGCATGAAATGATCACCAATACAGTAATGTCATATGATCCAGAGACGAAAAAATTTTTCGAATTAGCACCATTGAATCAGGCACGAGAATCATTCGCTGCCTGTGTTCATAATGGTAACTATATCTATGTGATTGGAGGGAGAGGACCTAATAATCAAGTTCTCAATTCGGTTGAACAATACAACATTAATGAAGTAATAATAAATTGCATTAATTTTCTTGTGAATTCTCTAATTATTAATTTGTCTAAATAATTTTTCAGGATAAATGGTCATATGTAACCGAGTTGCCTGCAGCCAAATCGAATCTTTGTGCAGCCACTATTAATAATCTCATCTATGTTTATGGTGGTCAAGGACCATTAACGAATCCTCAGAATTGTCGACTAGGTAAAAAAGTCTATTTCTATGATCCGGAAGTGAATCAATGGCTGACGAGTAAACCGATGACACAAGGACGTTTAGATGCTGCCGTTATTGTTGTTTGATTTGTTTGATATATATGAATTTGTAATTTGTTTTTTTTTTTTTTCAAACTATCAATAATCAATAATGAAAATGTTTGGCCAATTTAATATAATCAATGATTTTGATGATTATTATATTGTTATATAATTGGATCCTTGGATTCAGGCAATACACACCCTATCGTGATTGATTTGGATAGAAATAGCTGAATGGAAAAGAAATATTATCAGCCGATCTGAGTCTGCAGAGTCTCGTGTATAATGCGAATTTTGCAGTTTTGGATTCTTATTATTTTTATCATTTAAAAAATTTGTTTATTTTATCTCTTACTGTCCAATAATAAATTAATTTATTCATTCATCATCATCATCATCATGTTTTTATTACTATGAACAAGAATATTGTTTGTTTGCATAATAATAAAGTTTTAAATTAAAATTTTTTTAAACAATCAATACAATCATTGCAATGCATCATAGATCAAAATGAAGAATCCAGAAGATAAAGGCAAAGATATAGTGTAAGTATGCAAAAAAAAATCCAAAATTGAAAATTGAGCTTTATTTAATGATGAAAAATAATTTTACAAATAGCAATATCTTGCTCGAACAATTGTCATCGAATTCTACGGCACGTTCGATTGTTGAACCACCACAAATCGAAGGATCAACATTTGATGATTGGCTTTATTTTTTCATTCAAAATGCATTTATTTTTTTCGTTTGGATTTTATCCATGGTTTGGGTGTGCTATGTTGTGTTTTACAATTCTCGTCTTACCGGATTTATTATAACAAAAATAGTCAACTATTTATTCATCAAAAATGGTTATTTTAAAATTGGTTCTTTTTCATTTGCGGCCATATCTGGAAAGATAATGTTTCGTGATCTTGTTTATATTAATGATGATTATTCCATACGAATACAGGATGGATGGTAAGTAAATTTGTTGTTTTTTTTGTTTGTTTGTTTTTTCTTTGTTCATCATTACAGAATTTTTTTCAGGATGGTATTCTGTTATTGGATACCATATGAATATCGTGATGCAAGAACCGAAGATTTATCCAATTCTGATGTTCGTTTGTTAATTTATTTGGATGGACTCAAAGTTCATATTTATAATCAAACAAAACGTTATTCCGATCTGGAAAAATTGTTCAATTTGCCATCGAAAATTTTCGACGAATCACCCAAAGAAACGGTCGATGCAAAGAAAAATGAAAAGGAAACAAGAGAAAAAATCCTGAAAAGTATGAATCAAACAAGAAATGAACTAAAACAATCGATATGGCGTGATCTTATTCCCATGATCAAAATTGAAATATCATCTGGTCGTTTCATTTTTGGCAATCATCTCATACCAAGCACGTTGTCCATTTCGTTTGAAGATTCGCAATTTCATTATACTAGTCAACCTGCCGCATCGCAATATGATCTATTAACACATATTCTCAAAGGTAAAGCAGAAAATCTTCAAGTAATGCTCATTCCAAGCATAAAATACAGTGGCTCAATCAATGATGAGCCACCAAGAATTATGGGCGATGGTTTCAATGTATTTCGTACGAATAAGATTGAAATCTATTACTATCAAGATGTACCGGGATTCGTTACCGAAGAAGCTGTTAATGAAACAGATAATCCAGTCTGGGGAATGGTTGTCAAATGTGGCAAAGGAACCGATTTCAGTTATGGTCCTTGGGCTGATCGTCAACGTGGTTATCTTTATAGTTTTTTCTTTCCCGCCAATTATCAGCTGATGCCGGTGGATGCAAAACCTAAAATTGGTGAACGACGTCGTTTCGAATCATTCGATATTCGTTTGAGTACATTACATGAAGCCAAAATTGATATATTATTCTCAAAGAACAAAGAAACCCATGCTTTACATATCAATGCAATGCCAGGATCGTATTTAGAAGCGACCATTCCATGGATTTGCAATACGAATGGCTACAGTACACATATATTGGGCCAGATTCTTCACCTGGATGCTACCACTAGTCTACAGTTTCGACCATTGATTCAGAGTGAAACATTCGAATTTGATGTCACAGTTTTCTTTCCACGACTTTGGAATGGTCACCAAGAATGGCTTTGTAAAATAACTGCATGCAAAGCAACGGTGAATCTAATATTTGCTCATAAAATTTTCATTCAAGATCTCATCGATGATTGGAGTGATAAAGATCGTCCAGACATATTGAAATTCATTCCATACACATGGAAGATATCGATTGTTATCAAAGATTTTGAACTTTTAGTTTTAGCCAATCAATACAATTGGATCGATTGTTCGACCGGTTTGAATGATGAAAATTGTAAAATTGCCATTTGTGGGGAACACTTTGATCTGGCATTCGATCTACCGTTTGTGGAGTTTTTGCCACCAAAATTAATGATCAAAATTTGGATTCAAGGTGAATGCTTAGAAGGTGCTTTCTACATACCGGAAAGTAGTATGAATCGTGATATTATTGAATTGATTCAAAGATTTTCCAACATTAATGATCGTAATGAATCCTGTAATGAATATCTGGCATATTTTGGCCACAAAAGAAAATGGAAAAATATCGTATCACATGGTAATCATTGGTATGATTGTATGAATGCACCGATTGTAGCTCTAAGTATAAATTATGATTTCTGGCCAATGCCAGTACTTGGTGATCATTCAAAACAAATGGTGATTGAAATTTCGAATCCAGTCGATGAAACGATATCGATACCAGTACGAAAAGAAAATATTAAATTTAAGGATGAAATACAAGATTTCGATGTAACCATCCTGCCGTCAGATGTGATGACAATCGAATTGGAGATTGGTCCTTCCAATATTGCTTTGTTTGGTGTTCTTTTCCGTTTTCTATGGAATATTAAAGAAAATTATCTGGGAGAATCGCAAGTATTTAACGAAATGGGAGTCAATTTTTTCGATGATAAATATGTGACGAAAAAACGAAGCGATACTGTAACAGGTTCGGAGAATAAGAAAGATAAATCAATGATGGAGATTGAAATTGAACCACGCAAAACATTTGATCCACGGCCATATCGTCCATTCGAAGTAATCGTATCCGTAACATTACATGAAATTCATGGCCATCTTGTCCAATGTTTATCCGATCCAAAACATTATTCGCCAATTGTTTATGTGGAAAAATTATGTTTCGAACTACGGAAAACATATCTGGAAACTAAATTACAGCTGATTATTTCGCCTGCTGTTGTACAGGTTCAAGATCGTATTGAAAGGATTGATTTTCCTGAATCACTTCAAGAAGGATTTCTTACATTATCATCGCTGCAATTTCGTGGTCATGCCATGTTTTCCGGCCTGGATAGACCATTACAAAGTGAAACACTGGAATATGCTTGGCTTGTCGACGTTGAAGTTGGCGAAATTGGTGGCCGTATAACATTAGATCAATTGATGCAGATTATTGTGCCTTTAGAAACGTTTTTATTTCAAATATTTCAATTAGATCTTGATCTTCAATCCCCGAATCCATTCTATAAATGTCTACATGATCGGCTACAGAATGAATGTCCTGAATCAGATCTAATTGCAAATCGATTTTGTCCATATCCTGAAGATCTCAAATATCGACTAGTTCGTGTGGATTTCAATAAGATAGACCTGTTTCTAATCGAATCAAATGTAACGATAAATCTATTGAATCCATCAACCAGATTAGCAACATGTAATCTCCATATCCACAATGAATTTGATGGATTTACATTGTTGGTTTCCGATTTAATAGTTCGCCAGTTTGTGTCTTTATCACCAATGAAAAATCTTGGTCGAATACATGAATGGGCTGAAATTAGTTTCATATCAACCGGACCGATTTTTCTTGATTCAGCCATTCAATCATCAACGATCGATGATTATGCCATTTCGCAACAAGATTTTCTTCACCATCATGATGCTAAAACCAAACGACTGTGGTTCTTGTGGAATGATTTATCCAATTGTGGCTGTGTGGGTAATTGTGCATTTTTTGGCTGTAATTTTGATGGACAAAAATTTTTCAATGAAAATCAACAATCACCGATGAAGAAAAATCGAAAAAAACATAAATTAAATGAATGTTTAGGACGAGCTTTACATAATCATTCCGATCTTGTCAATCTGAACTATGGTGAAAGTTTATTACATCCAGAAAATTATCTGCTCGACATACATTCACCATTGATTGATGAAACAAACAAAGCCATTTTGAATACAAGTAAATCATCTCAATTTGGTCGTACGGCAACGGATACGGACAAAAGTACGGCAACAAAATGGTCGGCTATATCGAATGATCGATTTTTTTCTGCCGAAGATTTATTTCTATCCGGTTCGGCTTCATTATCATCACGTATGGAACGTTCAATATCGAATAATGATAAATCCTTGTCATCATCATCACCGAATTGGCAATCACCAACCGAAATGCTTTCACCATCACAATACATGACTGCACGTGAACATCTTTCATCGTTTGATTTTTCAAATGGAACATCGCAACAAAAATTGTCTAGTTTATCATCTGATTCTCCTACACTTGTTTCGCCTAAAAATGGAATTTCAGACCAAACAACTTCAACAACGACTAGTACACCACATGCATTAGAAGATGATGATCAAAATTCAATCAATTCATTCATCTCGGCCGTCAGTGATCATCAAACATTTGATATGGTTGATCTACGAAATCAGCTAGAAAAGCCAATCATTGAATCACCATTATTGATGTTGGCATATTCAACCTATTTATCGATACATTCATCCGAATATATTGATATACCATCACCAGTGCATAATATGAAAATTTGTAATTATTTTCGAATGAAATCACCACAAGCATTACATTTTGAGAGATTAATATTTGAATATCGTAATAATTGGAAACCGAAATTTGTATTGAAAAATCCTGGATTCTCTGAAACCAAGTTTGCCTATTATAATGATAATCAACGAATCGATAAAGAATCGATTCGTTTTCAACCGGGTATTGTGGCTGAAAAATTTGATCTAAATCATTTGAAAGATCGAACCTTTCTATCAGATAAAGATGTAGTGTTTTCAGCACAGAAACCACCATTACGTGTATTGGCAATGGAAACATCAAATCGTTCCCGTACAGCTACAACATCTACAAAAGATGATGATGGATCGAAACCAGGTCGATCAGAAACAATAACATCTTCATTAATATTGAATAGAAACACTGACTGTGATTACAATGAGGTTGTTGAACATTTTTTCATTCACATCAAATTCGATCAAATACAAATCAAAATTTCTACATTAACATTCGATGTAATGTCTGCCGTTATGAATTCATTGACTGAAATTTTTTCCAAACTTCATCCCGTAAATTTATTGAATCATTGTAGTTATTCCATAATGGAATCCATTGAATCGAAGAATATTCTGAAGAAAAAGAAACCACATTATATTGGACAATTACATATGAAAGCATGGAAAGTGCTCAAACATAAACAAACAATGAAACATTTGAACCGTTCGATTAGTTTTGCTGCCGATCGTAATCCGAAAGCGGTTGGTCCAGAAATTGGCGGCACCGGTCTACCGGCCAATATTTTATTAGCCAAAAATCTTGAACTTGATCATCGACGCCATTTTAGTTTGAACACCGAAATCGATCGTATCAACATCAGTTCATTACAGGCATCGATTGTGGAAGAAATCATTTCGTTTTCGTCGTTGGATAATGTTAAAGATCTAACCTGTGTGTTGGTATCGAACATATCATTCAATCAGATACAATTCAATATGAATAGACAAACACGTGAAAAACGAAATCTACACGTATTCATGGAACAATCATCAACCAATACGGAAAAGGCATTGATGATACGTTTTTTTACAAGAAAACCGAAAAAAATTTTCGCCGAAATCGATATCAATGCATTCGAAACAACCGATGCATTTGCCAACGAAACAACAACAAAATTCTCGTTAAAAAATGTTCAATCACAATTATCACGTTTGATTAATTCACCTGATATTGTCAACGAAGCAACATTGGCCGTCATTCCATGTTTAAAGACCAAAGTGGAATTTATTTTTGCAGCACCATTAGCATACACTGCTGGCATTGAACATGGCAATCGATTTTTATCAAGAAATTCAAATTCTTCATCTTTAATTTCAACATCTAGAAAGAATTTACGACGACAAAACGGTATGGAAACAAATGATCAGACGAATGTTGAATCGAAATTTCAACATTTTAATTCATTTGTAATGTTTGAATTCGGCATGGAAAACTTTTCGTTCACAATGAACAAATCATCGTATTATAATGCCATACGAATCAATGACAATCACAATTCGATAATCAACGCAAATAATGATGTTATCATTAGTCATGAGACAGAATTTCCATCCAAACCATTGAATGATTGTGAATTGAAAGGACAAATAGCAAATATTTGGTTTCATTTTGCATCATCACCGAAAAAATCACTGACAGCCATACAAAATGATTTTGATCGTTATGATTGGCATCTTCTTAGTTCAATGATTCCATTGACAATAGCATGGGTCAGTGTTTTTGATCGTTTATCGTATCAATTTGATCAGATGAAAAATCGACTTCGATTTCGTATTTGTTCATCATTGGCATGTTTGCTTTCGAATTGTCGTCATGATTATCTACAGAACCATCTGAAGAATCCGCAGCTAATTAAACCGTTACAAAATAATAGCAAACAAATGATTCGAATTTTTTCCGCTTTGGCCAAAACATTACAGGATGATCCATCGTTCATATTGGTCAATGTTTTACGATTGAATTTTAAAGACTCGTTCAAATCGAATGCTGAATTTGAAGCATATTTTTCACGAACATCAATCATACCAAACAATAAGGAATTGGAAAAAAGTCTCGTCTTATTGTTATTCCATTGGAAAGAAGTACTGAACGTACCTGTATCGAATTTTGGTCAAATTTTCTTTCGTCATCAACAACCATCTACACATTCACCGAAAATGACATTCTCGTCCACTAAGAATCAAATATTGACATTATTAGAGGAAAAATTCAATCTTATGATGAATAATCCTGGACATGAAACCGATTTGAAAAGTGCTGCATCAATGACCATCACATCATCGACACCAGAACCATGTCGAACTTTGAAACATCCGTTGAATATGTCTTCCGATAATGAATCCATACAGATCAACATGAATGATTTGGATACTGAAACAACTAAATTGATTTATAATAAACATTTACCAACCGATCATCTACTTAGCCGTGATGATCTAGAATTACAGGCCGAAATTTCCAGTAATGTTACAAGAAATACATTTCCAGAATATTTTGATTCAATGGCCAAACATAAGCTGAATGTTGCTTCAAAACGACAGAACCGGGTACATTTTGTAAATGTATCCCGATTCAGTGGCCTATATGATCGATTTCTAGCCACACCGATTATTCGAAATATTTCGGCTTTATGTAATAATCGACTATGTAATTTTTGTTCATTTAAAAAATTTCGTTTTCATCGCAACACCAATTCACTGGATGAACATTTAGAACTTCAAGGAATGGTAACGACCGATTCATCTCAGCAACCAGAAGATCAAACCGTAATTGAAACAAATGACCAGTCTTTACAAATTGGACTCGATAACGCAAATCCAGAAATCGGTATCAATATTGATGATTCCGAAATGTTAGATCAAGGTGGTTTCCAACCAATCGATGATCGTTTCAGTTCACAAAGTAATTACAATGATAAGAAAGATCTTTATTGGTGGATGGTGAAACAACAGGATTATTTGAAAAATGTCAACACCAATTTGACGACCACCACCATTCCGGATCATTCACCTGGTTTGTTTAATGTTGATGCAACAACAATCGATGCCAACAGTCAAATCAATGAAACGAACGATGATCAACAACCAAAAGAAACAACATTTGATGAGAAAAAATCGGCCAGAGAAACGATACGAAAATATGGCCTTAATTGTGAGGCAACACAATATTTTGAAAATTTTTCCAAAACACTTAGTCTATCGGATGTACTTGATTTTGATAAATTATCCGAACAAGAACATGATGGTATATTTGGTTCAAATATAGCCATTTCGTTTGGAGTTGAACAATTTGGAATCCAAGTAGAAGAATCTGAACAGGATGTACAGAAAAATATGTTTAATGTCGACACATTATCCACATTATTGGATTGTATGGCTAATCGTCAGCAACGAATATTGGATCCACCATCTTTTGTATGTGTAAATCTATTGTTTGAAGCAATCATACAGAAGAGGGATCATTCACAAATTAATGATGCTGTTAATAATAATTTCAAAGATATTCGCAGCAAAAATGAAAAACTATATAATTGGATACCGAATTTTTCTTCAACAGCTAAATATCTATTCAAATCAATATTGCAGAAAAAATCCAATGAAAATGATCTTAGTTTTGATAAGGTTAATTTCCTTGTGTTCACCATTCAAATTGAACAGATTAAACAACGAATCAATCTACCATTGTTGCGATTCATTCATCAATTTTCGGCTATTTATGAAGATGTTTCACAAACTCGTTTTGAAATGCGTAGAAATCGAAATATTTTTACCGATCAAAATAATTATAGTGATGATATGGAAATCATTGATGATGATGATGATGATGATAGTACATCGTTTAATTCTTCATTGTCATCAACTAGCACTACAGCTTCATACACAATTCATGGTGAAAAACCAGAAACGATTGTCAACAATGTGGTGGCTATGGATGATCATCTTAGAGAACAGGAACAAATATTAACGGTGATTAATAGCAATAGAAATGAACCATCGTTTGATTCACGAATCGATAATTGTTGGCGAACTATATCACGAATGTTGGAACAATATCAAAAAACCAAATCAAAATTATTCACCAATCATGCTGATCAATTTGAACAATTCAATGAAGATGATTTTTATTCTGTTTATTCTGGTTTAATCAATAAACCATGGATTGTGATGGGAAATACTACCGTTGTCAAAATGAATGTCATTGCCATGTTGTCCGGATTAAAATTAGAAGGTGAATTGCATAATTTCAATTTTTCACTATCACATCAAGAATGTCGAAAAAAATATAAAGCCCGTACACAATGGCCCAGTAATTTAGGCATTCAAAATTTGATCAACACTACAATCGATATTAATCTTGATTGTACAACAATGTCACTTTTTGAATCATTGCAATTGAATGTTGCTGAAAAATCTATGCCGATTAATTCACAACAATTGGTCGTGAAAGTATCGGTAGAAAAATCCAATATCAATTTGGTGCGTAAAAATGAATCAGATTTAGAAACTGATTTTGATATTGAAAATCTAGACAAAATCATTGAATTATTGGATGGTTCGAATTTTAAAACCAGTATGGATTCGAATCATGCAAGAATTATGATTGGAAATGTTGAGGTGGACATTCCACAACATCCGGTTGCATTACATGGTATGATGACCAGATCCGGTCGACAATTGACAACAACATTACAGGAATTACGATATTCACGACAATCATCACGATCATCGCGACAACCAACTGCAACAACAACAACGACGACACAACAGGTACAGCAATGGCATATAATAATAGTAATGACAATACAACCGATGGAAACCGTTTACCATCATCACCATTGGGGTTGAATGCATCAACATCGCCGCACATGAGTTTCGATCCATCGCATATTAAAAAACATTCGATACCAGGTCGTACGGATAGCCGAAAAAGTCAACAAAAATCTACACAACGACGATCAACTATACAAAATGTTCAAATCAATCCAAAAGAAATTGGTCATTCACATACGCATCAACATCATCATCATCAGCATCATTCGGCCAAAATGACACATCGTGCAAACCAACGTAAATCATCGAATCTAATATCACCATTGATTGTTGATTTTAATTTCATATTGGAAAGTGTTGCCATCAAAGCTTCTCTATTGCCATCATTGCAGGCAAAATATCTTCTTGGACAGGTGACAAGTTCAGGATGTACTGGATCCAAAGCTAAATTCATTGTTGACATTAATAATCATTCGTTATGTTTGAAAACAATAATGGAATCATTTCCTAGTGAAGCAAATGCTAGCATCAATCTACCACGAATACATGTTGATGCTGAATATAAAAAGGAACCATTCGATAAAACAACAGCCGATATGGTTAATCGTACGGAATCTTTTTCCACTGATGGTATTGTTTTCCGTAAGGGTAGCTATTTGAATATGGTGGCCGAAATTAGTTCATTCGAACATTCACTTACCACTGATCTTCTTAATCATTTACTTTTTGTACAAAAAGTTTTCATGAAAGAAATCAATGAAGTGCTACAAAAAGTGTCACGTAATGAAGAACATGAATTTACATTCGCCCAAGATAATTCGAACAATTTTAATGGTCCATTAACCACCGATGAATCAACGACAACATCGAGAATTCTGTTTTCATTATCCTTGAAAATGACTGGCATACAAATAACGGCCACTACTCCCACTAATAGTGCTGTTCGTTTTGAAACCGGTACAATCGATTTGCGTGTATCAAACCGTCTAATGAACACAACGGATCGTGATCGTAATTTTAAAATATTTGTCCGTGTTCAATTGGATTTTAACATTGCACTTGGACAATTGATACGAAATGCAATATTCGAAGAAGCCGAACCAGATTTTCAACAATTGGCTTATTTTAAAACAAGAATATGTATGCGTAATGCATCACAAAATCAACAGGTCAACAATATAACAGCTGATTTGGAAACAGATGATGATGATAAAGAAGTTGTGTTGATCACACTAAATAGACCATTGGTCTATATACAACCGTTGGCATTGGACAAAGCAATATTGGTCTGGATTAATTATAAGAATGCCTATGAATATTGGAATGAACAACGTGCTAGCCTCAATAATGAAGTAATACAGGCAACACAACAGGTATTTGATAGAGTACATCCATTCACGCAATCATTCAGTTCATCACAATCAATGGCCACCCTTTTGTTACAATTAACAGTCGATGATTTTGGCATCTGTCTACCGATATCGACAGCAACAACAATATCTAAATTTTCCACACAAAGTCGCATTTATGATTCGGATATAAAAGATGCACTTGTATTGACTTTGGAAAGTACACGAATATCGGCTCTATCACGAGGATCATTGGTGAGCAAAGGGAATTTAAAATCTATGCATTCGTTTTGCCGATGATTTTGAAACAATGTTGGATGATTGGAAACCTGATCCTACCGATGCATCCATTCAAAATCTGTGCATCGTTTCCAGAAGGAACATATCAGATTTGTTCACGGACCATAACTTATAAAAAAAATCATCAAATGGATTTTGTTAAATCACCATCAACATCGATGCCCAATGAAACACAGAATTATCTGGCCGAAGCTAAATGGATATTGAATGTTCATTGGAAAATGGATGGATTTGATATTCATGTGGACACCAGTATTGGTAAACATATTTCAGCTTTATTCAAAACAATGACTGCTATTGCCGGTGATGAAGATGATGATGACGATGACGACGATGATGATGATGATGAAGAAGAAGAAGAAGAAATTGAAGAGGCAAAAACCAACCAAATTGATCAAATTGACAGCAAACTTGAAGATGACGGCATACAACCGATAACATTGATTCAAACATCATGTACATCTGATGCCATCTATATGCATTCAAATGATAAAAAGAATAGCCAATTGATAACGAAAGAATCTATTAAAAAACGAAATATTGAAAAAGAATTTAATGAACAAGCCAAAGTTATTAATGATTTACGACAATTGGGTGCCAGTGATCATACCATACGACAAGAGATGGAACGATTTCAGAAATTAGAAGCAGCTGTTTTCAATAATTTTCGTCGTGGTGTGATTAAAAAATTAAAACGGCCATCAAATAATAGCAAACAACAATCAACAAGCGGTGATATTGGAAAGAATCGTGCATATAGTCAATCAATCTATTCGTATGATGAATTGAATAATAAATATTCTAATAATAATGATGCAAACATTCAGAAAAGAAGTCAATTCTACAAAATTGATGAAGAATATAACAATACAGCTAGTAGTAATACACGTTCACCAACAATACGTTCATCAACGATATCGATACCGAATGAACTGAATTATGATGATGATTTATTGGATAATATACCGCTATCCACTAGTGTGACTAGTTCTCATATTGAAGAATCAGTCATCGAAAATAATAATCATCCATTCATCATGAATGATGTAGCTGATGAGCCTTATATTAAACAGAATGATTCTAAGATGGAGAAAAATTTTCAACCAACCACCACTCAACCAATGTTGAACATGGTGGAACCAAGAATTGATTTCGAATTGGATGTAAAGATATTTTTCAACAGCGGTAAATGTGTTCTTCATACGAAAGAACAAAAAAATGAAATTGATTCGAATAGTCGGAATTATTCGGCCAATGATATGGCTAATCAATCGCCAACAAACAACAACAACAACAACAACACAGCAGCAACAATTCGGCTAATAAATCACAGAAAATCAATAAATCACGTTCATATAATAAACTATCGAAAGGTTCAACCTACTTACATCGAAAAGATTATTCAGTTGGCATGAATCCTGATTTCACCGTATTTCTTATACCTGGTCTGGACATTAAACTTAATTATAGTTCAAAGAATATCAATGCATATGATGATGTACAGGATAATGAACCGGTACAAAGTTTTCGAAATGTAAAAATACCGCAACAATGCAACAATAACATTGTAGAAGCTACCAATTCATTGGCTCGATCTGCAGCAAAATCAACGAAAAAAGCCATACTATTTGCTTGGATCACGTTGAGTTCAATACCGGATGAGATATTCATTAGTCCACATTTGTTGGATTTTTTCGAAGAAGCCCTTAAACCAATTCCATTGACAATGTCTGGACAAAATTCAGCAAACGCCACATTATCAAGTATACAATCGCAGAGATTTGCTAATCAAATCAATAATAGCCAAAATGAACCAGAACCAGGCTCATCACAATATGTTTATTATTCATCATTTCCAGTTGATGTGATTGTATTTTTCCATTTTCAACCTACAATCATTCGGCTTGGATGTTTACCCATATCTAGAGTGGAATGTCTTTTACATTTACCATCAATTGATTTTGTCATGTCATCTAATCGATCGGAAATTGATCCGGCTACCATTTCGGACATGAATTATAATTCAACATTTCAACAATTATCGAATAAAACGTTCAAGAATGCCAAAATGTTTCCTACAGATTCACAAGCGAATAATATGGGGACTTCTGCTTCGAATAGTGGCGGCCTCAGTATAACCGGTTGTTTGGCCGATTTTTCCCTCTACATTTTTCATCCATATGGTGGCCAAAAAAACAAGTCAGCTAATAATTCAAAAAATCAATCATCCTATTCAACAAATGACCGTAAAGATTCTCTTAGTTTACAAGTAGAATTTGTCAAGATTAATATTTCACGATCCAGACGATTATTGTTGAATGATTGTCTTACACAAAGTATAAGTTTTTCTTCTATTTGTGATATCGGCACAGCTACCTTTAAATATGATGTACGTCGTTTGAATGAAATATTAGCATTTCCAAAGGCATGGTATCGAAAATCAATTTGGAAGAAAATTTTTATTGGCGAAAATACATTGAATGCAATATTCAGTGATAATGATGACGAAGAAGCTGAAGATAATCGAGCTTTTATCGATGATGAACTGGATTCACAGGCCGATTCTTTAGATAGTAGCAGCAGCAGTACGACTAGTTTATCCAATGAATTCAGTATAGAAAGCTGTTTACATGTAAACCGGAAACCGAAAAAACGAAAGAAAAAGAAATTGAAATCTCATATGATCACTGTGGTTAATAATCCATGGGAAACATTAGTTTTGTTGACAATAAATTTCTCTAAATTGAACGTATCGATGAATATGGGCAACATAATGGGTAATGTAAATTGGCAAACAAAAGAACTAATGTGCGATGGTTCCATATCGATCGATTCGAATGAACATCGTAAATTTCGTGTTGGACTTTGTTTGAATAATTCTACATTGGACGCTAAAGGTGGCATAATTGGAGGTATTGTTGAATTGAGCGATATTCGTACCGAGATTAACATTCGAGAGGATAGAAATCTGGAACCACAACATCGGCTTTATTTTTCATTGCATACGATTGAAAACCGTATCGATTATATGGGCACATCCATTCTGATGGTTCGTATTAGTGATCTTAGTGCTTCATTTTTCGATAAATGGAATGCCAAAATTGAACACACACTTTGCATGGATTCTAATCAACAACCACAACAAACGAAAGAACCATCATCAATCCATGTACAAGGAAGTCTCAAATGGGACCAGATGCAAATTTTAATGTCTAAATCAACATCACCAGATTTTATTAAAATAATCTCAAAACTTGAAGAATTTTTCACACAACAATTACATAGTGGAAAAAGAGTATTCGATTCTTTGCATCCAACACTCAAATCAACAACAGCTACGGATAAGGTCAAATGTCAGAAAAAGACTACCATCACACAATCTCCGGATATAAAATCGAAATCCGAACCAACCGTACTGGTGCCTGTAACTACCGAAAATACATTACCAGAAATATCTCTAAAATCATTTCATCGATATTGGCGTAAAGCATTTCAGCTGTTGTCAAATAGAAAAGCTTTACTTGGTGGTTCGATTGAAGTGCAAGCACATAACATTTCATTAGTTTGTTTTCATGGTGTTAATTTTCGATCCAAATCATGGGCAGTTTTTTGTCTGAAAGAACCATCGATAACTTTTGAAACCGAAGCACGTTATTTGAATGATTCGGCTGATGTTGTACAAAAATTAGAACTAGTTCTTGGTCGAAATGATACAAATTGTATTCGTGATAACATGGAAACGATGGCCATTGTGAGTAAAATTACCCGAACGGTGATATTTCCACCACAATTTCGTCATCTACATGAATGGTTTCATTATGCATTGTCACCGGTCAAAATTAATGATGTGAATCGATTTCCATTACCGTCCACTGATAATTCAGAATTTGATGCATTCGGCGTTCCAATTGAATCATTGACACCTTCGCAGCTAAAAACCATTCAAGCTGATCGTCGTACAAAATCAACAAGTGAATTCCATCATAAAGAGGAAATGATTTTTGCTTTTCCAAGCATGAAATTTGAGCTTACCACTAAACAAGAGTTACAAATTTCAAATGAACCATCTATCGTTTCACCAAAGGTGTTGTGTAGTTTTCGATCGGATTTTGTTGATCACATCTATGTTGCCGTCGATGCTGAAGCATATTTCTTTCTTCACAATCTAATCAGTTCATATATCAACGAATCGACAGCCAATTCATCCGATACATTCACAACAACATTGAATAACGATAAAGATGGTAAAGAAAGTCAAAAAAATGGCTCAAAAGAAACTGTGGATGAAGAACGATCAACTAATGAATCTAAATCAAGACCGAATGAAAAGACAACTAAGAATGAAACACTAATACGTGATCATCGAGAATTTAAATGCGAAGTAAGAAAAATTTCTGAAATTTTTTTTTGTCAATTAATTCACCTCTGTTCATTTCGTCTCTAGATTTGGCAATTAGAACCAACAGTTCGTCTACATTCGTGGGCAAGTAAAAATATCGATCCTTATGGTGTTGATTATATTCTACAACGATTGGGTTTCAACCAGGCCAGAACAACGATTCCTAAATGGATTCAAAGATCGACAATGGACATGGCCGATAAGATGATTTCAATTGTCGTATATCAAATGTTGAAAAAAGATAAGGAAGAAAATGCTAAAACATCAATTACGGAGAACTGAAATTTTTGCAACTTGTTTTGTTTGTTTTTTTTATTGATAATGACTGAAATATGACTGAAATATGAAGAAAAAAAAAAAATGAAACAGATATGGCACAATGTATTCATTCATGACTGGTTTTTTTTAATTCGATCTCGATCATTTTGTAATTTCTTTATGAATCTCTTTTTAAGAATTTTGATGGCCAATTTTTGTTCGTTTGCATCTTTATCCTTGTATTTGTATTCCAGAAATGATTCTGAAAATGAAACATTCAGACCTGTTCAGTAGAAGTTATGAATGAAACTTACTTATTAAATCTAGAAAATTATCTCGTGTGTCGTGAGAAAAATTTGACCAAATTTGACCAGCACTCATCTTTTCTGGGAAAATAATTCTAGCCAACGTTGTAAATCCTTTCACATCATCTTCGGGTACAAGAGCTGTGGCCAAGTCCGAAACATGTAGATTAATTCGATTTCTACCCACAGTTATTACATCCTATGGATTGTTGAAAAAAAGTGAATAGAATACATTCATTCATTCACACGAAATTGTTTACCTGGTTACTAAGACTAGGGGAAAGTTCATATATTGAATTCGACGTTCCAGGTCCGTGATTTTTCTTTCCAATTCTTGGATTCGATTCAACATCTTTGTTTGTTCACGTTCCATAATGGAAATTTTTTCGTTCAATTTTGCCACTGTCAACGAATTAACATCGACAAAAGTGAGCATTTCTTCCATTTTTTGTCTGGCTTCTTCTTCTCCACCTTGATTGGAATTAAAAATCAATTTGAATACGTTATTGCATCATAACCATTACCTATAAATTCTACCGTTCCATATTTGATGGAAAAATCAGCGTCTTTATAAAGAATCTGTTCTTTGGGCCAATCCAAAGGATCAGTACTCCTCCATTTAATATTAAAATCACAGAATTGAAAAATGTTTATGATTTCCAGTTGACCACTTGCATCACGGATAATCGCATGCCAAGTCATGATTAACTTTTTTTCAAACTTGGTCGGTCTTAGAAACTACTTTTTTCCAGAAAAGTATCCAAAAAGTTATATTAAAATTAACAAATTGGAGTTGGATGAGAGTAGTCGAAAAAAAAATCTCAACTGAATGACACCTTGAAAGTAGCATTGATGAACTTGCAATATGTAAACGATTTGTTTGACATGGTCAATATCGTTAACGGTGATTTGAAATTTTTTTCTTTGTTCAACCTTTTTCAACAATCTTAACCACAATCGATGCTATGTTTTTTCTTTGTTTTTTTTTTATTAAAATGGGGTAGAAATTTGCTCAAATTTAACCACAAATGCGGCTGTTTTATGTTGCTAAAATCAAATGACACACACATTCAAAATGAACAACAGTCATGTCAACATGTCTGATGCAGTGATGAGAAGAATAAAGATTGAAACATTAACGACATGTTTGTTTATTATTGAATTTTTCACCAATATTCTACGATTCGTAGGATTAGGCCGTCGATATTATAAGAAAGATAATCGTATTGATGGCAAAATTGTCTTAATAACCGGTGCTAATAGTGGAATTGGTTTAGAGGCTACTTATCAGCTATGTCGACGAGGAGCCAAAGTAGTCATGTGTTGTCGTGATGTAGAAAAAGGTCGACAAGCTGCCAATAATGTTCGTCGTCGATTTCGAACAGCCGATATAGATGTGCACCAACTCGATCTATCGTCCTTCACATCGATTCGTCGATTTGGTAAAACATTAGGTGACCATTATGACCGAATAGATATATTGATCAATAATGCCGGCGTTATGATGTGTCCCGAACGAACACTATCATCGGATGGTTATGAAATACAATTTGCCACCAATCATCTGGGTCATTTCTGCTAACACATTATGTTTTGCCGTTGATGATTGATTCGGATGATGGCCGTATCATCAATGTAAGCACCATACATCACATTAGAGGACGAATTTTTTTCGATGATATTAATTTCACGAAAAAACCGTCCTCTTATGATCCGGTAGAAGCTTATTGTCAGAGTAAATTGGCCAATGTCCTTTTCACCAGGCAATTGGCTAAAGAATTAGATGATCGTTCGGATAAATTTCCCAATGTCAAAGTTTACAGTCTGAATCCAGGAACTATTAATACGAATCTGACTAGACATATTCTAGGCTTTAAAAGAATCATTTTCAATATTATCGGTTTTCTATTCAATCTGGATGTTTATTCGGGTGTACAAACGACACTGTTTTGTGCTTTAGAGCCATCATTGAAATATCAATCAGGCCATTATTACAGCAATTGTAAAGAAAATCATTGCATATTCAGTGAATCATTAGATGATGAAGCAGCTCGACGATTATGGACAATTAGTTGTCAAATGGTTGGCATCGAACCGAGCAAATATTTTAAAATTTGATGTATGATGGAAAAATAAATTAAAAAAAAATTTTTTTTGAAAAAATTCATTTTATGTTCATTTGAATGCGCAAGCGCACTGTGAGCATTGGTCATTCAAGCATGTGTTTTCAATCGATTATTTGACAAGCTGTTTTTTGATTTAGATTCATTTCATTTGAAATTTACGATCATCATTCAAAATGGTAAGTTTTTGAATTGTTCAAGAAAGTTTTTACCATTCTCTTTTTGTTTACACAGGCTCACAATGATAAATCATCGGGTGGAGAAAAGAAGAAAAAAGAATCGATTGTCGATCTTTCCAAATATCTGGAAAAAGCAATTCGAATCAAATTTCAAGGTGGCCGTGAAGGTAAATTGATTGATGATTTTAGCATTTCATCATAACCTTAGTTTAATTTATTATAGCTACTGGTACATTGAAAGGTTATGATACGCTTTTGAATCTTGTTTTGGATGGTACAACTGAATACCTGCGAGGTAAATTTTATTTGATGTGTTTTACAATTTGCAATTATCAAATGTATAATGTGTTTATATTATAGATCCAGATGATCCTTATAAAGTAAGCGAAGATTCTCGCCAATTAGGACTGGTTGTATGTCGTGGCACAACAATTGTTTCGATTTGTCCCGTAGATGGTATGGAGCCGATTGCCAATCCATTCATTCAACATGAATAAACAACATACATGTTTAAGAATAAAATGTATTTATTTCATAGAATTTATATATTGATAAAAAGCATTATTAATCGGAAATATTTGCCAGATTAACTTTGATCATATGGGTAACCCATTTGGTTTCTTTTGTTGTTTTGAATGTCTCTTCAACGTTTTGGTTTGCCGGTTTCAATGTAGATGGAAGAATTGAATGAACATAATCATGTTTCATACGAAATTGCACTTGACATTCAACACCATTGCCTTGTTTAGGTGTGACAAATAAATATACGCCAATTTTATTACCCTGACGAAATGAAATGACACTGTAACAACAACAACAAAAAATATTAATTGAAGATCAATATGTTAATCGTGGCTTACTTTGGATCATCATTGAATTTAGAACTAGATGATTCCACATCGACCAAATCACCGGTATCATCTTTTGGTGTCAATTGCAACACAGTATTGGGCAAAATTACATCGGCAATAGGGTTGTTAATTATATCCACTGGTAATAGTGTGACATTGATCAGATATTGTGTCGGATTGGTCAATGTTAATTCGATTCGTGTTGTTTCATTCAATTTCAATGGCGTTGATTTCAATATACGCAATTCAGGAACAATGTAACTATTTATATAGTGAAATGAGGAATTACTTAATAACTTGAAAAATTCAATAATGATGATGACTTACTATGCTGAAAGTTGAATTTTAAATTTTATTAATGAAGGATTGTATTCAGGCTTGGATAGATTGTGATCGCATTTTTTACAACGTAATGATCGTTTCACCACCAACTGCTGACTTGTCGGATAAAGATCTGAACATTTTTGAGGCTGCCGTTCAATCTGATTAAGTGTTTGTTGTAATGTGTTCAAATGGCCAACATCGATCACCGATGAAGCATGATCAGCATTGTCCATTGGTCCATAATATTGTTCAATGTTCAATTTTGGAAGTGCATCTTCGGACAAACCAATCGATGGTTTAAAATCTTCAAGTTGTGGAAATGATTTGGTTAGATCGGATGTAGAAACACCCGAACTGTTTCTAGCCATTCGTGCACGTAATGTCGCCGTTACTTTGGGCGACAATGTTGAGGTGATGCCATATTTATCGAGCAAAGATAATGCCGTTCTCGGTACCATTCTTTTCTTTTCCTTTTCATTCTTTTCTTTAAGTGATAAAATACGATAATATTCGGAAAGTGATTCTAATCGTTCCGATTCAGGAACCTTCGGTTCAGTGAAACCTCCGCCAGCTGAAAAAAAAACTTTTTGTATAGAAACAAAATGATTGATTGATTGAAAAAAAACTTACCAGAACTTTGATCAGGAATGCCAATATCGCGTGATGACCAACGACAAAAATAGCAAAAATAATAGCTAAGTTTCTTGACGTTAGGCTGAGAATCGTTTGTCGGATCCGGATTGTGAACTGGCAACAATTGAATTCGAGTGGATAATGTATTCTGACAGCATGGACATTGATAACATTGAGCACATCTGTACAAACAATCAATGATTGTGATGAGAAAAATTGAAAATTTCCAATTGACTTACTTGTTTTTCTTCAGTTTAGCATCCAACATTGGAATATATTCCAAACATTGTGGACAAAATTGTGAATCAACTTCATGTGAAACACAATCACGACAACGTGTTTCATCACAATATCGACAAAAATATAAGTAATGAATTGTTTTCCATTGTTTACATGAACATTGATATTGGACACATTGGCTGTCCAAAAATGGAGAAATAAATAACATTGTTAATTGGATATAATCAATGATAAATAAATCAATTATCAATCAATCTTTTTAAAAAATTTGATGATGGAAAACATAAATATCATAATATAAATAAGAGATTTGAATCCCATCTGTGAATGTGCTCGCCGAGAGAGTGAACACCAAGTTTTGTTTTGATATATATTTATCAACACATAACAACAGAACACTGAAAAAATTGATTGATTCGATTCAAGTTTTTTGTTCGTATACCATATATATTCATTAATTAATTCTGTCAAATTACCATTTTAGATATCTTCGTCAATCAAATGATTAAAATGTTTCATCATTCATGATTCTTTTTTTTTGTTGAAAAATTAGCTTATAATTCATCATCAATCTTCTGATTAATAAATGGATAAATATGTCATTGATTTGGATAAAGTTCTTGATGAACTTGAGCTAAACGATGATTATGGTAAGTTAATTATTGTCAAATGTTGTATATTTAATTGTAGCCAATAATTCTTGTATTATAGATGAATCAGCCGTAAATAATCGTAATCATGTGCATGAATCAGATGATTCGACCAATCTAATCAATGATAGAATTGATTTAAATGATGCCGATTTTTCTATACATTCAAAGCCTCCTAAATTGTTGATAGTATCATCATCATCATCATTATCCAATTCAATGGTTGCTAGTAACAATAATGTTTTGGTCGAACAAAACAATAATATTGAAACCTTGAATAAATCGGTTGGTAATCAGAATAAATTTTCCATGGCCAACAACTTAAATTGTTGTCAAAGAAATGATGATAATATGAAGAATGATTTTTCTGTGGCTAATAACGACGATCTATCTGTGATTGATCACAATGATGATGATGATGATGATGATGATGATGGTTCGAAAGCCATCAACTCCGAAAAAATTCTCCATACTGATCAAGTACTGAATGACCAAGAACAAGATGCCCTTTTACAAATCGTTGATGATCAGAATAGCGAACCACATTCGGATTGTCCAATCAATGAAAAACTGGTCTGTGATAATGAATGTCTAGTTACGACCGAAAATGTTTCCGATGAAGACAAAATTATCAATTCAGCTGATGATTTGAGCGGTAACCAAGAAAAAATTGTGACAGTTGTTGCCGAATTAAAACCAGAAAGTATCGAAACGTCTGATACGACCAATGAAAATTTCAACAAACAGATTGATTCATCTGAAAAGGTCGATGATAAGGACCAGAATGATTTGGATGAAATAGCAATCGGAGCAATGAGTGAAGAAGATCTCGATCGATATCTTGGTGATTTGAATGATGATCTTGATGATATTGATGCCAATTCCGATATACAGACTGATTCTCAACAATTAGAACCAGATCAATCGAACAAGGTTGAACAACTTGTACAACAAGAAATCAAAGTATCTGAGATAAAAGAAAGTTTACCTACAAATGATTCAACCGATGGTGATAGTCAACCAGTAAGCAGCAGTGAATTGGTCGATGCAAAATCAGAACCAGTGAATAGTAACGATGAAGATAATGATGAGAATGAATATTGGTCTCAAAAACTTGGCCTTAATGACGATGACAAAGACGAAAACGGTGCTAATAATGATGAACAAGCACAGCAGCTACAGGAATTAGAAGAAATTCTTTCCGATTCAAGCGAACAACAACAGCAGAAACAATCACAACCGACAACAAGTTCGGAAAATGGTAGTAGTAACAATGACCTTAATGAAAATAGAACAAACGAAACACGTGGCGGATTGGTGCAGAATATCAATTATTTTGAACGTCAAGAAATGCCAAATGGTCTCACTGAAGAGGAACAAATGTTGGGCAAAGTAAAACCATTTTGGATACCGGATGAAGATGCTCAAAATTGTCTACACTGTGATGTTAGATTTACACTCATTAAACGACGACATCATTGTCGATCTTGTGGTAAAGTTTTATGTTCACAATGTTGTAATTTTAAAGCCCGGTTGCCTTATCTTGATTACAAAGAGGCACGTGTTTGTCAACTTTGTTATGCTATCCTAATGAAAATTGAAGAAATTGAACGAATAAATGGTCGCCAATTGGATATTTCCAATCATAATGATTCAACGGTGAACGATTCACCTGATCATCCACCGGATCCGAATAATCCATCAGAATATTGTTCAACAATATCACCATTAGAACAGGTTTCTGAAGCTGTTAATATGCCACCACCAACCGTAATGGTTCCTATTGGTGTTTTGAAACATCGTTCCAGTAATAATAATCGACGATCAAATAATTCATCCGAATCATCAAACAGCGAATCAACAACAACAACAACAACAGTGAAACAGGTGATGTTTTCTGATGGTGTTCGTCCGGGTGGTGATCTAGTCGAACAACCAGCTACAAGTAGCAATAGTAATACCAGTTCCAATATGGATGGCCAAAAGCCTGTGATTACCAGAACACAACTTCAGCTCAAATCACCATTGGCTGAGAAAATTCTTGTTCCATTTGAAAATTTTTCCAAACGTATCAAATTCAGCAGAGTTGTCGTTACCGATTCTTTGCATGGTCAAAGTTTACCACCAATCATCAATTATTATGAGCTCAAATCGGCGAATCCATCATTGCCTTCGAAGCCAAATTATTCACAACTAATTGAAATTTTACGCGATCCACAAACGCCTTGGATTACATTTGGATTGACGAAAAATCTTCATATCAGCACAAAAATCATCTCCAGTAAGAATTTTCTGGTTAATTTTGTAAATTTGGTAAATTATCATTTTTTTTCATTTCATAACAATCAGAAACCTGTTGCAATAGCCAAGAATGTTGGTCATTCTCAAGCAAAGGATTGGCATCAGTAGGCCAAGATGAAATTATCTGTGTTATTGATTGCCAATCATTACGTCGTTCAACAACAACAACAACGATCAATGATGGACAAACTTCATCACAAAATACAACGGCGACCAATTCAAAGCATAATAATGCAACCACGGCCACACAATCATTAGAACATGGTGATGTACTTGAATTTCCAAGAGATGTTTTCCGAATGTATACTACATTATATGATAGTGCTTCCACTGGTATGTTATTTCATGATTGAATTGAACGTTCGAATGGATCTTTGACAATTTTCTGTATAGCTAATCTCTATATGGACCTTATGCACATATTCTTTCCGGATGGTCTGTTCAACAACAAAGAGAACAGTGGTTTCATATTCACTAGGCCAACTATGCAATGTTTACGAAACATCCATCTACCACCGCCACCGTTCCTAATAGCCATATTGATACATAAATGGGAGATTCCATGGGCGAAAATTTTTCCTCTTCGTTTGGTATTACGTCTTGGTTATGAATATAAAAGTAATGCAAACATTATATCATTATTAGATGTGATTAATTTATTTTTGCTAAATCAATTGTAGTGTATCCATCGCCTGTGATTAGCTATGCTAATCGCAAATCTGCCTACTTTGAGATTGGTCATACAATCATGAATGTTTTAGCGGTAAGTATGTCTACAAGCCAATTTAATGTAATTTATTAAATAAAAATTTTTGTCAAATTTAAACTTGATAGGATTTTCGTAATTTTCATTATACACTATCGGTGGTCAAAGATCTGTTCATCTGTGTGGAACAACGAAAACGTGTCACATTGTTTGTGCCTAAATTAAGTTATGAAAAAGTATGCAAAGTGTTATCGACCAGTAATGAACATGTATTGGCATTTGGTGGTAATCTTAGCTTGAGAGCTGATTCACATTTTGTTTGTTTACAAAATGAAGACGATGATGATATACATAGTCAATATCGTACCGAACTATCTTCATATCCTGGTTCTCAAGAAAAACTGACCGGTGCTAGTTTTATTGTTTTTTCTGGTGTTCTTAAATCTAGTACCGGTTTAAAAGCTAAAATGAATATCGTCGAAGATGGATTACTAGTTCAGATACCACCATCATTGATGGAAGAATTTCGTTCAGCCATTAAAGATATGAAAGATTTTCGAATCGATTGTTGTAAAGTAACTGATACTAATTCTAATCCAGATGAATCGATTCAACTTAAATGGGTTAATGATGAACTAAGTACAAATCTCGGGTAGGTTCGATTTGGAAAATTTGTGCTAATTGTGAAAAAAAAACTAATAATAATCATCGATACACATAGGGTTCGAAGTCAAATTGATGGCCTTAATCTGGAAGGAGTACAAAGTGCCAGAATTTTCTCGAATCCGGATTATGCAAATGATCGTTATCTAATCCGATGGATTGAAGTGTTTTTGCTTCAAATCAATGATAATGGCCGAAGATCTGAAATGATCAATGCAAACAAATTGGCCGAAACGGTATCGCAAGCATTCTGTGTAGCATTGATTGATTATTTGGATCAACTTTATGAGAATGGTTTAACTAAAATAAGCTTACGCATTAGTCTTGACATTGACAAGGTATGATGTAAAAAAAAAAAATTGACAAATCTGATCTGATGATATTCGATTAGGTTGGATATGAAACTGGAAGCGGTGGCAAACCATTACCACCACAAATAACACAACCATTGGATAATGCACTCATACCGGTAATAATGGGCAACATTTCTACAACGGGCATTGAAGATCCATTGGTCATCGAATTGTTATTCTTTGTTCTACTCAAATGATCAATTTTTACATTCAATGAATTCAGCAATTCCTATGATTCATCTTTAATCTGAACTTTTTATCTTTCCATGCATTTTTTTCTCGAGCTTTGAGATTTTATTTTCCATCATCATCATCATCATCATCATTATCATTTATATTCAATTATTTCGATGTTATTCAAAATTTATGCATGTCTATTTTTTCATAATCAATTTCAATTATTAATGTTGATGCCATTTTTATGTGTTGTCTATCGATGAGAGAGATTTCATGTGCAAGAATCCTAAATTTTGAATTGATGAATAAATTAATCAATTTGTCAATAATAATAAAATAAAATTAAAATTATAATGAGCGGAGGGTGAGTGTTTTTGAATGAAAAAAAAAATTCAAACATTTTTTATTCTTCACTCACCCTCAATATAATCATTATAATCGAATAAACCATATGACTACTACTACTACTACTACTACTTTTATAGATTTAATATATATATACGACCACAATACACGTTCCACTCCTCCTCCTATTTCCTTTGTATATACATATACATTTAATTTACACATACATGACAATAATGATTTAGTTGCAAGTAGTAGTAGTAGTAGCATTTATGTATGATGGTTAAAATTCATAAGTGGCGCTGTTGTTGTCGATTATTATTATTGTTGTTATAGCTAATTGTTAAATACGCACACAAAAGACACGTCTAGTGTGTATAGCAACACAAGACTTGCTGTTGTTTTGTTTTTCTATCTCTCTATCAATCTTTATCACATTCTCACTCACCAAGATCTACTACTGTGACCATCCATATAAATCATCATCCTCCTCTTTGGTCCTCATCCTCGTCTTGTTGTTTTGTTATCTTGGTCGATTTACAATTTGCAAGTGGCTGTATATACAATTTTTGACTCGATTCTGTCCGTCCGTCTTTCTATCTCTCTCTCATTAGATGTGTTTTGTGTATTTCGCGAATCATAATAATAATTTTTTTTATTTTTAATTTTTGTATCATTTAGTTTTGCCATTTGGCTTGTCTGTTTTGTTCGTCTGTGTGTGTTTGTGTGTGTGTATATGTTTTTGTTTGTTTATTTGAGTGTGTTTGTCACTGTGTTTTTGTTTTGTTCTATAAAAGAGTCGTGGAAGAATCCCGAACACTTGAAAATTGTTGGTAAGTTATCATTTCTTACAGGTATCATCTTGATTGGATTGATGACAAAGTCAGATTTTTCGTTTTTGATGTTTTTTTTAAAGTATTGTTGATAAAGTCAGCTGATGAAAAAAAAAACGTTTTACATTCTGTCTCTCTTTCTCTTTTCCCGTTTCTGTTAACAGATCCTTGTTAATCTGCCTGAATTTGTTAATTTAAACAAATGTGCTAGCAATCGAGATAATCGATTCAAATCATAATCCCAGAAAACAAAGGTATTTATTACTATTGGTCACTGACCTATTGATTATCAATTTTATTATTATAATGGGATGACAATGACAATGACTTTTTTAAATTAAAAGAATGGAAAATAATCATTTATCATCGAATACGAATAATTCAATATCACATTCCGTCACCGAGCTTGGCGATCGATTGAATTTGTTAAATGTAAACGAACGTAATGAACAACAGCTGAATGCATCAAGTCGTTCGCTTCCATCGAATTATGTGGACATATCTTTGCACAATCTTTCTTCACGATCAAGTCAGTGTTAGCTGGCTGCCATGACATTTGCAATTTTTATTGATAATGTTTGGTTTTTTTGTTCTAATTCAATTCGTTACAGATTCCTCGCCCAATAATTCAATCGTAACACCTCAAACGCAGTTTTCGAAGCTCAATCCGAGCGCCCAAGAATTTGTTCCACGCTCGAATCGAACAACAAATGCTAATCCTACGATGGCAGCGATTGTAGGAGGCAATGGTGGTGTACCGTATCGTACAATAAATCAGGTATCGAACGCACCAATTTCCAACTCAAACAACCATAACAACAACAATCATAATTATGCCACTAATGGTGGCCCTAACGCCAATACGGCTGCCCTTCATGAGAATGAGAATTATATCGAAGATTATATGTCACTCTCATATTTGAAAGATTTTATCAATCATATATCGAATAAGCCCAGCATGTATGATCAAGGTATTAATGAACTAACATTAATTCTCAACTCGTATCTTGATGAAGATGACTGTGTTCTCGAATTGATCGTCAATCAAATCGTTGACCAGGTAATAAATCTTTTTTTTTATATTTGCGTTTTATAATTGTAACCACCATTAAATAGTCGATAATTGATGTGAACTTTCGTTATAATGGAGTTCGTTTGTGCGATCATTTCATGGAACATCTTCGCGAAGCAAGTTCTGGTCAATCATTCAAACAGTTACTTTTCAAACGGTTAGTTATTTGTTTTCTTATATAAATCATGAATTTTAATGAATTTATTGCTATATAATTCCATGCATAGAAATCAACGTGAATGTTCGAGAAAAGTTAGTGACATAACATCGGCCAACACATTTGTCCATCTACGTGGCTTGGCATTATTTACAGCTGAATTATATTCACGTTGTAATGCACCGGATCTAGCCGAACATTTACCAAGTTTATTGATGAATATACTCTCATCCGATATTAAACGTGATGATAATGTTAAATGTGTATGTCATGTTTTGAAGGTAATTATCGATCATAATTTAGGATCAATGTGTCATTGAAAAAATGTTTGTTCCATTTCAATAGCTCTGTGGACAACAAATGCAGGCATATTTTGCTTCGAAAGGAAAAACAGATTTTACAATTGTGTTGGGTAGATTAAAAGAAACACTCAAGTGTGATATGTCTACGTCCATCAAAGAAATGGTAAAAAAGATTCTCACATTGGTTGAAAATGATTGGCAACAACCACAAACGGTCAACACATCAAACATTGTCAATCCATATCTAAATAATCCACAAGGAATAATAATCGGTGCCGGTGGTGATGGCCATCATTATTCGGATAGAATTAATAACCATCAGTACGTTTCATTCACAGAAATTCTATGTCTCAATCATTCTTATCGTTTCTGTTTTTTTTTCAATTCCCTTCTCATTACCAAATTAGATATGATTTCGGCAACTGTGGCGATGAAAATAATGCCGAAATTTGTCAGGATTTCGAAAATTTTCTCAAAAGCACCAGACAGAATTGAAGAATTTTTTCCGGTTCGTTTCGTTATTGTCAACAATTTTTTCCATAAACCAATCACATCAATAATCCCTGGAGACACATAATAAATGGACCGTTTATTCGAAAAAACCAATTGTGGAGATATCACATCACCCTATCCTACATTATCTCCTTTTTTCTTTCTTTTTTTTCTTTGCTATTTCTAAATTGAACATCGACAAAACAACAACAACAAAAAAACATCTGCATAGCTATACCCCCTTGAATCAATATCAGATAGCAACAGCCATACACCTTAACATAAAACATCAACGAGCCAAATTTTTTTGGGTCGTTCAATCAAAAAAATACACTACTATGATTTTATAAATTTAAATGGCCATGTTATTATCTGTTTATATGGAGAAAATTTTAAATCTAAAAAAAAAAATACCAACGACACCACCAAATACGGACATAATTCATAATGCTGTTGTGTACTCATTTTATTGTGAATAATAATAAATTGATTTTAAAAAAAACCTACTGCAATGCCCTCTGTTGATCACTATGCATAAGCTTTTAACATGTTATTTATGAATAACTCTTCTCAAATGTTTCGATTTTTTTTGTTGTGTTTTGACATCAAAGTTTATTTTTTATCATCATTTTTGTCCACCAAAATCAAAATGTCTGATTATAGAAATTATAGCAGTGATGATGGTTCATGTGATGATATCGGTATGTTATCTTATGTTATGTGATAGTGTTGATTGTTATCTTTCTGATTAATTGATGAAATAGGATTACCAAAAACACCTGGCGCACCATTGAATGCTAATCATTCGGATTCCGAAAAAGATGAGGAATCTAATCATTCGAATCAGAATGACGATTCAGATGTGGCAAGTAATTCTGGCCAAAGTGATGATGAAGAAGTGAATCGAAGTGATGAACCGAATGATGACGATTCCAATGCAGAAAATTATTCAAGTGATAAAAAATCCATTAGTTCTCGTGATGAATCAGAGGCTGAACAAAAAAGTAGTGAAAGTGATTCTGATAATGATGAAAAATCTCCTATCGATAGTAAACGTGATAAGGTTTCAGAAGATGATGATGATGATGATGGACATTCAAATGAAAGCAGTGGTCGTAGAAAACGCCGTAGTTCAAGTTCAGAAGAATCGGATCAAGAGGAAGAAGAACAAACAAACAAAGTTACGAAAAAAAGAAAGTCCGTGATCGATTCTTCGTCTGATGGTGATAGTGGTGGTGATGACGATGCAAAGATAAATAAACCGAATACTGAAGATCTTTTTGGTGAATTGAGCGATGAAGACGATGATCAACAAACGGATCGTGTCAGCACAAACAAACAGGACGAAAAATCCAATTTAGATGACGATGAAGACGACGAAGGTAATGAACAGAATCGATATCAATCTGAAATCGATACAAACATCAATGAAATATTTGGCCATGGCGATGATGATGAAAGAGCAAATAATAGTATGGATGAAGAGCAAGATGTACCGATACCGGAGACTCGTATCGAAGTTGAAATTCCCCGAATCACTGCCAATCTTGGCGATAGTATACATTTCGTAAAGTTGCCCAATTTTTTGAGTATCGATACACATCCATACGATCCTCAATGGTATGAAGATGAAATCGATGAGGATGAAGTTCATGATGATGAAGGCAGAGCCAGACTCAAGTTGAAGGTTGAGAATACGATCCGTTGGCGTAATGTTACCGATGATGATTGCCAAATGCAGAGCCGAGAAAGTAATGCCCGTGTTGTTCAATGGTCGGATGGTAGTATGTCATTACATTTGGGTGATGAAATATTCGATATTCAAACATTGAACTTGTTGCCCGGAGAAAATAATCATCTTTACATTCGGCAAGGCACAGGGTTGCAAGGACAATCAGTATTTAAAACCAAACTAACCTTTCGACCATTCTCAACCGAAAGTGTCACTCATCGAAAACTTACAATGTCATTGGCTGATCGTAGTCAGAAAACGCAAAAGATTTGTGTCCTACCCAATGTTGGGAAAGATCCAGAAGCTCATCGTTCGGAAATGATCAAAAAAGAAGAGGTCAAATTGAAAGCTTCAATACGAAAGGAGAATAAAACGAAACGAGTTAAAGATCGAACCTACACTCGTGGCTTATCCAATCCATATCTCGATCATGATGATGAAGATGATGAAAGTATTTCCATAGCCAAAATTAAGAATCAATATAAACGTGGACCTAATTATCCGAATACTCAATTTAGCGATGAAGAAGAAGAAAGTGAAAACGATGATAGTGATTTGGTAAGTAATGTGATAATCTAATTACTCAATTAATCTTTTAATTTTCAACAATCATCATTCTATTAGGATATTTTTGAAAAGAAAAAATCGGCTGAAAAACGAAAAATTGTCTTCGAAAGTGATGAAGATGATGATTAATCAAAGGAAATGGTTTGTCAATCCATTCGTTTAAAATTTTACTTTTTCATGTTTTAGTGTCATTTGAAAAATCAACAACAAAAATTTTTTTTCATTTTTTTTTGTATAATACACATGTGTGCTATATTCAAAGTTTTTTGGGGTAGTTTATTTTTAAAACAGAAATCCACATAATCATCATAAAATATAATAAGTGTATATCACAAGTGAATTGATGAATGAAATGAAATGAAAAAAAAAATTTTAAATCCAAATCCTGAATGAATTAATGAATATAAATTATTATTCCCACACACGAAATCATAAATTGGAACATTTGGTTGTTTGGGTCAAAAGAAAATAAATTTACACACATTGTCAAATGATGAGAAGATGATAACCGTAAAGAGATCAACAGCAACAACAAAAAAAATATATTGCAAAAACGAAATCGAACACATTCGATTTCGATGTGTCACGAATTAAAAGTTTCTTAATTAACAAATTATAATCGATCACTGATAATGATTGATGAGACATCATGTGTATATATGATGTCATCAATTTTTGACATCAACAACTGGTATCGATACTTTGACAGGCATTGCATAATCATAGCCACCTTTGGAAGCCATTTGATTTTGTATTGTTCGAATCTAGAATTGGAATGAAAATAAAAAAACATTCGAAATTAAATGCCAAACGAAAAACTAATACTATCATCATCATCATGTCATTTAAAGATGAAAAAATAAACAATGATGACTTACATGATTGGACATGTCACCAGAGCCGCCAACATGAGCCGTATGCCGGAAATTGGTGGGATTTCCAATCATCGAACGATCAATTCGTCGTCGCTATTATTATACAGTATTATTATGACCCAAAATACAGTTATTGACATAGAAAAAGTGGGGAAAATTTCGATTAGAAAAACAAGAAAACAGGAAAAAAAATTTACATACCGTTGTTTGTGGTCGATTATTGGCAACTATACCACAAGTAAAACATTGAATCCACAATTCGCTCATTATTCTTTCCTGGCCGATAAAGATCAAAAGAGAGAACAAATGAATTGGGCAACAATATAAACAAGAACGAATGGCAAATCGTGTTTCAAGGCAACCAAATAATAAAGATGGTATTAATAATAAAATTAAAATCAACAAACGAAACGATTCATGATCATGATGAAAACAGAAAAATTGATTGATTGACAGACAACACCGAATCGAAATGTAACTGTTCTGGATAAAAAAAAAAAAGGTTAAAAATAAACACAAACGTTCGATTTCAATTTATAATCAAAGCTGTTGGATCATCATTTTGTTCACAAAGCATCTCTCTCTCTCTGTCTCATCTGATGAAAAGACTGCTTTGTTGTTTTTTCGGAATAATTTCCATCTCAAACTTCATGGTCAAATGTTACAGATTTAAGACCATAATAAAACTGGAAAATTCATGAATTCATGTGTATGTCTGCCAATTGTGTTATTTTCCGCTGTTGATGACCGAATATTATTGAAGGCCGTATACGATGAAGAAGAATGGATAACCTAATTCTGGCAACATATTTTGATGCAATGATATCCAATGATATCGTATAATTTTAGTTATGATGATCAACACAGATGTGGCAAGAATATTTGTGAAAGTGAAATTTTTTTTTTGTTCATCAACAACATTGGATAGAAATGGGAAAAAAATTTATCCAATCAAAGCAATAAAAATAACCTTGATGTGTATTGTAATTCATTCTATATTTGATAACAACATTCCGATTATCGCCTCTCTCAACAACAAAACATGTTTATCGACAGGTGGTGGTTAAATCAATCTTCTTAAATCATTGTGTGATCAATCGATTGGTTTTATTGTAATCGATCGGACAGTGCATTTCATGCATTTATCGAAACTGGTAGCAACTGGTCAAACTGATTGAATGTGAATAACTTCTTTTTGTACAACAAACCAAATTGGCCCGTTCTGGTCAAACAAATGCTATTAATTGGAAAACGTCAACACCATTGGCCCCATGGATGAATGGTGCAGCCGAACGAATGATTAGATTGGTAAAGGAATGCTTGAAAATGTTGCCAAAAAGGGCTCGTTCTCTTTTTTCTTTACAAAGAAATTTTAATTACGTGGAATATGTGATTAACCAACGACCGATAATACAAAATGATGGTCGTTTTTTCTCTGCTTTTGAACTATGGATGGGTCGTACCATGAATCTAAAACAAGAAAATAATATAGACGACGTATGGGAAATGAAAATTGAGAGATCAAAATTTGTTAAAGAAGTTGCCAAATTATGGATGTCCCAATACCTGAAGAAATTGGCTCGAATGTCAACCAACAAATCGACAGATGTGCAAATTGGTGATTGGTTAATGTTGCCTGAATTTCTGACTAAACGTTCTAATTGGCCTATTGGACAAGTAATGGAAGTCAAGAGTGGATCTGATGGCAACAACAACAACAACAATGATCAAATGATTTCAACACATTCACTATTTCCTATGGTTTGTCGCTGTTTTCATATTGATAATTAATTCATTGGGCGGAAATTCAAACGGCAAGAAACTTATCTATTGCTCATGGTGGTTTTGTTGAAATAATTATGCAAAAAACAGATTTATTAGTGTTGATGATTCGATTTTTTTTGGATGAACACAACAACACGTGTGAAAATAGTATTGTTTGTTTTTTTTTTGTGTATCGATGACAATGAGAAGATATTATCATCAGGATTTTTTGTTTCAATACGACAACAATCACTTGATAAACACACAAATCACTTAATTTACCTTTTATCAGGAGCGTAATGATATATTGTAGTGGCTATGTAAATAAATCAACAAGTGAGATTTTTAATCATCAGAAATCACATCACATTTCGATGAAAATAATCAACAAATTATACACTTGTAGGTCGATCACCGATTTGTTGACAATTATGTTTTTCAATAAATGTTGATAATTGTAAAATATTTCTGTCGTATTTATGTTGGTTGATGTTGACTAATTTTTTTTTGTTGTTGTTGTTCGATTTTAGAATAGTAAAAATATAATACCCGTCAGAACACAAACTAATGAAAGAACAGGACTTGGATGGAAATCTAAATAAAAAAATCGCATATAAAACAATCTATTGGCCAACAACGAATGGAATGAAAATGTGTGTAATGATTATAATCACTGGTTGGATGATGATGATGATGATGATGATGGTCGTGGTTGCCTCATGCATTCATTCGTCGAAGTGGTTAACATAATTGTTGATGATGATTCATATTGTAGACATGCGTAGTAATTAAAATTTCATTTTTGGTCGCAAAAAAAAAAAATTTTCTTTCATTATTATTCGTCGTTTAATAATATAATATAAATAAATTTTGAGGTCAGACGCATCCGATAGATGATTTTTTGGATTCGTAAATATAATATATCTGTGAACAAAATGTTGTTCCATTCATCGTACTGATGAATGATGATGATACATATGTCATGATACTGAATGATGGTAGTTGATCCAAATATGGCCAACATCAAAAAAAAATCCCATCATCAATTAATTTCGACTATTGTTTTTGTTTGACAATGAATGATGTAATCATCACCATCATCATCATTATTATTATGTGTAAACGCCAGGATGGCATACAATTGACTCATTAACCTGAAATAGTTTTTGGATCGCTATGACGGAATTAAAATTAAAATGGAATGGATATAATGATTGCAACAATTCGAATCAATTTTATATTTGATGCCGACGTTGCTGCCATCTAATGTCGAGGAATTTTAATCAAAAGATTTTACTTCATTTATGAATGGTGACCATAACACACGCCACACGTTTTTTTTTCAATTTTTTAACTTTAGTTACCCTTGTTGTGTTAAACTACGATGCGCATGTTTTATTTTAGTCATTGGCTCTGTGTCATTTAAACTTTTGTCTTTTCTAAATTTTGTCTGTATTTTTCATCTCATTTAAATACACGTGTTAATTTTCCATTATTATTATTTTTTCGTTGTAGCAATATTATTAACAAAACTTATTTGTTGAAAACTTTTTTCACTAAAAGCGACGCTGAACAGATCAAGGAAAGCACCATCATCAAGAATTTAATGAAAGTTATTGGTTTAGAATTCAAAAAAGACTATTCCACACAAGAAAAAATGAAAACGTTAAGATATATTTAGACTTCCGTTTGACCACAACACGCCCCGTCATAACTGCACCTTTATATAGTACTGAGAAGTATTATATATGACATATATATATATAGACTAGTAGATATGTGATGTCCTAGAAAGAACATCGGACAAAATCGACTTCCTTTTTGGCAAGGAAAAGAAAACCAACAAGTAGGAGAAAAATCCAGCATGGAAGAAACTTGGCCGTGAGTCATAAACTCATTTTTCAAAGTCCAGTGTAAAATTGTGTGGTTTCATTACATTAATATCAATATGAAAATCATTTAATAAATTCTTTATTCATTTTTATGTGTTAAATATATATATTGAAGATATGAACTTTTGATAAGAACAATATCACAAATTCTTGATGATGGAGCTTTTGTTGTAATAAGTCAAATATATTACAATTAATTCAATTATTAAATAATTGTTAAAAGCATTATAAATTAGAATGAATTTGTAAAAAATAATTATTATTAAAAAGTATTATATTGTGTGTGATTATTTGTGTTACAATATCATCATACAACAGCTTTCCTTGATCTGTTTGTTTGTTGCTTGTCGCACATTCAATATTTTTCCGCATAAAGGATACACACCGAATTTATTTCTGTCCATAACATCAAGTTCCGCATTAATAAAATACGATGCGGAATCTCCTTCGGACAAAATCAATGTGCAATCCATTGTATTGTCGGTTCCTGACTAGTTCTAGGGGACAATTTTAAAAATAAAATATTAGTATATTAGTATATTAGATATCATTATTGACAAAGTTTTTTATTATAATTATAATCATCATTAATCTCACCTTGATTTACATTACCACGTTCATCAATGTTTTCCTCAACATTCGATGTTGGTAAAAATCCAGAATTATAAAACGATGTCGGAAATGACATTTTTTTAAAAATTTTCTTTTGTATTAAGTCAAATATTACAATTAATTCAATTATTAATTAATTGTTAAAAGCATTATAAATTTGAATGAGTTTGTAAAAATATTATTATTATTAAAAAAACTGTTATTTGTGTGAATTTATTTGTGTTACTGTTTTGTTATAATGATGATAAAAATGTGGAAAAAATGAAATTCACTCTTCAATCAAAAACGGAACTGCAACATTTTTTTCATCATCATCACTACTATTAATAGAACAATCAACTCACTCACTCACACAAAAAAGACGCATACACACACGCACCATTCTTATATGACGTACTCAAAAAAAAAAAAAATCAAATGATGATCAAAAAATATGATAATTAATCATTTACAAAATTGTTTTACTGATCAACATTAACAACAAATTCCACCATCAAAATATTAATCCACCAGTCATCATCAACGATGATAAGAAACAAAAGAAAATCCAATACCATATTCTTGTAACTATTTTTCTGGTGAAACGAAAAAACTTTCAATCATAAATATATACAGTAATACCCCGCTTAACGCGGGGGTTACGTTACAAAAATTCTGAGCGTTAAGCGAAACAGCGCTAAGCGGGGCTATTTTTACATAATGCATTTTTACCCTTCATATACAATGTAACAATGTAATGTAATGTAGGGTAATTGTACAGCGTTATATCGAATCAGCGCTAAACGGGGCAGCGTTAAGCGGGGTATTACTGTACATTGAAGATGAAGTGATTATCATCCAAATATAATCATCATCACGATCATCATTGGTACCATTGGCACGCTATAAATATGTTACGATCCATCGAAAACAAATTTATTGGTCAAAGATTGATATATCAAAATTCGATAATTCTAATGTTTTTGAATCATTCTCAAAATGGCAAATCATTCAATTATTGTTCGATGAGACATTGATAATAAACGAAAATAAAAATGATCATGAATCGGAATCATCTGTTTTTGAACATAAATATTTGTTTTCTTTCCGTTTTTTCCCGTTCGAATATACCAATTGTTAATAATTCATAATTCCAAAATCATTTGTTAATTCAATTAAAAATCAAACATATTATTCGAAAAAAAACAAATAAAAGATAATAGAAACCGATTTATTTGTCAATAAAAAACGTGTGGTTTATTTATATATATGTATACAAAATAAAAAAAAAAAAATTGTATCAAATTCAACACTTTTCATTGTATATAAAAATATGATCATTGTCGGTAAGTGATATATGTATATATATGTAATTTATGATTCCTATTTGGAACCATCATATCGATTGATTAATTTTTTCGTTGAATTTTTGATGGTGGTTCGGCAAATGTCTGCTTTTGTTCGTGATCCATTTTCATTTTCACTATCATCTTGCCCAATCTATCTTTATAGACAAATGTTTTACCGCTACCTCCCGGTCCATCAATGAAGAAACATTTACCTTGATTTGTTTGAACTGATAGGATTATATCGTCTACCACGTTTTTTTGGTCCATGTTAAGCATTTCGATTTTTTTCCGAGCCGATATTTTGATGTTCTTCATAGTTTACATATTCTTCGATTTCTACAGGTTCGTACGTTATTCTTTGCAAAAATTCATTTATGTGCTGGCCTAGAATAGATAATCGTTGAAGAATGTCGTGATAGGCCAACGATTCGTATGCTTGTGAAGAGAGGAATTGATTCCTTGCAAAATCTGCGGCCATTTCTGTTTTGAATGTTTGCCATAATTCTGTTGGGTTTGATACTTCACAGTACACCAACAGGCACGCAAAAAATCCACGTAGCTGATATGGCATTTGAAAATTTGCTGCTTCTTCCATTGCTTGTTGGTAATATGAATCATCGCTCATATATCCTGTTGTAACATTCTATATGAATGATATTAATTGTATTGCTTTATTGTATGATGATTGACATTGAACAATAATAAAATTATTCGATTTGCTACTTTCATCGTGAATACACGTGTTTATTATTTTTACATATCCGGCAGCTTTTGCAGCTTCAATAAACGTTTCGTAATGTCGGCCATCAATAGTTTTTACATCTTTGAATAAACTAAACATTTTTGATTCAAAATGTTTAGTCAGTCGCTATTTTCGTCAGTCGCTATTTTCGGCTATCGCTATTTTAAGCCATTTTTAGCAGTCGTGTTTTTTTTCACACATCTCAAAATTAATGAAATGAAAGAAAAATTTTTTTATTTCAAGACGATACAAAAAAAAAATCTCCAATAACAAAAATTCATGAAAAACCCATTTTATACAGTGTTGGTTTTCTATATTTTCGTTTTATTTGCTGATATTTTTGCCAATAATGTATTGAACTGATTAGTAGAACAAAAATGATGATAAAAATGCCAAACAAAATCAATGCTTGTTCGAAAATGTTTCTCGCTGCAATCGTCGTTGGCCGATCATCATCATCATTCGATTGATTGGTATGATTGAAAATTGAATTCATTTTTGTTGTATAAAAAAATTGTTCATCACAACCATATCGACGACATTCATCATATTCTTCATGAATCTGTTTACATTTTGATGTTTGTGTTACGTTTCCAAGTAAAGAATGGTAAACATTGAAACAATTTTCATAACATTGATTTAATTGTAAACATTCTTTTCCATAGTTTTCATTATTGATTTGTCCACCAGCCGCCGCTAACATTTGGCAAACATTCGAATTATTTTTAAATTCGATCGGTTCACATATTCCGTTTGTCATTATCATCAACATATATTTTGATTTTGTATTGGCCAATATACATTGGATGACTTTTTTTTATAAGCCAACAATCGATTGTTGAAAATGATTTGATTTAAAAAAAATTCAACGGAAACCATTGTTTTGTTTTTTTTTTTTTTTTTGTTATCGTAATGTTTATTTCCCCGAAACTGAAACAAACGTAATAATGTAATGAAAAAAAATCGCTCCCATTTGAATCATCGATTGGACAACAACAATAACAACGACGACGACGACTACGAAAATATGAAGGTGAAGGTTGTTCGATACCTGGCGATACCTGGCATATGTTGATGTTTATTTTGTGTTCTGGATTACCTTTATGATGGCGAACAAATCCGATCTACATTACATTACATTATTGTTGGATAAATGGATCAAATAGGAAAAAAAAGATTATAGTAAGTTTTTTTTATGAATGAAACAAACAATGTTTTATTTTTGCTTTTGTTTTTTTTTTTTTTGTTTCAAGGCCATTCATTTCCATCCAGATTACATTTCCATGATGACCATTGTTTTTCATTCAAATTGATCACGTGTGATTTCTCTACTCATAAAGAACAAGTTATGAATATAATTTGACAATTTCTTTCAAGTTCCGTGCAAAGGAAACAGGATTTAAGGCTCAAAGAACACACACGATAGAGTTTACATTTGTCAATCAAAAGTATACATTTTAAATGAAATTATTATCATTATATTGTAACGATGTTCAAAGGAAGAAAAAAAATGTGATTTCCAAGGCAAAAGATTTCTTTTCTTTTCTTTTTTTTTCTCTTCACTCTTGCATCGGATTCGAGAAACCAAGGAAATCTATCTATGTTGGTAGATACTACCTCCATCACCACTACCACTTTGATGAATTATGGAACATTGAATTGGTGGTCAGGTATAAATACCAGGCCAACACCATTGTCAAATTATCATCCAAATTGATCCAATTCATTCAAGACAAGAAAAAAAACCAAGAAAACTTTGAAATATTTTTTTTTGCTGTGTAATTTTTGCCATCATCATCATCATCATATGTATTAGAAGCCAAATTTAAAAATGAAATATTTATTCTGTGCCGTAAGTGTTGTGTTATTCAGTGTCTATTGAATGTTTTCAATGAATTTCATCATTATCGATTATGTTATACATACATCATCATTGTAGGTTTTTTTCGTCGTGTTGATTGCTGCCATTAATGCTCAGGAAGAAGATTTAGCCGTTGCTGAATCGGCTGGTGCTGGTGCCGTTGCTGGTGGTGCTGCCGGAGCCGGTGCTAAAGGTGGCAAAGGTAAATTTAATTAGATGTCCGGTAAATTCACCACTAATTATTGGATTTCAATAGCTGGTGCTGCCGGTTTTGCTGCTGGAGGAAAAGCTGGTGCTGCAGGTTTCGCTGCCGGTGGTAAAAAAGGTGGATTCGCTGCTGGTGCTGCCGGTGGTGCGGCTGCAGGTGCTAAAGCCGGTAAAGCTGGTGCCGCTGGAGCTGCAGGTAAAGTTTTTTTTTCTATGCCATTGTTTGTGATCATTGCGATAAAATCATTAAAAAATAGGTGCTGCCTTCAAAAAGGGTTTCAAAAAAGGCAAATTCGGTAAAATGGGTGCCGCAGGTTTTAATAAAAAATTCGGCGCAGTAAAAACATTCGGCATGGCTCAAGGGTAATTATTTACATTTCAGAATTTTCATTCCGATTGATAAACTGATCTTATGTGAATGAATAGATTTAAATTCGGTAAAATGGGTGGTGCTTTTGCTGCTGGTGGTGCCGCTGGAGCTGCTGGTAAGATTATCGTAACCTGAATTTGATTTTTGCTGTTATTAATTGTGTGTATGTGTTTTTTCAGGTAAAAAAGGTGGCAAATTTGCTGCTGGTGGTGCTGCTGGATTCAAAAAAGGAGGCAAAGCTGGAAAGGTAATTTTTTTCTAGAATGAATATCGAAAATTTTAATTCCTCACATAAAAAAAAATAATAATAGGCTGGTTTTGCTGCTGCTGGTGGAGCAAAAGGTGGAAAAGCCGGAAAAGCTGCTGCTGCTGCCGGTTTCAAGAAAGGCGGTGCAGCTGGTGCTGCATTCAAGGCTGGCAAAGCTGGAAAATCAGGTGGTGGATTGATTGGCTAAAAAATCTAAACAATTATTGTTCACAGAAAATGGAATATAAATTTTCTTTTTTTTTCTATATGTACGGAATTCATTTTTATTATTTTTCCAGGAATAAAATAGAATTCAAATATACGATGATTAATATTGAAAATAATGTTATAAAACGATAACGATAATGGTGATTAAATCGATTGACATTTGTTTATGTTTCCCAGAAAGAGAATTTGACAAGATCTAATAAATTGGTGTAGTCGTTGTATTGTAAACAGAATTGTCATTCATTCATTCAATAATCGATTGAAAATCAAGAAGAAAAATGAGCTAATATTATGGAATATCTGGGAAAAAAATAAAATGGTGAGATGAGATGAATTCTTTTTTGTTGTTGTTGTATCATAACATATCAACTTACATAGATATATGAATTCCATGTGATAACATAACCATTGGTCAATGAGAATCCAGAATCATGGCTACATTGTATGGAATTTATATTATCGATCGATAATAATATTAATTGATGTTTCCACATTTTACGCCATGATGATAATGTTGTTAATATTGAATATAATGTATGACGATTCCAACGATTAAATAGACGATTTTGATGTGATACTTTGGATGCCGTATATGTTAACAATAATAATAATGATGAATGTGTGAAGAATAAAAGATAATACAATGGTAGATATTCTGATGGTATTGATGTTAAAAAAATTACATATGTCAAATATGTACTTAACAATGTATAACCGGACCAAATAATGGTCAACAAACGTTTAGTTTGTTGATCATATAGTTGACAATAATGTTGTAAATGATCAAGTTGTATTTGTAGTTGTAAATATTTTCTCATCAATAATATTGATTTTCTAGTGGAAAAATTTCGGCTTCCAGTTCGTAGTTGATTGGTTAAATTATTCATTTTTTTCTTGATTTGTTTCTGTTTCATGTGTATATATCGATGTATGATAATTATTAGTCCAGGAGTAACATGTATACATGAAGCGGCATACATGGCCCAAAATTGAAATCCAAAAAACCATGTAATTACCAAAACAATGTTATTATCTTTCCATAAATGTCTATCTAAAACCTGAAAAAATTGCCCCGTTGAACCGAAAATTGAACTTATATATGCAAATAATGCAAATGGAGCCAATAATCGACGTTGAAATTGTTTCAATTCATTCAATTCATTTTGATTGAAACCTTAATGATAACAAGATTTCAAAATTAAAAATAATTGCCAAACAAATGATTGATTGACTTACCAAAATTTTTCATATTTTTCTTATTCATGTCCAATATTAAAAGATATTGGAAATCTTTGACATCAGTACTTAGTCCATACAATGCTGTCGATATGATTACACCGGACCATACGACAACCATGGCTGCGGTGTAGATTTCCGATGCTGGTGGATAAAGTTTTACGACAACCCAAAATTGATATTGTGTACACCATTCTGGATAACAAAAATAAAATCCCCATGTAATACCGACAAACAATGCCCATAATGATGGAAACCAATTATGCCAAAATGTTCTATGAACAATGATTATTTCACCATGATGGGCATCCAGCACTGATTGATGGCCATAACAATCTCGAATTAAATGACGATAATGTGGTACAAGCCATACTGTTTCCGAAATTATCTGGTGAATTTTTTCAATATTGGATACAATCTTTTTAACCATTTTCGTTCATTGATCATCATCAAGTCTAATGTCGTTCTATTATTATTCGATTGTCATGGCTGATATGAATTTGAATTTGAATTTGAATTCTGATTCTGAAAATTATTGACATGAAAATCAAATCATTTCCAAGAATTCTACGAATGTACATCTACTATTTTTTTATGTTGTCAAAAAAAAAAAAAAAAATAAAATAAAATTCAAATGATCCATGCTATTGTTACTATGTGTGTGTGTTGATAGTTTCAATTTTTCAGTCAGCCATTTACATTACAAGCCACTGATCGAAAAAAAACGAAATAATCAATTTCACAACATAACAATAAATAAAAATAAAAATAAAATGGTCAATCGTTATCAAAAGATTTTTTCCATGAATAAAAAAAAAATCTTTCCATGTGTTTCTCTACCGACATATAGATGGCGTGTTAGATCATCATTGTATATTGAATCAATTTTCCAAAATATTAAATTTTTGAGAAACAAAAGCATGGCTCAATCCATACAAGATTTACTTTTGAAACGATTTCGTTCTGATTCTTTCGACAACGATGATGATAATGAAAAATGTTCATTAGATTTGAATTTAAAATTTGAACGTGTACTACGAATTGATTCGAAACGTAAACAAGTCTGTCTACAATGTATTTATGACCAACAACCGGCAATATTGATTCTGGAAAAGAATCCTTTCGATGAACAGCTATTGGCAAAAATTGGTAACAATTTCAGGTACGTTTATATTCTTTTTTCACAGTAATTGAACAATAATACTGAATATTACTGAATTTACCATAGTCAAGTGGTTAAACGTGGCACGAATCTATTCCGAAACGATATCTATGGGTCTTATCTTATTGATGTAATCTTTGACCAGTTAGATGATAATTTATTGCTCAACAAGATATTCATGTCCATCATTCATCCGGCATCACCGAAAGATATCGAAAAATATATCGACCATCCACGCCGAATGATTGCTGAGACGTCTGATCTGTATGAACGGATCACCAAGCCCTACATTGATGAACAAGTTTCCACACCTGGTCATCTTCAATGGCTTTATAACGTTCTAGACGGCACTGCCGAAACCGATCGAATCATCCATTCGGACCAAGATTTTATATTGGCCAAAGATATGAAATGGAATTGTAAACAAGACGAGTTGTCTGAAATTGAAAAACAAGGCATCTATCTCAACGCATTGGTTCGACGGCGAGATCTCCATAGTCTCAGAGATTTGAATGCTAATCATCTGCCATTGCTTGAAGCCATCTACGAACGAGGGCGTCAAGCCATCTCAAAACGCTATTCTATTCACATCGATCAGTTACGTGTGTTCATCCATTATCAACCTAGTTTCTACCATGTTCATGTACATTTCACTCACATTATGAACGAACATCATGGATTCCAATGTGAACGATCACATCTGTTGGCCACCGTCATTCAAAATATTCATTTGATGAATGATTACTATCAAAAAGTTACATTACATTTCCCATTGTCTGATGCATCAAAACTCAAATTTGATTAAATTCCTACTATTTCAACTATTTCCAACTGATATATTTAATGTTTGAATGTTTTATAAATGATGAAAATTATTTAAAATGCGACTAGAATAAACAAATGTTCCTCCTGATTGATTGATTAACAATGATTAAAAACGAATCGAAATGATACCATTATTATGTTCACCATTCTGGCCATCTTCTACTTTCACATTGCTCGAATGATGATCAGCATTCAATGTCAATGATGGTGTCGCATCTTCACACCAATATTTTGGCCGATTTTCGACCCTATTATTGCCATCAATTATAATGTCATCTGGTTGTTGAATCCATCGTTGACAAACAATATTGAAACGATGAGCCGGTGCTTCAAACAATAAGTAAAGAAAATATCCAAGTACAACACTGATGCTGAAATCGCATGAGTAATTTTCAATCTAAATCATCATAATTATCATCATGATTAATTATCATCATTATTATCATCATCATCCAAAATCATAACTTACCGTTCTTCGAAATGTCATCACATAAGTTTCTTTGTGTGAATACATTCGTTGATATTGAACCAATGGCTGTACCAGAAATATAACAAACGACAATCTTGCAATCGGTTGAATTGACAATGGTGTCAAACATTTGTAGATGAATGCTACAATTATATCGAATCGTTATAGTGATCACATCAATCAATGCATGTGTATTTGTACTTACGTGATTTATTGGCAACAGACGCGTAGATGATCCAACCAAACGACAAACCAAAAATGAAACGACCAATGGAAAAGAAAAACAATACCGATAGCTCATTAGGACTGTCATCTTGGCCAAAAAATTGATTAACCCAAATGAATGGCATGAACAAACCGATAATTGCCAATCCATTATAAATGATTATTTTCCGCTGTTGACGATGGTGATTGTTCGATTTAGGATCTTTGCTAATATTATCATTGACAATGATCGCATAGCCAAGCAACAATCCAATGCTGAATGATCCAAGATATTGAATAATGTTCTGATGATAGAGATAGAAACTACGACGAGCATGCCAAAGTGATGGTTGTCTCATCATCTCATAATAGGTACGAGTGTTGGCCAAAAACAGTCGTGGAGATATATTCAACAATATACTGCCAATGATCATTATGATCAACATTCGAAGACCTTTTTTCGGAGATTCATACATGAGCAAAACGATCAGAAAGAATGCCAAATTCAGCTGGAAAATGATCGAGACAAACCACGTATCTGGATTGCACTGTGTCACAATCACAATTCAATGAACAAAATCATTACAATCAATCAATAGTAAACTCACCACCAAATAGCAATCATCATTTGTGTAATTTGCACGTACAAAATTCCAATTGCTGAAATGAAACAATGTAGATGCCATTGATGATGGTGACTTGCAAGCCGGTAACAAGATTTCACCAACTCGGGACCATAATGGCCCATATCCGGCTGATGGTAACAGATACAAAAATAGTATTGAACCAAACAATGGCGATGTTAGTCGAATCCATCGTCGTACAAAAAAGATTAGATAAGTGAACAAATCATGAGGTTGAACTAGATGTCTGAATATACTTCGGACAAACAATGCACCTGCTATGATCAATAGGCCATCATTGAGTAAAATTGGTGCACGAATCAAGAAATATTTTTGACTGATCAATAGTTCGTTTGGAACCGAACCGGCAATGTTATGCAACAACGACGTTAATGGTGTCAGATAGAATGCATTACACAGACCAATAATGGCAACGATGAACAAACGTATGGTGTCCAACACCATCAAACGATTAGGTGAAACATCAAATAATCTGCGTGTGTTGCCCACAGCCGAAAATATCTCAACGATCGTATTGATAGCCACAAGTTTATCGTTGTCAGATGGTTGCTGCACATTTCGATTATGATCTGGCATTCTATTATCATGATCAATCAGAAAATTTCCAACCAACCATGGATGTAAGTCATAAAGAGTGGCTGCACCGACCAATACGACCAGAACGCTGATTGTTAATCTACGAAAAACAAATCATCATTCATCATTTTTGATCGATTACAACATACATATCATATATCATACTTACATTGCAAATTGAGCGTAGCCATCCAATTGAAGCCAATAATTGTTGGTTTTGTTCTTTGTCCAACATGAAGAATCCTGTATCTCCAATGGAATTCCGATAATAGGATAAAGAACTGGACAACAATTTAAATATGATTGACATACAAGTAGAAAAAAAATGAAACTCACACTTGTTGAGAGCAATTTCCAATTGGCGAGCATTACAAGTGCTTGGCAGACAAATACCGAAATTAGTGACACGTCCTTTGTTTGATTTCATTAGTTCAACAAATTTGAGCACAGGATTGGTCTGGAAATAATGCTGTACATTGTACGCCGTATAGAATCGCATTAAACGTTCAATCTGTTGATCAGACGATTGTTGTTGATCATAGTTATAGGCCACTTCTGTTGCAGGCAATGGTAGCAATGGTTTCACAGCACAATACTGTCCAGTGTATGATTCCGATAACGATGATGGATTTTCAATCGAGATACATTCATCAAAACTGCCTAAAAACGAACTCACACCATTCATTATGCCGGAAGGAATTTTCGGTGCCGAATCAATAACTATGATAAGCAAGTGATAAAAAAAATTGCTTGAATCAAATTAAAAAACTTACATTTGAGTGCCCATGGTTCATTCTTTCGGATGGCCACCAAAATCGAAATGATCGAATTAATACAAGTGGAATCCAGTTCCAAATTAAGAAAAATGTCAAAATTTTGATGAAGAAAATTAGTGAGACCAGCACGAACTTGTTGTTGATTGGCAACATCACGAAACCAATTGACCAAACGATTTAATCGTTGAAATGTATGATTAGCAGATGGTGCAGTACGTATTTGTAATGGATCATCGCTTAACATGTATTGATCATATTCTTGTCTAAGCACATCACCATCTTGTGGAAGCATGGCCGTCAAATTCATGTTTTCTAGCAATGTTTTCACAGTACATCCAGGTTCTTCATATTCCTCATCATCATCATCATCATCATCTTCATCACCTCGGTTATAATAATCATCCGAATCTTCTTCAACATTCTCAACAGTAGTTGATTTTACTGGTTCATTTGTATCATAATCTTCTTCCTCATCATCATCATCATCATCGTCGTTTTCATTATCTTCGCTTTCTAAATGTTCATTTTCAATGCTTTCGGCTGTAGAATTATCAAAATTTGTTGGTAAATCTCGATCAACTGATTCGACTGTTGTTGTCACCACAGATTTATTAATGGATGATTCGGTCAAATTTCTATCATCAATAGTGGTCGATTGAAATGTTGTCGTCTCATCATTATTATTATTAACGGCTAATTGTCCAATGGTCATCACAACATAGCTGAAAACAATCCAAACAACAACCAACAAATGTATTTTCATCGTTGCCATATTATATGAAATGATGGCCATATTCACATCATAAGATCAAAAATGATTTGGATTCGATTCTCAATTCTTTTCTTTCAACAGACAGGTAACTAGTCTAGCCGGTTTTTTTAACAAAATTACACAATTGATGAATAGAATCACCTTGATTAGATGATGTTTATTACAAATAAGTAAATGCACACACACACACACAAGGAATGAATACTTTCACTATTTATTGAGAGAGATAAAAACACACACATTCAGATTATATCACCATCAACGAAACAAAAAAAAACAGGATTGATGATGATGAAACTAAAATTATCTGCCCAGCTTATATATAATTGATGATGGATCCGTTATCGTATTTTTATTATTACTTTATTCACTAAAAAAAATTCAATATATTTACACGATCCATCAATGTTCAAATATATATTCACTTGATGATCGTCACTATAGAATGAAAAACACACACACACACACACACAATTCAACTGAACAACCATCATCATCACACATTTACATGCAATTTTATTTTCATTTTCAGATATTTTTTTTCAGACATCAAAAAAGAGAGAGAGAAAAACTTTATTTCATTTTCTCATTCAATTTCTTTTTTACTTTTCTTTTTTCTTTTATTTTTAAACAAAAATCTATGTGCATTTTTAATGATTTTGATGATGATGATGGCTACTAAATATATATATTCATCAATCATCGATCATCAAAGTTTTCATATGAAGAGAGAAAGAAAGAGAGAGATAATAATAAAAAAGTATTGACCATTCATCGATGATTGTCAATATTTGTAGCGCACACACACACACAGTTGGTGGCCATATATCCGAATAAGAATGAAATTGTCTTGTTATGTAAATAGCATTATAGCACTTGAAGATGTCCATTCACTTGATGATGCGGCATTTGCATAGTGTTTAAATAATATGCGAAGCAATCAGGTTTGTTTTTTTTTGTGTGTGTGTGTGTGTTCGATTACCATTATTATAATTAGCCGGTTCGATTCGGTTATTATTAATGCCAACCCAAATTTATATTATGAATATGAATAGGATTTATATGTTTATGCCATGCAATATTGTCTTCAGGCTATTTTCAATCATAATCAGTATATATGAAACTATTTCAATCAATTAGCCATCGATATACGATATATAGAAACGTTATTATAATAAAGCAACAATCATGACATCTCTTGATATTAATCATTGAAGCTACTGATTAACCTATTAACCTTATGAATCATGACGACACACATATATATATTTTCGTTTTCGTTTTTCCCATTTGCATTGAGATTATTATCATCACCATCATGATCAAAATGAAACGGGTAAAGTGGTGGCTGAAAGAGAAAGAGATGATCCTTTTTCTTTGCATTGAAAATTGTCATTTTGATTTTTTTTTATAGATGATGATGATTATTGTTGTTGTTTTGTTCTCATTTCTTCATTCCATTCATAAAAATAATGAAAAAAGCAGGTCTTATTTTTTTTTTTGTCATTCGAGGACAAACATTTCATTTTATCATGTTTGGCAATGAAAATGTTATGATCTAAAATGAAAAAATAAATGTTTAGATGCTACATAACTGTAAATGTAACTTACCGTTTTAATCACCGATAGACAGAATCATTTCATTTTGTCGAATCACATAGTAGTTGTTTTTGTTTTTGTTTTCAATCAAATATATATGATGATGATGATGATTATGATAACAACAACAGTGTTTATTCGAAAAATGTTTATGGAAAATAATGCTGAACTAAGAGAAAAAATGTTTTCATAAATTTTGATTAATAAATATATATAATTGACGATTATCATGGCCAGATAATTTAGCCAATTGCCAATCATCATCATCATCATGATATATTCATATTGATCTGTACTTTTCTTAATTTATAAACAATTTAATAAACAAACCGAATCCACAACGTTTCCAACCGTAAAATAATGATTAATAGAATGGAATCAAATTAAATCTAAACACATAATCATTTTTTAAATTAAATTCAAAAAAATCGAACATTTGAAAAACAATCATACGTACATACAAATAGCTTTGAGAACAAACAACATGAACTTTGAGAACGCTGATCCCCATCTCTCATAGTTATAATAGTGATCAATGACTATTAATGGCTGCCATAAAAGACAAACAAACATTGGTCATCATCATCATTATTTTAATCGATTACAAATCACGTTATCATTCATCATCATTATCATCATTACCACAATGACATTAGCAATAGAACAACAACAACAACAACAACAATCGAATAATAGAACTGAGATGGAAAACCAACTAACTAATGACAAATTTGAATCACATGACAATACTTTTCGGCAAACAATAAATAACCATTCAAACATAGAGGGCGATAATAATGGAGAAAAGAAATCATCTATTATATGTGTAGAGGTGGCATTCGTAGCGATAACGTTGTTATTCATGTTTAGTTTTATTGTATATGAAATTTTTTGCTCTGGAACCAGTAGTGGTGGTGGTGGTGGTGGTGGTTCACCGAATGAACCGGAAGAACAGACACAGTACATGTTATGCATGTCCGAAAATGCCATTTACGATTATTTGCTCATATTTCGGGTTGGATGTCCTAGTCATGGTTTTGATCTTAACAATTCATGCATTGATTTCGAGATTCTAGGCCAAAAAGATGAAATGATTGGTAGTCCATTCAGATTTGATTGTTCACTTCTTGGTGACATTGTTTGTGGTGAAATGCATTGTATCATTAGACGATTAACACCTATGCCTACGATTCAAGGAATTCGTGCCAGTCATTCTAATCGTTTTCATTCAACAAAAACATCAAAATCATCGTCAATATTTTTCTATGAATTCGAACTACGTGATAGAACCGCCGCATCATCAGCTGATGAAAAAGTTGTCGAATTTCGTTTGATACTGGATTACATTGAATTTCAGCCACGGATATTCCGTGGTTTTCTACCAAAAAATCTTAATGATGATGCAATGGTGGGCGTTTATCCGGAGATTCCAATCATTGAAATGTCCATGATTGAGATGGCAATTTTTTCTTGTTTCACTATCGTTTTGAGTGGGACATTATGTATGCTATTGGAGCATAGCAATTTTTATTTGTACAAACAACAAGAACGGCAAGGATCGTTGTATCGTTCATTACAGGATTTAGTATTTATTGGACCGGTCGTATTATTGGTGTTGTTTGGCAATATTTTTGTTTACAAATACAATATCAAACGTTTGGCAACACGATACGAATATTCGGTCAATCAAACAAGCAGTGATTATATGCGATACTTTGCCAAAAGTTATCTAATATTTACTGGCAAATTGATCTTAGCATGTGAAGCAATAATCATCTATTTTGGTTTGAAAACATCAACCACATTGTCATGGTATTGGTTTTCATCCACTACGCTCACTTCAACCACTGTATTGGGTATTTGGGCTTGTGTTAATAAATTGAATTGCATGTCAAAATTCTACAATAACTATGCTAATCGATTTGATTCATTGATTAGTCCGACCAAAGTGGAAATGATTACGGCTGTTTCTAGCTCCAAACAACAATTACAACAACATTATCATCAATCAAAAAGTGATTCTGTCGATATGAGTGCTAATTCTAGCCAATCGATATCATACATTGAACCTAAATTAATCAATCCAAAAAGGACACATGCAACAGGTAATATTCAACCATAGTGTTCCAATAATAATGTGTGTGTGTGTGTGTGTACTTTTTCAACAGGTACCAAACATCATTCTTCTTCGTCATTGGTTGCCAATAAAAAATCCATTCAGAAACGAATTAAAACGATAAATGCATCAAAATTGGTGGCCATAAAAAACAATAATAAAAGAATAATGCATTCAAAAAGCAATAAAAGCCAAAGGAAACGGAATAAAAGCATCCAATGAATAATAAATACATTGATTGATGATTGTGTTTTGCATAAAGTAATCATCTTATGTGTCAAATACGTGAAGCCAATAATCAATCCAGGATATGATACACAAATCCCTTGTTCCGCGTTCAATAACTTTCAAATAAAAATAAATTGATGATGATGATGAGCATTAAATATGAGATGGATGACAAAAAAAACACACACACACACACATTGGATGCTGAATTCATTTCAAATTACTTCAAGTGGACAACAATTATTATTGTTATCAATTATAATCAGATTTGAGTGTCATGGCCACCACCAATGTCCATTTTTTTGTTTGATATTTATTTATTCATCAATCGCCACACGATACAATCGATTTTTCCTCCTTCATTTTCAAATGTCAACTTTTCAACCAGCAAAAAAAAAAATTTTTTTTTTTTTTATTTAGATTAACATGATTGATGATGATATTGTCAATTGTCAACAATATTGACAGTAGCCAGATGCATCGATCGATCGATCGAGGGCACAGAGATCATAGGTCTCTTGTCACACACATCATAGGAGAGAGAGAGAGACATAAGAAGAAGAAGAAAGTTTGTTTATATAAATGCAACTTCAATCATCATCATCATCATCATCATTCAATTCAACAAGTGAAAGTTTCATTTCCTAGTATAAGTAAGTTCACACAATAACAAACAAACAAACAAAAAAATATGTGTGATTCGAGAGAAACAAAAGTGAAATGAAAATATTGTCTGTGTGTGTGATCATATCAATCGCCACTCAACCAACAACAACAACAACAACAAATACAAGTATCATCGATAAATATAACTGAATGAATGGACTTTGATGTTTTGAAACTAAAATAACTGACTGATGAATAGCCTAATTTTAGCACAAATGAATCAAACAAACAAACAAAAACATGGTTGAAAAAACCCAATCGACAAATCAAATCTATCTATCTCCTTATTGTATCGACCATTTTGCTTATATTTATTTATGGTGCCTACCATCACTGGCTTTGAATTGGGCAGCCAAATTTATTTGACTTTTCAATTCTGAAAATTCACTACCAAAAATAGAAATGGTTGAAAGAGAAATAAAGAAAACAAAAATCATCAAAAATGATTTGTCCTGCTACACCATCAAGGACTTGTTTATTCATTTTCTACAAATCAATCAATCGATCACATAATGATGATGGCCACCATTATCTTGTTGTCGACGATCGATCGGTATTCATTCCATCCATCCATATTCATCCAACAATCACATTCATTCTTGAGCAAACACACACACAAGTTGCCGTTATTAGATTCAATATTTTATCAATTATGATTGCAATGGAAAATTTTTCTTTCTCCTTGTTGTTGTTGTTGTTTATGAACAAGTCGAATTGTATATTTACTCAATAATAAGATGCATCATCTCATCATCTAAATATAGATAGATGAAAATCATTAATGTTTGTTCGGTTCACGATGATAATGATGATGATGGCTTCATCAATAATGATGTGCTAATCATATATAGCCAATCGTCAATAATGATCAAAACGGAACAGATCAAATGTGGCTAGAGATTGATTGATTTACAAATGAAGCCATCACAATTTTGCCATTCATTACTAATCACCACACACATATATTTACAAAAAGATCGGAAATGACAATCCATTCCACACACACACACACACACAATCATTTATTTTTGTTTGGACCTATCGATAAGATTGTCCGTCAGATTTTTTTATTTTTCATTTCAGACACATATATATCAAATGACATTGGATATATATAAATATGGACAGGATCATGACATGGTTTTTTTTTCATTGAAATGTACCCGCCATTAATATTGACAATTTTTATCAGGTAAAAGTAATAATACTGATTTCATATATATGAAATCTGCATGATAATCCTTTTAGTGTTTTATGATGAATGGATACATATCCAGAAATTTCCATCCATATCTTGGCCAATAGATCTCATCAAGCACAGAATCATTAGTACAGTGAATGGTGATAATATAAATTGATGATTAAATGCATCAATCATTTTTTAGATATCATTAAGCGCTATAGTTGTAATAATAATAATAAAACACTTTACATTGACATTGCCTGATTGATTGATATATTAATTAAGAATGGCCACAATTCTAAACACGATGGACAATTCAAAAATATTTTATAATGGGAAAAAAGCCAATTTTGCAGATTCTTCAACAAATCGTCAAATGTCGATAAATAAACACAGAAATAGGCAAGTACAAGAAAAAAAAAACCCAAAAAATTGTTGTTTTTCACATTCTTCAATTTTGAGAGAGAGAGAGAGAGAGTATGCCAAACGAACGGTATGAAAAATATCGATTCACTGATTAGATGGTAGTCTACGCAATACCATTAACACGAAATGTACGTGATCAAAGTTCAATCACAACATCCATAATTAGGCGTTGTTCGATTGCCGTTATACGATTTGGGCGACAATTGATAACGACAAGACAGCCACACGAAGCACGAAGGACAAACCATACCATACCGCTTGAATCATTTGTTGCTCTAGTATATAAGAAGTGGATGGCCAAGCCATACGAATTAATATTTATTAACATCATCCATACATACAAACTGTTGGTTCATATTTCATCACCATCAACGCTAATGCAAAAGTGATTCGTGATGAGATTGTTCGCTCTTTTGTTTACTGCCTGTTTGCTGGGCCTAGGTAAGTGTCAATCAATCAATCAATCAATCAATCAATCAAACAATCAATCATTCTGTATTACTCAATGTCAAATATGTGATTAGGCCAAGCACAGCATTGTACAGTAGCCTGCCCAAATTCGATTCCTCAGCTAATAAATCCCAAGGCCCAATCGACTTACGTTTATACATTGGATGCAAAAACTGTCCTCACACCACGTGATAGCCAAAAGGTTACAATCAAAGCCGATGCCGAAGTTGCCATTGTAAGCGCTTGCGAAGCTGTCTTAAGGTTACAAAATGTTGCCATTGACGGAGTTCCAAATGGCGCTGAATTGGCCAGTGAATTGGCTTCCAAGTCATTCGCTTTTGGCTACTTCAACGGTCGAATCCTTGGCGTTTGTCCAGCTAATGATGATCAAGATTGGTCATTGAACATCAAGAAAGCTATTGTTTCAGCTCTTCAAGTTCAATTCGATGAAAACAAAGATAAAGTTGAAGAATCAGACTTTTCTGGCCGTTGCCCGACTGAATACAGAAAAATACGAAACGAAGACAACATGGTTGTCATGGAAAAGAGAAAGGATCTTAATCTTTGTGATGATCGACGAATTGATTTGCGACAAACACCTGACCAGGCATTGGGACAATTGAAAGAAATGATTCGCCACTATATGCACCCGATGGACAGTGATCTTTCGTGTCGAATGACACTCAAAGATCAGGTTGTATCGGAAGTGGATTGTGAAGAACGTCATGTGCTAGTACATCGATCGCACAAACCAGTACACTTGTCCTATGTCAAAATGATGTTGAAGGAAAGCAAAGACGGTGTCGCCGCTGATCTAGGTCAAACCGATTCGGAGCCCAAACGACCATACCTTAGCTTTGATCATAAACACAAAAATCCTACCGAAACCGACGTCGTCGAAGTATTGAAAAAGTTATGCTCGGAAATATCCGAACCACAAGCTAGTATTGAAACATCGTTCACGTTCCAAAAATTGGTCGATAAACTTCGTTATTTATCCGCTGAGGAGACTGCCAGTGTGGACGAAAGTGTCAAGACATCCGTCTGTCCAGCACATGCATACCGTATCCGTGAATTGTTCCTAGACGCTTCGGCGTTTGCCGCAAGTGATGGTAGCATCCGAACATTGGTCAAAGCACACGAAAACCAAGAGCTTTCGATCACACGTTCGACCGCTTTGTTTACTGTGGTCGCAATGAAAGCAGCACCAAATAAAGAAACCGTCCAGGTATTGTTGCCGGTTATCGCTTCGGAAAAAACGATCCGTCCAATGTTGTTGGGTTTCTCCGTTTTGGTTCGCCGATATTGTGAAAAAAGTGCCGATTGTGCCAGCAATTCTGGCGTCAAAGATGCTCGCGATGCTTACCTGGCTCGATTGGCCACCGCCAAAGATGCCAACGAACGAATGACCATTGTACGTGCATTGGAAAACTTGAATGTCAACACTGAAGGTGTGGACAACATGATCAACGCTATGGACGAAATCATCAAATCAGATGCCGAACCAGCTCTTCGTGCCGCTGCAGTGAACGCATTGCCCAACGATGCCAGTCACATGGATCGATACAAAAGTCTTGTGATGGATGAATCGATGCCAAACGAAGCTCGAATTGCTGCATTCCAGAAAATGATGAAAAACGGTGGCATGAGCCATATCAAAGATTTGTTCACCGTAAAAGGTGAATGTATGAAGAACTATGTTCTCACTTATGTAGACAATCTTAAAAAATCCAAAAATGATTTACGACGACAAACCGTTTCTGGAGATGTTGAATTGCCTGAACAACCTAAACGTGAAATAGGCATCACCCGAAACATTGCCCGCGAATATGGTCCATACACATTCGAATATGATGTCATTTATCCGGAAACACATGAAAATGTTACCCGAAGCATCAATGGACGACTTATTCGTGCCAAGAATGGTAAATTTAATACACAATCATCATTTTATTTTATTCATTTATTTATTTATTCACATTCAATTCATTTTTCACACACACACAGATCAATTGAAAGAAATTGTTGAAATTCAGATCACTCAAAATGGTTTCGAACGCGAATTGACCAATGCAATGGCTTTGATGGAAAAGAAATCGTTCCAATCAATCATGCAATTCGTCCGTGATACACTCAAAATGTTGGCCCAAATCCGTAAAATGCCGACGATAATCATCACATGAAAATTACTGTCCAGATCAATGGCAAAAATGTCTACTACACGGATGTGTTCCAGGATTTGAAAAAAATGAAAGAATTGATCATTAAACGGGCTGAAAAAATTATCAATGAAAAGAAAGTTGATCGCTCCATTGGTGGTGTGTTGCTCGACTCGAAATTAGTCTTGCCAACCATCACTGGTCTTCCGTTGATGTACAAATTTGGTGATAATTTTCTCATTCGATATGATGGAGAATTCAGTGGCGAAAAAGGTGACCGCCATATCAAACTTAATGGAGGCGTTGTGGCCGGTGTCTATGGTCAAATGAAATTATTGGTCAAAGATCAAAAAATGGGCTATGAATATGATGGCAAATTGGCTTACACACCAATGCTCGATATGGACATACAGAAAAAGGAACATTCCCTTTTGCTTCGATTCAACACAAAAGATGTGGAACGACGCACAATCATGCGATTTAAACAATCATTGCGAGAGAAACGAGCCACCGGTGAAGAGAAAGATTATGAAAATGAAATTACACCAGAATCTCGAAGTGATCAATGTTTTTCATTCTTCCGTATGTATTTATTAATTATTTATCATCATTCATTTTATTTTATTTTGTTCTTTATTATTGGATACATGTTTACACAGTGTTGGATTATTGCCGCAAAGCTTCACATATCAAAGGATTGATTTTCCCGAATGTTGAATACTATGTGGTTAAACCGGAAAAAGAAGTGACCGCATTGGAATTATTGTTGAAAGGTGAAACTGAAGACAAAACTCGTCGTTATGTTGCCGAATTGACTGCTGTCGGATCGCCAAGCAACAAACAAGCTAAAGCACAGATCGAAGTGATCAAAGGCGAAGAATACAAAATCACATTGAAATCACCTGAACATGAATTTAACACCGAATTCACCATCCATGCAGACAAAAACAATTTGAAAATGCACATGGATTTCCCTAACATGTTCCAAGCTGATCTGACTGGAACTTTCCAACATGACAAGGAAAACAATGTGCGTAAAAACCAATTGAATCTCCAATACAAATTCGCTGGTGATGAGAAACCACACACAGTGGATTATGAAAACGAATTTTCATTCAATTTGAAACGATCATCAAAAGACAAAAACAGTGGAGTCGATTACCGAGCAAAATACATGTCTAGCCATTTTCCCATCTTGAACCACAAAGTCAACATTCAATTCAAATATCGACCATTCAAAGTTAACGAATTGAATTTGGAAGGAGAATTTGGCCGAGAACTTCAACACAAATTCCAATTGATGCGAAACAGCCAGATAGAAGTAGAAGAAGTGCGACCATTTAAGATGCATGGTAATAGTGACATAAAATTGATGGCAAACGATCTGGATATTGATTATGATCTCAAATCTGAATTCAAATATGAAAGCAACAAAGGAACCCCATTGAGTTGCAATACAAAATTTCCGGTAAAGATCGCTCGAAAAGAGCTGCCGATTTGGGAGCCGAAGATGTTGAAGGCGTTATCGATTACAAAAACAATGGCTCGCCCATTGATTCTAAGATGCACGCTCATCTCAAAATGAAAGGCAACAACTATGGCTATGATAGTGAATTGAAACAAACACAGCCACAACAATATGAAGGCAAAATCACATTGTCCAAGAATGACAAGAAAATCTTCATCAACCACAAATCAGAGTAAGTCAGATCTAATTCAATTCATAACAATAACAATAACATCTATCTATCACTCATTAGGATGACCAAACCTACCAACACTTTCCATCTCAAAACAGATGCTGATGTGTCGTATTCGGATTCGGATATGAAAAAACATTATCAGATGGAATTCAAAAAAGAAAACGATATCTACACTATGCGATCGACTGTCGAACGAAACGGCCAAATGTTTTACGAAAACCATTTGACCATTCACAAGGGTGGCAAATTGAACTTGAACTATCGCCGAAATGACCGTAAAATTCTTCTTGATTTGGACAATGCTTTAAGCCCACGGGAAGGAACAATGAAATTGAACATCAAAGATCGTGAATACAACTTTGTCATGAAACGAGAACCATTGCGATTCAGAGACATCACTGTCGAAGGAAACGAAAATGCCTATATCAAAAATGTAAGTAGTCTTAATTCAATTGATGATGACAATGTCTAATCGAAAAATATCTTGGTATTTTTACAGGGCAAACTTCATTTGTCGCTTATGGATCCGTCAACATTGAGTTTAGTCACGAAAGCCGATGGAAAAATCGACATGACAGTAGACTTGATATCGCCAGTCACAAAACGTGCATCGTTGAAAATTGATTCAAAGAAATACAACCTTTTCCATGAAGGTGAATTGAGTGCATCGATCGTAAACCCACGATTGTCATGGCATCAATACACGAAACGCGATTCTCGTGAATACAAGAGTGATGTAGAACTATCGTTGCGATCGTCGGACATTGCTCTCAAGATTACGATGCCTGATTATAATTCGAAAATTCATTATTCACGACAAGGTGATCAAATCAACATGGACATCGATGGTACATTGATCGAAGGTCATGCACAAGGAACCATCAGAGAAGGTAAAATCCACATTAAAGGTAGACAAACTGATTTCGAGATCGAATCCAACTACCGATACGAAGATGGCAAACTAATCATCGAACCGGTCAAAAGTGAAAATGGCAAATTGGAAGGCGTTCTTTCCCGTAAGGTGCCATCACATCTGACATTAGAAACACCACGAGTCAAGATGAATATGAAATATGATCGATATGCACCAGTCAAAGTGTTCAAATTGGATTATGATGGCATCCACTTCGAGAAACATACCGATATTGAATACGAACCTGGCGTTCGATACAAGATCATCGGCAATGGAAAACTCAAGGATGATGGCCGCCACTATTCTATCGATGTGCAAGGTATTCCACGCAAAGCATTCAATCTGGACGCTGACTTGATGGATTTCAAACTGAAAGTGAGCAAGCCAGAAGATAGCAATAAAGCTCAATTCAGCTACACATTCAACGAATATACCGAGACCGAAGAATATGAATTCGATCCACATCGTGCCTATTATGTTAATTGGTTGAGTTCCATTCGCAAATACATCCAGAATTTCATCGTCGAAGACAACTGAACACCATTAATGCACATTGATTGAGAATGCAATGAGCAAATGTCATTCATTGATTCATTCGATTATTTCATTCTCTAATTTTTATATCTATTGACTTGTAATAAAATCTAAAGGAAAACATTTATACCATAATAGATATACGAACCAATTTTCATTATTTATTCTTGAATCATTCAGAATCATTATAATGATTATATGCAAAATGGTAATTGATCCAATTAACTTTGCAATAAGTTATAAAGCAAACAGACCAACTATAGTTGAATCAATCGATTAAACTAAATTCGTACAAATCAAATTATTTTCCATTCAAAATCCAGATTTCATGCTGTGTGTGAACAAAACAAAACCAAATTGTTTGCTTTTTCCGGAATCGATTTCTCGTTTGTTTCGGGTCGATCCACAATGTATTTTTTTTTTTTGGTCTCATTTTATGAGTTTTTGTTTGCTTGAAATAGCAAAAAAAAAATACCAGTCATGTTATGGCAACCAAACCAGGCTAGAAATTGTTACAATCATCCATGATAATGATGATGATGATGATGATGGCCAATGAATGAATCGTGGAACTAACTACTACACTACTAACTGTTGTTCTACATATACCAAACTAATGAAAGTCAACTAAAATGAATCATAATTTGCAGTGAAACATTCGAGTTGATTCCCAGTCTATTGGTAGTGTTGAAATTATTCTATCGATCGCGATTCTATAAGACACGTAATACTATTGTTTTTGTTCAGTTGAAAATACTGCTTGCATGACGTAATTGTTCCATTTCGATTGTTTCATCTTAGTTTTATAATGTATGATGTTGATTGTTGCTGTAGGTATGATTGTCACATTATAAATTAGCAATCAATTTTTAAGTAGATTGGCCAATGATGATTTCGAAACAATTTTTCAACGCTCATTATTGGAATGGTCATTGTGATCCTCGAGTGGTCAATCAATGGCTAATGCATAATGGTCCATACAAGTTACTAGTGATATCAATCATCTATTTGTTGGCCATTTATTTTGGCGTCCAATGGATGCAGCACCGGAAACCGTTTGCTATTCGTATGCCAATGTTTATGTTCAATGTATTGCTTGTCGTATTGAATCTATATTTTTTCTATGAATCATTTTGGTGGACAAATTATGGCCGGGATTTGCTCAATTTTCATTTCCCATCGCCATTCGATAGTAGTGAACGTTCCCATAGCATAATTAGTTTGTATTATTATTATCAAATTAGTAAATTTATCGACTATATGGACACCGTATTTCTTGTGTTACGGAAAAAGAATGACCATATAACAGTGCTACATGTTTACCATCATGTGTCCGTTCCAATAGTCGGCTGGTTTGCCAATTGGGTTTGTATTTTTGTTATGATTATTATTTTATTTTATTGAATTGGATTGCTTTTGTTATCAGATGAGTCCAACTATGCCCGTATTGGGATTGTTTGCCATGTTGAATTCATTTTGTCACATGTTAATGTACACTTATTATTCATTGGCAGCGTTGGGTGGCCATCATGTTCGACCATATCTTCGTTGGAAACGTTATATAACCTGTTTACAATTGTTACAATTTCTTATACTTGGACTATATGGATTGTATCTCAATTTTCGACATATTGATTATCCACAATTATTTCGTTGGCTACTCATATCACAGGCGATCATTTATTTGATAATGTTTGGCAATTTTTACAAACGCTCATATTACAATAAACAACAAATAATAATAATGAATGTCGTAGAATTTCCCATCAAATCAATGGCAAAATTTATTGATCATTATAATATCATTGTTTAATTAATACCAAATAAATGATGAATTTAATTTTTAAAAAAAATCAATCAACACTATCATTCAATAATATGATGACTAGAAGCTTGAAATGAAATGATTTATGGCAAGTTAATTCTATCATACATCATTTATCATTATTCACATATGATTGACGTTATCGGATTCAGTCAGATTGTCGATATTGGCAAACATTTTTTTATGGATTCGACCTGTACCGATCGGTTCTTCATTTGGTTCTAATGATGAATGAGTAGTAGTAGGAATCAATGTATTAGTTTTAGCAGAAATATCCTCACTATGTTGATTATCATCATCATTTTGATGAATGGAATGTCGTTCAATTAGTGACTCATTAGACATATTGGATAGCGATGTACTTAGATTGGCAAACGATTCATTCAACGTGGCCATTTGATTGTCTATCACAGTAATCAATTGTTCAATTTTTTGATTCCATATCGATTGGTTATTCGACATTGCTGATAAATTTTGTTCCAATAGCTGCAATCTACTGTCGAATGCATTCATTCGTAGTTCTAGATTTTTTTGCTGTTCTTTCCACAATTTCGAATCATTATCGGTTGAGCCAATTTGAGTATTTATATCGGCAATCATCTTTACAAATGAGGCAAGACGTATAATCATGAACAAGTGATCAATCAAAAACATATGTAACAATAATCTTACCTTTCTTAATTGTTCAACATCTGTTGGCAATTGTTTAGTATTGGGACCCAAATCAATAACCTGATCCAATTGGTTGAGTTTCTGATGAAGTTGAGCAGTCTGTTGAGTAAGATTCGATGTTGTTATGATGACATTATTCAGATTTATTTTAGGTTGGTCGATTCTTGTTCCAAAGATTTATATTTCGAATGCAATGAATGTAAATCATCAGGAAGATCCTTGTTGGTTGATTGTACTTGAAATGGGCAAATAAATTGATTAAAACCAAGAACAACCAACTAACTATCGCCACTTACTTCCACTGATTGAAAGTTGAAGAGAATCCATTCGTTTGGATAGACTGTACATGACTACCGTACCAATGATGACCAGATATTAGTATGAATACGACAAAAACAAATTTGAACATTGTACACAGCCCATATGAATAGTTGCTTTTCAGAAATGATGATGATGATGACACTAATCTAGAATTTCGACTAACATGACCAAAAATTAAACTTTTTGGGAAATCAAAAATCAATACCATACATACTTTTTTCGTGTAAAACTACGTTTTCTTCTTCTTGATTGCATCGGTATAACATCATCGGATGATGAATCCATACTATCACTAAGACCATTCGAAAACATTAACTTTGATTGATCTGTTGAAGCAAGATGAATTCAAAAAAATGAATGAAAAAAAAAAAAAAAAAAATAACACACTACCTGTTGTTCCCATTGTTTTTTTTTCTCTCGAAATTCCAAATATATCACTAAAAGACAAAGACAGAATTCAAATGATGATTAAATTCGTTTTACTTTTTTTTAATTATTATTCAAATAACAACAGGTAAATGCGGTGTTGAATAAACATTTTCAATCATTGTTCGAGCATTCAGCCAATGAAAAAAAAATCCATCAATTTTTTAACCAAAAAAAAAAAAAAAAAATAGTAGGAAAAAATCCAACACAATTATCAACGTCAACAATTTACCATTGAGCAAACATATTGATGGATTCACACACACACAGCCTCTATGAATGGATCATATTTTTTACTCCCACACTCATGCGTGATTTTTTGAAAAAAAAATTTTCCTTTTCCTTTCTCATTCACACAGTTCACGTGTTATTGTGATTTTTGTTTGTGAATTTATTTTTAATTTTTACCATTATTAAATTCCTATATATATTGATCAATTCACAAAGATGGTCGTGGTAAGTGATGATGAATGATTAAAAATAATGAATGATTAAATTGATTGTTGAATTTCATTATAGAAAGCTAAAAAAGGTAAACAACAAAATGTTTTGGCCAAAACAAAGGGTGGAAAAAAATCGAAAAAAGTTGCATTGAAATTTTCAATTGATTGTTCGAAACCAGTCGATGATGGCATTATGAATGCAACCGATTTTGTAAGTAAATATTAATTATCATTGATTGATTCATCCACTGAATCTACTCACAATGCATCGAGTGTAGACTTGATTGATTCATTTGTGAGAAATGTCAAAGTCAAGTTTTGCACATTGTTGACGCATTAATCATTCGTCATATATCGCATTTTATTTGTTTCTATAGGAATCATTTCTCAAGGAAAGAATCAAAGTTAATGGAAAGACTGGAAATCTTGGCACAGCCGTTACGGTTGAACGTAACAAATTTAAAATTTTTATTAACACAACGATCCCGTTTTCGAAACGTTATCTCAAATATTTGACGAAAAAATATTTGAAAAAGAACAATCTTCGTGACTGGATTCGTGTGGTAGCCACATCAAAAGAGGCATTCGAATTACGTTATTTCCAGATCAACAATGAAGATGCTGATGAAGAAGAAGAAAATGAATGATTATTATTATCGAATCTATGTCTTAATAAATGAATTTTTTTTCATAAAATTTAAACATTTTAATTTCAATCAATCATTCACATCTCGTTTTCAATTCAATAAGAATAAACGAGTGTGTTTGTGTATGACTGTGTGTGTGTGTGTGTGTGGAATATTGGATCTGATATGAACAAAATTAACAATTATTTAACAAAACCATTATACATTTCATCAGAATGATCAATAAAAAGATTCTTACTATAATTGAACGATAACAAATTTGTGGTGGTGATGATGATGATGATGATGATGATGATCATTGATTATATTCGGATAGTACCCATTGTACAATGTAAGCGAATAAGATCACTATGAATAATGCAATCAAATTATAAACACATGACCATACAAAACGATTGAAACGATCATATTCAGATTGTCGTTCATTTGAACCATTGTTGTTTGTAGAATCTTTCGATGATTTATCATTATTATTCTTGTTGCTGTTTTTTTGGTTCGCTGCTTCCAACGTTTTTATACGTTCCAATTCGCATTCAATTTCCTATATTATGTACAAAAATCAAGTTCAATCAATAAGATATAATGGCAATAAACTATGTATATGCATTGTATACGTACATCGGCAATATCGGGAAAAAGTTCAACAAATGTGGCATCATTGAGATTGAATTGCAGGCTTTTCTTGGCATATATTCGGCGAACACTGTCCGATGCTTGTAACGAACCAACTGCATTATGTTCTTCCAACATGAAGCTCAATAAACCGGTAAGAATTGTCGAAAGGCTCCATGTTGGATTCCAGGAATCAGGATGAAAATCCGAAAAACTTAAACATAATCTAGTGTTAGTCTTGAAACGGCCACTCGGTGTTATCATATAAATCGATGGTGGTCGAAACGGATATTCGATAGGAAATTTGAGTTTTCCATGATAAATGCCGCCATTGTATACAGTATTTTCTGGTCCACGAATCACATAGTGCCTATGATTAAAAGTGTCAAATGACTATACTAAATGACTAAAGTCGACAAGAAAAAAAAGGAATGCATTACCATTCAAGAATGTCATTTTGTAACGGTGCTACAGTAACGTATGGTACTGGATCTTTCATTATCATCATATAATCTTGTTTCAAACGACGCCATGAGCTAATGAATTTTTTGGAATTATTTTGAGCATTTTGTCGTACACCGTTAATATTTGTTGCCATTCTACGACCACCACCACCACCACCAGTGTTCATTATTGACTTACACAAATAATAATAATGATGATTATATTGATTATCAAAATTCAACAAACTTAATGTTTCTCTGCAAAACAGAAAAATAAAAATGCAGAGAGAACCACCCCCAAACAAACAACTTGCATCAACAAAACAACATTTTTTTTGTCTTGTAAAAATCGAATTGTTATTTTCGATTCAATTATGAAACACAATTAATGACGAAATTTTTTTTTCTTTTTTGCTTATTGTTACTGTACACAAAGATTGATGGACAATGAAATTTGAAAAAAAATTTTGTAAAATGATGAAGAATACAAATTCAATATTGTTGAATGAATGGATGGTAAAATGAATTATTAAAAGTAGTATATCGATATCGATATATTCTCATTATTTATGATGATAATCGAATTGTATTGCTCTTTTTGGACCCAAATCAACACAAGCAGTGAGTGAAAAAAGAAAAAAAAGGCAAGCCAAATTGAAAACAATCATCATTTGGCTAATGCAGTTGGTGGCTTCGTGATTTGCCATTCATAAAGAACGTAATTGAAAATTTTAAGATTTTTTAAACAATTTTTGGAGAAAATCATCATCATCATTAAATAATGATGATGAGATTGATGTTGTTGATTGTTGTGAAGGCATATGAACAACGATACTGGTAGACATATTAAATATTGAAAAATTGCAAGTGGAAATTTCATTTTGTTTTTTCGATGTTATTTCAGTATTATTGTGAATTTCGTCATTGACACTTTCATCTTCAATTTCACTGTCAGAAGACTTTGAACAAATTGATTCACTATCATTATCATCATCATCATCATCATTGTATTCAGATGATGAACAATAATCGTTTTCGGTCACGACTCGATCTAGTTTAATATCTGGACTCGGTTCTGGATGTTTTGCGGTGTTATTTGGCGATGAAAGTTTAGGCTTTTTTTTCCTTCTGTAAGTTTTGAATGTTTTGTCCAATTTGGAAAAATCAACTACATTGTCATCATCATCATCATCATCCGAATAATCACTTTGACAATACTTGGCAGCAATTCGATTAAGGTTGGAAAAAAATAATGCTCCACGATTTGGATTTACAGATGTATTGGCTGTTGTCATTGATTTCGAATGTTCATTGAAACTGTTTTCAAGTTTCACACTGGTTGTTGTCCACTTATCATTGTCATTGTCAGACGTATTTGAATCATCATTCAGATATAATCCCAATTCTTCAGTTTCATCAATTTTACGTTTGGACATTTTTTTTCCAATCAAAACAATAAAATCATGAACCATACAATCAACGACAACAATGATCAATTGTGTGAAAAGGCGCGCAAAAGTGTCGAAATATGATATACCCATTAGGGTGGATATAGTTGCCATTTCGAATTCTGGAAAAAAAATCATCATAAATTTTTATATAATCGATTATCGATGGATTTCTTTTTTGTTTGTTAAATAGAAAAAAAATTATATGAAAAAAAATAATTGATAAATAATAATTACATTACAGCATGAATTGATCAGGTCCATAAATAAACGAAAGGACACTGAAATCAGAAATCAGTCAAATCGGTGCAGTAATTGTACAAAAAGAGTAAGAAATAATTGTGAAACATTATGATTGAGAAATGGATTGAGAATACAAAAATTGCAATCAACCTATGGAACCGTTGGCCTGAATCTCTGATCGATCATTCATTGATCAACAGTTTATGTTTATGTTTATTATTATATGTATATTAAGCATATTCAATCACTAAATTTGGGAGATAGGCTATAGGTATGTGGTGTGTTTATGTTTCTTTTCGTATATCATACATATTCATTTAATGATTGTTTGAGATACAATACATGGCAACAACATATTGGGCATATGAACCGTGTGTCGTCCGTGATAATGATAAAGATGAATTATGAAATAAAAAATAGCTAATTGATACCTAATTTAAATCCAACAACTATTGCATGAAGGAATCCATAGTCCAAATGTAAGATGACACAGAGATCCTTGCCGAATGATTAATGCCTATTTGATGTAGTGAGCGAGAATCACTTCATTATCTTTAATGTTCAATGTTCTAGGTGTATCATCATCCTCGACACATCGACCATGATACCAGAATAAAACCGATTTATTATCTGCTTTTCGAACTTGTTGACAGAATCGATTGATCAATTTACCGAATGGTGTATTGATCTTGATACGGTAACAATACTGGCTCCAATTTTCATCGATTATGATGATTCGTAATTCTGAATTCATTTCTGTTGTCTGGCTGCTAGTTTGATTTGTCAACACATTCGATGTTGCATTCATTCGAATTACTGTTTGACTATCGGCGCCTTTCATCTCTGAAGCCTTCATTGATGTTTGATGATGTTGTAAATCAGTTAACTTTAATATATCTTTATTTTGTTTTTTGAATATAAGATCCCAACAAGAATTTTTTCCAATATCTGTTATTGGTAGTTGATCTTGGATTTTCATGTACTTGTACAATGGATGACGTTTCAAATTATCAATTTTATTAAATAAAGCGTTAATTTCATCATTATCCATCGATTCGAATATAGATAAATGAGCTCATTTAGACTCACTTCATCACAAACAATGATCTTATCGGCTTGAATTGAAATGTGGACGGATCGAAAATAATAAACGAGATCAATAACAAATCCTCCTAATTATTCCTACAAAAAAAAAAAATTCAAAACAAAATGAGACAAAATACAAACAAATGAACATATGACAATAATACCTTTCGACAGATGGCAAAATGGAAAAAAAACAAGCTCGAAATAAGTGTCAATTCTCAATAATGATTCGTTCGATGTTTTGCTTGTCTTATTGACAAAGAGATCATAAGATCACAAATGGCCGGCAATTTTATCGTAATCGTAATATATTTAAAAAAAGTGAAAATTTAAACATTTAATCGATGGCAATGAAAACCACACATATAATCATCAAATAATCAACAACAACAACAACAACAAGGGGACAATTTTTTTCTTTATTAACACAGTAAAAACAACAGCAATAGCAAGATGGTGGGCGCCTTGCACTCGATTCGCACACACACACACACACAAAACAAGAAGACAGACAGACAGACAGACAGATTTTGTGAGTCTGCGAACTAAGAGCATTGTGTGTGTGTGTTTGTGCAGCCACAAGACAATTGAATATTCTATTCTACAATCGATATAATCGATACTGTACATCATTTGAATTTTTTTTCTTTTTGTTCACTACTGGATGTTGAAGATCAAGTTTGTCAATTTTGATGATAATGACCATCATTGGCTGTGTCAATCTTAACAACAATGAAACAAATCAGATTATTATTTATTTAGTACTTTGTGTTTTAGACAAAATTGATGACATTTTTTCTATTATGTTAATATATAATAAATAAATGACATTTGTTCTGTGGTCCGTGTACGTTGTCATCCACCACTAACAACAACTATTTGATTGAAAATAATAAAATTTTCGAATCAAAATTTCGAATGCAAACCACGAACTGAATTGTGAAATCATCATCATTCTTTTCACACTTTGATTTGATTTGATTTGATTTGATGATGATGATGATTAGACCACACACACACACACACACATTGTTAGATAATATGATAAAGAATCATTCGTATTGTGAATATATATTTGATTATTATGGAAACAAATTAGAATTGATTTACACACATGAATATTAGGTCATACACGATGGTGTGGTTGATGTGTGATGATTAAATTGGTAAATTATGTGATTGGATTTAATCAAACTTTACAATCGGAAAAAATAATTACATCTGGCAAGGTTGTCATAATATTAGTCCTATATATATGGATCAAATCATCATCATCGAGCAGCATCGAGCAATATCTGGAACAACTTGAATCCATTGGACCGTTACTGTTTTATTGTCAGCTGCCCAATATAACAAACCAAAAACCGAATCCGAATCCTGAATCCTGGTTTTTGGTTTGTTGAAATTCTGTTTTTTTTTCATATTTGAATTTTATTGATTTATTATTATTATATATATCACACAAGTTTGTCAGTTATTTTTGTTTTGACTAATAAAATTGGATTCCGTGATGATGATGATGATGATATTTTGTCCACCATTTAGTTAGTCAAACACATTGAGAATTGAAATTGTCATTCGTGTAAATAATGTATGAATAATGGCCATTATTATTATTATCATTCATCAAATAATAATACAACAACAACGACAACAACAATGCCATTCAACTGATCATGATGATGATGATGATGATGATGATCAAATACAATGTTTGCATATGATAATTAGTTAGCGATATACGGACAGATAGATAGATAGTTGGATAGTTGGATGGCCAGGACAAACTAAACGAACTAAACGAATCAATCGAATGAATGAATGAATGAATGAATGACAAAGTTATTCGTAACATAAAAATTTTCACTTGGTTGATCATTCTATTTCTAGATTTTTTTTTTTTTATATTTTCTCTTATCATTCAAAGATTGATGGATGAATGTCAGTCATTGGGGAGGAGATGATGATGATGATGATGATGATGGGACCATCTAACTAACTCGATATGAATCGTCGTATGTATGTATGTAAATGATTTGTTGTTTTTTGCCTTCAATCGTATGTAAATGAGTAATGTTAATTAATTCATTAGACCATTGTCTGTACATTCGTTATGGAAATGAATAGAAAGGTCTCATTTCTCTAGGTTTTTTTACATTATTTTTTTTTTTTTTGGGGACGTGAAAAACTTTTTTTTTCTGGATTTTGATTTTGAGCATTAATTTTAATCACTATATATCATCATCAATGTTATGTTATATACTTGTTTCCGCATTTGTTGTGTGTGTGTGTGTGTGTGTGCGTTCGGCTTGTATTCTTTAAATATACTAGAATATGTGTGTCTTGTCCAGAATTCAATTACAAATTTGTTGTCTTCATATCTTGTGATCATTCTGGATTCCATTTGTCTCTCTCTCTCTATCTCTGTTTTTTTATCCTTTTTCGAGGACATAAAGAATCGATTCTGATTCTGTTGTTGTTGTTGTTGTTGTTCGGTACAGTCGAAAGTTTTTTTCGATTTCGATTTCAATATTAGGATGGATAGGATGTGTAACCAGCCAACCAAACCGAAATGACGACAAATAAAAAATGATTTAAAATTCAATTACCGAGCGCCAATATATATAGATATATATATATAGTGTATATATCATTCGGATCAGTGGTCTCCAACCAATTTTTATTTTTTCATTTCACTATCTACTTTTTATATCGACATAGATTGTCATATATTATGAAACAAAAACTGTCCTGGTTGGAGATGGTTAGATTCAAATTGTCGAATGATAAAAGATTTACTCGCTCTGGCTCTCTCTCTCTCTCTCTCTCTCTCTCTCTATTTCTCCTACCGATTAGATGAACAAATCTTTTTGGCAAAACAAAATTGGACCAAAAAACGAAAAACGAAAATTCAATTTGGCCAGGGCACGCGGTTGGGTTTTTTTTTTGTTTTGTTTTGTTTTTTGGTCATGGTGAATGCCAAAAGACAGGGCCGTGTGTTCCATATTCCAATAGAAATGGAAAATAGAAAATTATTATTATGGAAACTGTCACGCGTATGGGCCAAATTCACTTTCAAAATCAAAATGGCGACAATCCAAAAAAAAAAATCACATCACAGAATGAACAAAAAAAAAAATCTTTGCTTTGCAACCATCTCTGCGATATTTTTCATCGTCAAATATTTAATTTTATTCTTCTCTCTCTCTCTCTCTGCCTCTCGCTGTCTCTATCTCTGTCTCCATTTCATCTTCTTGTATAACATCAAGTCAAGTGATCCATGACTGTGTTTTCATTTTGGGTAAATAGAGAGAGACATACGGCTAAAAAAAACAATGTGGATGAAACACACAGGATAATAACACATTAATCTTGATCGTCGTCAATTATTTTCCCAAAAAAACACGGGCAGGACCTGAATATTGCATTTGTTTTTTTAATACATACAGCAACGAATAAATCGCAATTTCAATCAGAATCGGTTGGTTGTTCAAGGGAATTTTTTTTCGTTTTAAAAATTAAATATTGATCAATTTCAAGACAAAAACAACGGAACAACAACAACAACAACAACAACAACAATGGCAGCGGCAAATTCGCATTTGAAATTTTAATTTAATAATAAATATAATGGAATCAAGTCAAACACTTATGTGACTATTAATTAATAATTTCGAGTAATAAATTTTCAAATTTTTTTTTTTAGTTTTGTTTTTTGAATCATCATTAATTTAAATCTTTATATCGAGATGCAAAGGAGAAAAAAGGTGAACAAACCAGCCATCAATGATAATGATGTGAAAGAAGAAGGAGATTGTTTGAAAATTCATCAACGTATAGAAAGATTCTATAGAATTATGCGTAAAGATTTTGTTGAAAATATTGTCCATTTGGATCAATTGGGCCAACAACGATTCAATGTTCATGATTTGAAACGTATGGCCGCAGCCACCACATTAGATTGGCAACAATTACAATATCATTTTCCACTATTGGACAGCAAACAGGATGTCTACCAATATCAAGAAATTCATTGCCTTGGACGATCAAATGAACAATTTTATTCACTAATGGTATGATCAAATCAAACAAATATTTTGATCAATGTATCGATATATTATGTGAACAATATGAAATATTCTATCAGTTGATGACCGAATGTTATCTTACCATACAACTATTGATACAACCATTGCATAATTGTAATATTTCTGATCACGAATTATTGATGGCAATGATTGATACATTTGAAAGTTATAGAAATTTTGCCATCCATCAACAACAATCATTACGATCAATCATTAATGGTAAACGTTCAAATCTGATTACAAAGATTGCTACACATCCACAATATGATGATATTCGTCAAATTTTTTTCCACTATGAACATAATAAATTTGTACGAATGATTTGTGACCAATATGGTCATCTTTACTATGGTTACCATTATGTTTATGATCAAGTAATGAAAAATGGAAACATTCTTGGTACATTATTTCGTCAGCTATATAGACAAACACACCATAAACAAGAATTATGATGATCAATAAAAAAACCGAAAAAAAAAACTTTTTTCTGAATTCTAAATTGAAAAGTCAATAAAGGAAAAATTATTATAAATTAAATATCGGCCAAAAAAAAACGAACAAACAAAATGAAAAAAAACAATGAAAAATGAATGAAAATTAAATGAAAAATTGAGCCATTAAACAACAACAACAACAACAAAAAACGACTATTTTGATCCAAAAGTTGATTATTCAATCATTCATTTTCTATTTGAACAATTTTTCTTCAACATTATGTGTGTGTGTGTGTGTGTCGAGCTCCCTCGAATTTTGATGATTGGCGCGACGACCACGCAGAACAAATTGTCTTTGATCATGCAATTTTTTTTTTTTTTATGGAGTAATCGAATCTGGTTGTGATGGTGATGATCAATATTGAGTATGTGTTTTATATGCAATGTCAATGTTGATGGAGATTATCATCATCATCATGTGGTTTAGTGTGGTGATTTTTGATTCGCCAACGCCCAATGACATTCTTATTTGATGATTATTATTGATTCTTAGAAATGAAAATGAATGAATTCAAATCAAACCAAATTAA